CAAAGGAAAGAACTCTAATATCTCTAAAACTTCAATCAAGGTAAATCTTTTGTTAAGGATTTTCAAACATAGTTGAGAGCTCAAAGAACTTTCAATCTTTACAAAATCAATTAATTCAAATTTTTGTGTGCAGATTTTCAAAGAGAACTCCCAAAGTCAAACCCTGTTGTTTTTTAACAACATCAGTTATAATCAATCTATTGTCACGGAATTTTCAAACAGAGCTCCCCAACTCAAAGAACCTTTTTATTATTATTTGTCAATCGCTTGTTGTTTTCTTAATTTTTTTCCCCATAGTCAAACAAAACAAATTATTTTCCACGAAAATTATTTCTCTATACTCGGACAAAGCAGACATGATTTTGCACCATCGCGCTATTATGAAAACTTAATTGCGATCAATCCAATTGGATTGCGACTTTTGTTATATGAGGCAATGGATCCAAGTGATTGCCATGTAAACACATGTTAAATTGGATGTCAGTACTTTGGGAAAACAAAAAAATTAATTTGTCAACCTTTTCATGTCGTGGTGGTACCGAAATTTAAAGCTTTTGAAGTAAACGCTTGTAATTTTCCACTTTTATTAATATTTGAGTTTCGATTTCGTTTGTGACTCTTTTGAACTGGTTTGATTCTCAAGCCTCAAAATTGGAGAGGATCATTTTCTCAGAACGTAAATGACGAAAATCTATTTTAAAGAAATTTAAGTCGTAATAAAATGAAAATGCTCGCATAACCTTTTAAAGGCAACCCACGGCCAAGGCTGATGCGAGATGAACGGTCATGTCTCGCCTTGATTTGCATAACAGCTAAAGAAAAAATGCAACTGAAAGCCCCGATCTTTAAGCCAATATTGTCTCGCTCTTCTTGGCTGGTTCGCTTCTGGCTCTTAAAGAGCCTTAAAGGGGTTAACGTTCCTTTAAAAATTCCTCTATTGCGTTTGAAAAACAAAAATAAGTTTTCTAGCGATTTTAAAGTTACTTATTTATTCTTTACGATTTAATTAGCAAAATTTCATTCAACCCCTGGCGTGTGTCACATATTTCTGGGCAACGCGACCGAGTTTTCAAAATTGTTACGTGGCATGAATTCTTCGATTTCTGATTACCTGGAGTAGGAAGAGGTCCAACAGCCCAAATTCACCTTCGACAGTTTTATTTGTTCGTGTTTATGCTAAATTTATTATTGAAGCTCAGTAAGATTAATTTGGCCGCTGGTAAAACATTTATTTTTCACAAATTACGATGAGACATGATGTCACAACAGTTTGATAAATTATTTAATAGTTTTTCGTATTTAATAATCAGTATTCTCCTATCCTCCTAAAAGGCTTGTTCTCTACAAACAAAAATTTAAAAATATTTCAAATGAAACCGAAATTGTAAATAGAATCAGCAATTGATCAAAAAAGAAGGAAAACTTTGAAATATCGTTCGCCAGGGAAGCCTTCTGAAATGCAAGACACGTCTTTGACACTTCCAGAGGATCGTCAATCCAAAAGATGAGTGATTATCAGTAAGGTAAGGGCGCATTTAAAATATTTAAAACGTTTTTTAATTACCTGACTGAAGAAAAAGGGGAATATAAGTGATAAATATGTTACAGTTTTTCTCTGCCTCAGGGCCTCTTCATATGAGCCCGGTAACCGGGCTGGCCCGGTTACCGGGACGAATTTTGTCGTCTGTTCATATGGGAAATTTCAGACCGGTTACCGGGATGAAAAAGAGTCGAAAAGGGCGCGAAACGTGGACTGAGGCCCTGGGAACGAGTTTGAGCGCGAAATTCAAGAAAGTAAACAAAGATGGCGCCACGTTCAACAGTTATATCGTTCGCTCCCATCGTAGCGTTATCAACACTCGTAGCTCTAGTGCTACAACTTCACGGGGTCCTTTTGCTATGGAAAATACATCAAACCAGGCAGATTGATGCAATCCGGATCGGCTTGTTGCGGAAGAAAAGTTATTTCTTCCGAAATGTAAAGCAGCTGAAGCAGAGAGATTTGTACAGAAAAAAACGAAGTTGTTGGCATAAACCCGGTCGAACTGACTTGTGGTGGAAAAACATCTGGACGGGAGTAGCACCTGAAGAATGTTGGAAAGAGAACTTTCGGATGTCAAGGGCTGCTTTTGTGAACCTGGTATCGGAGCTAAGGCCATACATTTCACCAAACCCAAAGTCACCTAACCACAGGGCATTGAGTGCAGTAAAAAAGGTTGCAGTTGCATTGTATTTTTTAAAAGACACTGGTTCCCTGAGAATGACAGCCAATAGTTTTGGAATAGCACTCAACACTGCATCAGCTGTTGTAAATGAGGTTTGTCAAGCTATTTCAAACTATCTTGGCCCGAAATATCTCCATCTTCCTGAAGATGAAGAAAGCATGAGGGAGAAGGTAGCAGAATTTGAAGCCAAATTTGGCATGACACAAGCTTTTGGTTGCATTGATGGGACACACATTCCAATTCAGTGCCCATGAGAGAACTCACAAGATTTTTTCTGCTATAAGCAGTTTTTTTCATTAAGTGTGCAGGCTGTGTGTGACTATAAAGGCTCCTTCATGGATGTTGAATGTAAGTGGCCTGGAAGTGTCCACGATGCAAAGGTTTTTGCCAATTCTTTCATCAGTGCCAAATTAAGAAGTAATAAATTGCCCTGTACATTTCAGACTCCAATTCCAGGTGGTGTCAAAATACCTAATTACCTCATTGGTGATCCAGCTTATCCATTGCTTCCTTTCTGCATGAAAGAGTATGATTCATGTACCAGTAATGAACAAGTTGTTTTCAACAACATGCTGCGTTCTGCCAGGAACCAAATTGAATGTGCTTTTGGCCGGCTTAAAGCAAGATGGTCCATACTCACTACAAAAGTGGACTTCAAACTTGAGGCAATACCAACAATTATTTATGCATGTTTTGTATTACATAATTATTGTGAGAAGCATAACATGTATGTTGATCAGGACTTGGTTGACTCGCAAATTCAACTTATGAAGGAAAATGAAGATCAGTTTAAAAACACTCCTGATCCAATTTACTCTTGTGATGTGGGAGAAGGGAGTGTTGTGAGGACAACACTCACACAATTAGTACTGAAGAATCTTTAACGTAGTACTTAAACTTTACCCTATTTACATGTATTGCTGTACTTAGTTTAATTAACTTAAGGGGGGAGACCCTTAAATACAAAATGCATGCTATGGATGACTTCTAACTGTCATATCTTGAGCTCCCTTAGTATCCTTGATTTAGTTTTTGGCCATATTTGTTCTATTGGAGGTCGCCTTCACTTTCGGTAGTCATGATCATATTTGGTAAGTCACGTAACCATAACACAAAAACCGTATAAACTCACACAGCTTACATCTTTCCCTAATGAAACAAAAGCCAACGGGTAGAGTGCATTCAGGTGCAAAATTTGTAGAATGGATTTGTTAAAATGTATGTTATTGAAGAAGCTATGACATCACAAAAACTTCATGACCTCATAGCTTTTTCAGTAATGCGAATTTTAACAAATCCATTGTACAAATTTTGCATTTGAATGCACTCTACCTGTTGGATTTTGTTCCATTGGAGAAGGATGTAAGCTGTGTGAGTTTATACGGTTTTTGTGTTCTGGTCACGTGACTTGCCAAATATGGTCATGACTACCAAAACTGAAGGCAACCTCTAACAGAACAAATATGGCCAAAAACTAAAGCAAGGATACTAAGGGAGCCCAAGATATGATGGTTAGAAGTCATCCATAGCTACCATTTTGTAGTTAAAGGTCTCCCCCTTAATTTGCTAGCTGAACATTGTCAAGACATGAAAGATCCTAGCATATAACAACAACTTGATATTCTTGAACACAAACTAAGGCCACTTGAATGTTGGTAGTGTTCATTGACCAGCCCCTATATGATCGGCCAAAACCGATTCATATTACAGTGTAGGTACTGTAGGTGGCACTTTTCAAATTTAATTGTAACTATAAATTTCCATTTTTTGAACTAGTGTATTGGTTTCAGTTAATTACAAAGAAAAATTTTAACTTAAAATGTTTGTCTTAAACAGCACTCAGTACCAGTAGAAAAAATATAGTTGGGAAAATAACCAAGTAGAGATGTAATGAGAAATCCTTTTCTGAAACATCCTCAGATTTGTGCAATCAGGCAACTATGAATACTATAGTGAGCAATCCAACTGTGGATTATGGCCTGAATTTGTCAAACTCAGTATGAAAACTTTAACAACAACACGTACTGAGGAAGTCTGAAATTTTGTTGGATACACTAGAATGCTGTTTGAAACATTTTCTGTGGGCCAAATTATGTCAAACAAGGCTGTTTACATTTGAAAAACAATGAATAAAAAATACTTTTAAAAATAATTATCAAAAATTCCCCACTGATAACAGATTAAATCAAAACAAGGCAGGGCCTTCTCTGAGTATTAAAATTGAATTAAATATCAACAAAATGCAAATGTTGGCAGAAAAATGGAAATTGGCAGGTCAACTTATTTGCCCATAGAATAGAAAACTCTGTCAGTTATTTCCATAGCATCAAGTTGTGTTTGTATATCTATATACAATATAGATCTATTAGACAATGTCATAATGTCATAACTCTATGGTTGATAATAAAAGCTTCCACTGCTTCCTGGATCTTGCTGGCTACCATGTTGGCTAAACAGCTGGGCATAAACACCCTCAGCAGCCTGAGGTGCAACTTGCATTGGGTTTTGATAGAACAAATTCTGATTTACAGGTGCACATACTGCATAAGGTTGTTGCAATGCTTGTGATAGCATCTTGATTGATCGACAAACTCCTGCACCTAGATCAGTCATAGCTTTACTAACACTTTCAATACTATGAGAAAAACTTGCTGTAGACTCCCGCATTGCCTCAGCAAGGTCCTTTCGAAATTGGGCATCTTCCTTAGCTTCTTTAATAAGCAACCCATCCCTCTGGGCAGCAGAAAGCTTTTTTCCAAATGCTTTTGTTGTCGATTAGCTTTGGTACACAGTTAGCTTTGCGTTTGTTACCAGGTGCCACATCGCCACTTGCACTACCCCCCCATCATCTCCAGGGCCTAGATCACTTGAACCAGATGAAGTACCTGCAGTTTCCAAATCCAAACTTAAGCTGTCATCTTCTGGATTGTGACATTGGACAACTTCATTGTCTTCCAGAAAATCATCTCCTCCTACACCATAAGAAAGGGGCTCTGTTCCGGCAGAACCACCCCCCCACAATGTTATCAGTTTGTCGTAAAATTCGTAAACAAGTTTTCCACTGCCACTCCTACTTCCAGAAACTACAGCTTTAGAGAAACTCTGTCTGATTTCCTTCACCTTTTCCATCACTCTCTTCTGTCCTTTCGTTATCATATCTTTTGACTCTTTTACACGATGCTTTGCTTTGGCCTGCTCTTCCTTTGAACGGGTTTTGAAATCATCCGGTAACTTGAAAGCAGCCACAGGACCAAATATAGATTCATCGTCCTCATGAAGCTTCGCCATGTCCACTCGCAGTTCTTGGTACTGAATTTGTTTATCGGCGTCGAAATCAAGGTTTCTATAGGCCATTTTTGATTTGTATTCAAGTAAACAGTCGATCAACTGCCTTACCGTGTCTGTTTCCCAACGGAATCTCTTCGAAGTCAAGGTGGAAGACACTTCGCCATCCGCCATGTTTGCACGCGTTGTAGGTCGCGTGAGCTGCGTTCCGTTTAGTCAGCGTCCTTACAAGGCATGCGTAGTTGAAAAATTTTCATCCCGGTAACCGGGCTGGAGTGTTCATATGGGAAAATATTTCATCCCGGTTACCGAGATCTCGGTTTCTACAACCGAGATCTCGGTGACCGGGCTGGCCCGCCTTCTCATATGAACACATCGAAATTTTTACAAAGGAAATAGGAGTGAGGCGAGATCTCGGTAACCGGGCTAGCCCGGTCAACCGGGCTCATATGAAGAGGCCCTCAGTGACGGTTTGAATTAATGACTTGTAGAAGGCTGCTATGTTTAAGAACAACGTAATTAAGAAACGTGAGGAACATTTGAAAAATATGTTAACACATCCACCTTGTGAGCACAGCAGCAAAAATCCTGAAAAAACAGAGGTGTTCCAAAATTTCGGTAACTGATTTATTTAAATTTTTTAAAATAAAGAAAGAGCAAATTCTTCCCAGCCATGTTTTTAAGGAATCCAATTGATGAAAAACAATCCCAATCCAGCGTGCAGAAATATAAAGAATCCTCCTATTTTCTCTCTTGGAAGTACTTATCTTTAACGATCTAACAATCGGATAATAAGCTCGAGATTTCTATTGCGTTATAGCAGATGAAGGCGTCGCCCGAATCAAGTATCACAGACAGAAATCACAAGAGAATAAACGATATGTTGTAGTATAAATATACTCCGTCAAACCTTCAAAGACACAATAATTTTTTATTTTTGTTTTTATTCTTTATTTCATTTTTTCTGTTTCAACTTATTCGTGGTAATAAACCAACCAGTGCGAACAAAAATAACATTACGCACTGTATTTAAAAGTAGCGATGTAACCTTTTTGCATTTCTAACGTTCCACAGAAGTAACTTATTTGAACGTGTAAGGAATTGAAATACCTACCAGACTCATGCAACTGCTGGACTCCTTGTTGCTTACAAGCCCCCACATCATGACTTTCTTTTCTTATTATCATCATTGTAATAATCTTATCATCCGATTCCAATTCGACAGTTTGATATTCATTAAAATTTGTCATAGAATAGGAGAGAAATGATCAACGTAGAGAAATAAATTATTTTTAGAGATTAAAGTGAGTTTATCAAAGGGTTTTAAACATAGTATGCAATTTCAGTTATTTTTAATTCCGAAGAATATGAAGCTCAACAAAGCATAGTTATTACAACATGGTATTGTATATCGAGTAAATATTATATCTTACAAACTGTATAGAGCAATAATAACCATCCATCATAATAACATTGTCTAGTTGCTGCCGTAACATAAGGGCATGACATAAGAACATGAACCTTAAAATTTGTTTTTTGTATTTTTTTTTTAGTCTCTTTTTTTTTCCTTTAAAAGGTATAAAGAATGAGTAGGGTCACGGCCCATAAATACGTATTGTTTTTAATATAACTACATGTCACTCCTTTTTAATTCATCCCTTTGGTTAAATTTCCTCCAAAGAGAAAAACATCTAAGCAAGCAAGAACAAACAAATTATATCCATTGTAGAACTTTAAAGCAATCACTGAGATGAGCTCTACTGCTACAATTATTTCTACCGCTTATCATACTAATTATTTCTACTTGATGGCAGATTTAGCACAGAAAATGATACTCCTGACTTTCTGCCAAAAATGACAACCAAATACGCTATACGACTTTGAACAGCAGGTGTATCTTATTCCGAAACATTGTTTTGTTAAAGTCTATCCAAAAGATGATGTTCTTTACATAATCTGATTTTAGCTTGGTTTTTCCTGTTGCTGTTGCTATTGTTGTCGTCCTGTTGCTGTTGCTATTGTTGTCGTTGTTGTTGATGCAACGACGTAGCTTCTCATCGTTTAAAAACATGCGTTCCTCGCTATTGACAGTTTAACCTTGAAACTCCCAGAAGAAATTAGCATGTAACTTATCCCGATAATATCTATTTATTATCTAGCTAACAGGTAGTTAGAATACTCAGACTCGTCCCATAAAACTTTCCATCTTAATCTAACACCAAATTCTCGTAGTTAATTTACAAGGAAATGTGTAACAGTTAGAGGGGAGAATTACCAAAAACATTTTAGGAGTGTAAGGGTTAGGACGATTGAGAAAAATAGTTTGAAAAGTCTACTTGCAAAAAACTTTTCTTGCAGCTCTTAAAACAGCTCTTCGAAGATCTTTCAAAACACAGCAGTACAAGATTGGATTGATGGCAGAGTTCATAAAAATCACAGTGGTCGCATACATTAAGCTACCGGACCACACCTGATTCCGCAACAAAACATCGACAATGATTAAGGGAAAAATTGGCGAATAACACAATATCAAAAACACGTAAAATATGAAGGTGTTTATGGTGGATCTCTTAAGACGAATTATGTTTAAGTTACTACCAATATTTGGGCCTTGAAAGACTTGGTTCTGCACCTGAATCTGCCTCTGGTGTCGCTTAACAATTTGATAAATTCTAACGTAAGAGAATGTCGATAAAAAGAGACAGCTGATGATGAAACAGGCAGCAACGAGAAAATATACTTCTCGTTTCCAAAAGTAGATACCAAATGCCACATATATAACAAACCACATTGTAGCTAGCGTGCAGATAACCCTTTTGGAAGTCACCATGGTAGCATATCTCATGTGGTAGTGAAGAGCCGCGTATCGATCCAAACTTATGAGTGTCATCGTTAATAGGGAAACTCCACAGCCGTTGCAGGAGAAAAAGAACACCATATGAAATTGGGTGTCATTTGGTATCAGCTCTTGAATGATAAAGAGAGGCTGCGCTATAAGTCCAACAATTACATCTGATGCAGCCAGACCGCAAGGCAGAGTTGTTGACGGCGAACGTAAAGAGGGTGTCCTAAAAACAGAAAAGATGACCAACAGATTTCCAGCAATGGATAACAACATGAATGTTAGGTTAATTCCGATGATCGCAGGCTTGGAATGGTCATCTTCCCGAGAGCGTGAAAACGATTGCGCCATTTCTTGCTTTAGAAAGGTCCCGTTCATTGTTTTGCGATTTTTGGTCCACAAAAGGAACAACTTTGGAGTAAGTCTTGGGCTCAAGTAAGTCTCGGTGCTCACTGCAGAGCGGTTTCTTAAAGTTTCGTGCTCATTATGTAACCATTGCTTACATATGGTACAAAACTCAGATTCGTGAAAAAGAAAGTTACAGAGACCAACTCGCTGTTTTTCAGATTTAGACATTTGAATAACTTTCTGGGGGAGATACAAGTATTTTTTTGTCAAAGAAAAAAATCCTATTACCTCGAAAAATTCAATCAAAGTAGATCTTTTGTTAAGGATTTTCAAACATAGCTAAAAGTTCAAAGAACCTTCAATCTTTACAACATCCATTGATTAATATTTTTGTGTGCAGATTTTCAAAGAGGACTCCCTAAGTCAAGCCCTGTTTTTTTTTAACAACATCAGTTGTAATCAATCTATTGTCACGGAATTTTCAAACAGAGCTCCCCAACTCAAAGAACTTTTTTATTATTATTTGTCAATCGCTTGTTGTTTAAATATCAGTCCTACTGGTTCTTTATTGTTTGGCATGTAATAAGAGTCTTTTCAGACCATCAAATCGTTACATAACTAGTGTAATTTAATAGGTTGGAGAACGAGGCTGCAAAGAGTGTATACGATTTTGTTGTGCAGTTGAAATGATAAATGAATATGATTTTTATTGGGAAATAATTGATTTTACTTAACTATTCATATAACAACTGGAAGCCAAAACTAGTACTTGTTTTAATTCACAATTTACTCACACCATTGGTCATATCTGATGATATTGGTGAGACTAATGATTAAAAAGACTTTTCCCTATTCCGATCAAGTCCTTAATTATTCTTCCGTTTCTAACAAGCTCTTTGATGTAAAGACCGTATCTCTAGTACTAATGTTGTCTTTTCTTTACTCGACATTGACCTTTTTTTTTTAGGTAATCGGCCCCGCCGGTTGTGGTTCATGTCAAAAAAAACTTTTGAAACAAGATATCAACTTCTGTCACGGTCAACTTTAATTTTGTCTAAAAATGGAAGTACATTGCACAAGCAGGAAAGTGAGTACTTCAAACGATAGTTAATAGGGATAAATTTAGGCCGAATCAGTCATGTAAGAAGTTGTCTCTTCGCATTTCCAAAGAACATAAAGTAGGTTGTAAGATTCTTTATAAGAGCACGAGCAGTTCAAGTCATCCGTTACGACCACTTTAAACCAGAAATCTTTTGTTGAATTAGTTATACATTTTTAATGTGTATTTGGGTGCAAAGGAAGGCAGTACTGCCGAAACACCAAATAACCTGGGTAAGTACCCTGAAAGACGACATCTGGGAGTGTTACCATAGAACTGAGAAAACTTTATCCCTATGGAAATTGAACTGATGACCTCTGGATTTAATCTACTGATGTTCTATTGATGTTCTACTGACTGTGCTACTAGGCCAGATAGGAGCAGGTTGGGGTAACTTAGATAGGGATGTATATGTTGGGAGCTGTACAGCACCGGTGGTATTAATTATACAGCTTTTAAGTATCATTAATTTACATCACGGATGGTGTGTGGTTCCTATCAATCTTTCGCTGATAATTTTCGGTGTAAAAATTTAAATTAAAACTCCCCAAGTTTGGTGTTTTTTTGTACACCCCATAGTTGCTCCAAAAAATAAAGTCTGCATACAAGCCTAGTGACACATTAGCTTGTCTTAGTTTCTGTAGCATGAAAACATTCATAATGTACGTGCCTTGATGAATTAAGGAAGAATGAAGCAAAATAATGTAGCTTACACCTCTGGTATTCAGAGGAAACTTTATTTTAAACAACGTTATTTCCTTAAGTCTGTTTAACATCAACAAAACTGAAGATAAATGATTTTGGAAATAATCAGGAATGTTTTGACCTTTAAACTCGTGCTCTCTGACTGTTTGCAGGCGTACAGTATTTTCCACCGGATGAAAAATCCTTATTTCATCAAGGCCTATACATTATGAATGTTTTCTTTTTACACACAGGTTACATGTACAATCTTATTCCAGACACGTGCTAATCAGCTAATTTGTAGCAGTGTCTTCTCACGCCTATCGTTATTTGGAACTAAAAGAAATGCAAATACGAACACTTTAAATTAAGAAACGTACCTCTAACACAGCTTTTGCAAAAGTTTGCATCTTCATCTACTATCGAACCACACACGGATCAAAAACATCGTGAGCTCGAAAAATGGCGGTTTTTCGAGCGGGCATTGTGTTACTGTTACACGATCCATCATTTCAGGTGCAAATAGCAACCGCTGACCAACTCGTTTTCTCTGTTTTTCCGTGAGTAAATGTTGTTTTGCCGTGAGTTAATTTTGTTTTGCCGTGATTTAGTGGTGTTTTGCCATGTGTTAATTTTCTTTTGCCGTTAGTAAAGTTTGTAGTGCCGTGAATTTTTGTTTTGCCGTGCGCAGATGTGGGCCACCGTAATATCAGAACGGGAATAATTAAGATCTTTACGCAAGTCTTGAATGTGTTTATGAACAGATCTTTCATTCAGATAACACAGTCTGAGACGGGAACCTGTTATGTGATATAAAGTGTCTGGGTCTACGAAGTTTAGGCTGTGGTTCACTGTGAGATGATTGTAGCCCTCGTCCTGTAGGCAATCATAAGCTTTCCACATGTCGCTCATCACTCGTGTTCCCGGCAGTATTTGACATACATAATCTTTAAAGGCAACTCACGGCCAAGGCGGATGTGAGATGGATGTCTCGTCTTGCCTAAATTTGCATACAGCTTAAGAAAAAATTGCAACTGACAGCCGGGATCTTTGAACCAATCCTGTCTCTCCTTGGCTGGTTCGCCTCTGGCTCTTAAAGAGCTGACAAGGGCGTTGACGTTCCTTTACAACCTTTTCTTTTGCGTTTGAAAAACAAAAATTAGTTTTCTTTCTTCACTCACGATTTTAGAGTTTCTTATTTATTCTATACGATTTAATTAGCAAGATTTCACTCAACCCCTGGCGTGTGTCACAAGGTTACTGGGCAACGCCACCGAGTTTTCAAAATTCTTACGCGGCATGAACTCTTCGATTTCTGATTACCTGGAGTAGGAAGAGGTCCAACAGCCCAAATTTAGGTTCGACAGTTATATATGTTCGTGTTTATGCTAAATTTATTATTGAGGCTCAGAAAGTTTGATGTAGCCGCTGGTAAAACATTTATTGTGAGTTTTCCTGACTTTAATATAACGGAAAGATGACTTGACATTTCCGTTCCGGAAACATGACAGAAGCTTGATAGCATCATCAGGACTAAGCATAACACGTTTCCGCAAAACGTAAATGTAGCGGAAACATGAAGCTCTATGTTTCCGTCACATTTAAGAAATGCGGAAACGTGGGATTTCGTCCTGTGTAGTTTTCTTTCTTCACTCACGATTTTAGAGTTTCTTATTTATTCTATACGATTAAATTGGCAAAATTTCACTCAACCCCTGACGTGTGTCACGTGGTTACTGGGCAACGCCACCGAGTTTTCAAAATTCTTACGCGGCATGAACTCTTCGATTTCTGATTACCTGGAGTAGGAAGAGGTCCAACAGCCCAAATCTAGGTTCGACAGTTATATATGTTCGTATTTATGCTAAATTAATTATTGAGGCTCAGTAAGTTTGATGTAGCCGCTGGTAAAACAATTATTGGCAGGTTCATAAATTACGATGAGACATGATGTCATAACGGTTTCATCAATTATTTAATGGTTCGTCGAATGTGATAATCAATATTCTCGTATCCTCCTAAAAGGGTTGTTATCTACAACTAAAAACGGAAACATTTAAAATGAACCTGAAATTGTAAGCAGAATCAGCTATCGATAGAAAACGAAAGAAAACTTTGAAATATCGTTCGCTGAAGAAGCCTTCTGAAATGCAAGACAACATCTTTAACACTTCCAGAGGATTTGCATATGATCAAGATGTGGATAACGAAGAAAACTCGACCATTCCTTCGACTATCGTCATAGTAAACTGTTTTCTTAATTTTCTACTGATGCTGATTTCAATTTTTGGAAACTCCTTGGTGTTAGCAGCTGTCATAAAGACACCTTCGCTTCGTTCACCATCCATAATTTTGCTGTGTGGTCTAGCTGTTTCAGACCTTGTCGTGGGTTTGATAGTCCAGCCGCTTTTTATCGCCAAAGTGCTCAAGCCTTTCCACTTTCTAGGGCAGCTGATGAAAGTTTTGAGTGCTACATTGTGCGGGATTTCTTTCGCTACCATGTCAGCAATAAGTTTGGACAGATTTTTGGCCCTGAGATACCACATGACGTACAACTCACTGAATACCACATCGCGTGCCAAATTTACTCTGATATCCATTTGGCTTGTTAACTCGCTGTTATTCTCAGGGGTTCACATCTGGTATAAACCTGAACATTTTTACATATCTTATGGATTGGTGGGTGTTTATATAATAATTTCTACTATTGCCTATGTCTGCATTTTCCGAATTACTCGACGTCACCAATACGAGATTCGCGCTCAATATCAAACAACGGAAGTTCAAAATGCATGTATTCAAATTACTTTAAACGTGCTGATGTTAACACGCACCGCTGTCAACACTTTCGTATTTTACGCTTGTACAGTTTTTTGTTATTTACCATGGATCATCTATCGGCTTTCTTACAATGATATATCTGTCAAAAATGCTCGTAGAGGCTGGGGGTTCGCGGTAACGTTGGTTTTTGCGAATTCAGCCATCAATCCGGTATTGTATTGCTGGCGTCTTCGTGAACTTCGACTGGCAGTTTCGAAGTTGTTAAGAAAAGTTCAATGACTTATAAGGAAAGGTGAAATATCGACGGGATTAAAAGGAAATGACATCAAAATTTTGAGAGTACTAAATTCATTTAGGCGTGTTTTTTAGTGAATATATTGAGATGTCTGAGCATTTTTAAATAAATATTGCGCTTTAATTCTCCAACCTTTGGCTAAAATGATAGATTGAAAAATTATCATAGGCTACATATCGAATCCAAGAACCATATGCAATTCCAAGTGGAAGGATTATATCAATGTTTTTTTTTTGTTCGATAAATAGCGAAAGCTTTTTACTTTTAGCAAAGAAAACGTGGATGAGATCACAGCAGAGATTGATATCTCAAAGTAGTTCTTATTCAAAGCAGTGCTTTTAATGCGTGTAGGATTTCTCTTTTCAGTGCATAGATTTAACCGACCATGAATGGTTACCACACTTGTGTTCGATAGTTAGCTTGACGCTCACAGTTTTTAATCTTTTTTTCTCATTTATGCGTTAAACTCAGAAATTCCCCTATGAAAAATTAGGAGTTATATATTAATTTTTTTTTCATATTATGAAAGAATTACAGCTCGTAAAAAAAAATTAACAAGGAAGTATGCTTTTAGTACTATAATCGTATTGGTAAGTATGACCATTAAGTGGGATCGATAACACATGAAAGGCGTTGAGTTTAAACAGTGCTTATTGAAATACTTCACAAAGTCAAACACATTCATATTCTCGCTAATAGCGTCTGCTCTCCGCCACAGCTGATCTGCCCTGGGGTTTACATCCAGATCTCTATCATTTAAGAAGGATTTTAATTTTTCTTTTAGAATTCAATAGACTTCACTGTATGCACAAACGGTTATAATTTCCGAACGCCGACGAAATATTATCTAAGTCAAGAATAAATTGATGTGTCTTACGAAAAATTGTTTAAGTTAAGTTCTAGAACATTCTTTAGAACATTCTAGAGCCCGAAGTCATCCAGCCGTGACCTTCTTGTATAAGAACATTCTGAAACGTTCTATTTCTTATGTAATTACTCAAATTTACAACCGTGTTAATCTTCGTAATTTAGTTCTTTAGAGAATTTTCTAGATCCTTCGACTTTATGTACATATGTAAGAGCGATAGTTTGATTAAAAATAAAAAAACAGAGAATTTTGAAGAAGCTTAGTGCTGTAAAGTCAAGAAGTTAACTACGTGGAAATGAATCAGTTTGTTGCTGTTACCTACGATCCTGAGGTTTGTCTAGGAACAACCCTGCTCTACACTGACACTTTTTGTCTCGAACACAAAAAAAGAGATCCTAAATGAAGTATCCGAGTTAGGGAAGAAATTCTTGGAATTTTGCAACTAATTTTTGCTTGATTACTTTACACGGACAGCAAGGCAGTGATTATGACGTCAACATTACTCCCTAATCGGTGCACTTAGGACCTTCTTATGGCGATTCGCTCAAACGTGCTTTGTGAGGTCAGGAGAAGTTATTGAAGCGGGTGGGAGCTGGTAATGAGCGCAGGAATAGGAATATGTCGGGTTACTAGACAAAATCAACTCTTTCACAAAGCTTGCTGGCAAAAGGTGCCTTTCTATCCTTTGTACTTACAGAGTACAGGAGAGGGCAAAAAGAGATAGGTCCGAAATGCTCGTGTATTGTACAGCCAGTAACTGTCAAATTAAGTTTCGTTTTTAGCTTTTTAATCTGATGTCGACTTCCACTCAAGTTGGGCGAGACTTCACTCATTGACACCAATAACTGTTCATTCCAGGACTACTCTCGACCGGCTGATCACAATACAAGAGTAGCTGAGGATGTTTAGGGACTAATCTACGTCGCAGATACTTGTATAAACTCATAAAAACAATTTTTTAGCTTATAGTTTTATTAAAAGTGTATTTAGGCCTCTGAAATAGATCACAACAAATCGCTGCACAAAACACACGAATACTTAATATATGAAATGTTGTTTAAAACTATATTTGTGGAACAATCTATCCTAACCACAATATTATTGAATAAATCTTCATTAAATGTACTATTTTTGCTCATTTCGTTCTGCTATGATGACCGGAAATAGATTGCCTCGCAAGCAACCAGTTGGAGTAAGACGGGATAGTGCGTCATTTTGTCCTCGCCAAGCATCGCCCTAACCCTTGGTGCCTTGACACGGGCCGGATTATTTTCTCGCGATTTAGGTGTCCTAGAAAGTCTTTGTTTCGCAGAAGAGATCTGTTGAGGATGTTTTAAGGTATGACTATGTTTCATCTGAATTTCTTCGCCTTGATGTGAATCATTAGATTCCTCAGTCATATTTACCATGAGGAATCTTTTTTCTGTTTTTCCCGGGCTTACAATCTGAGAGCGTTCGTGTGTTGATCTGGAGGTAATTTCGGAGATGTCCGAGGCAACGATATCAATTCTTTCCCTCTCACACTGAAGAAACGTCTTCACGTAAGGCTGCATAGCAGGGACATGAAGCAACTGCTTCGCAAAGGGCCTTTCGTTGGGGTTCTTTTGAAGAAGAGCGGAAACCAAGTCCTGCAAAAAGTGGCCCATAGTGTCTGCAAGAGAATCATCTCTGTCTGTAACTAATTACTCTTCTATAAAGAACGAATAAGTTTCTGACTGATGAATAAATATTTAACAATCTATACGTTTAAAAATAAACCTGTTTATTAGAATTTGTACATAAAGAATAAATTAGCTGCTTCTCTCTCTGCTTACTTTTAAGAGTTGATTGATATCAGACTTCACTAAAATTGTAGACCCAAAAGTAAGAAAATACGTTGAAAAGATTATCCAGATCGTAGGCTTTCCTTGGCCGAGTTATGCAGATAACGGTCATATGTTAGCCCATGATAATATAAGGTTTTATTTTGGCTCTGTTACTTTACAGAAATATAAGAACGTCTCTATGAGGTGATGGCCTTTACGGCTAACAGATACAGGTTTGGTGTTTCACTGCTAACGGTTAAATCATCATATATTTTATGTTCAGTTTTGTCTTTCTATCAACAACTGACATAATCTCCTTCCTGCAAAAGAGAAATCTAAAGGTTTTAAACAAAGTATGCAATTTCGGTTGTTTTTAAACCCGAAGGATATGAAGCTCAACAAGGCACAGTTATTGCAACATAATACTGTATATTGAATAAGTATAATATTTTACAAACTGTATAGAGTAATAATTGCCATCCATCATTAGGGCGTGACATAAGAACATGAACATAAGAATCTTAAAAGTATTTAATGCTAGATCGCCTTTTAAAACCGTCTTTCACCTTTGTTGTTATTGTTTATCTATTTTTAAGTCTCTTTTTTTCTTTTAAAAGGTATTAAGAATGAGTAGGGTCACGGCCTTTTAATACGTGCTGTTTTTAATATAATTACATCTCACTCCTTTTCAATCCACCCCCTTGGTCATAAAGGGTTATCTTAAATTTCCTCCAAGGAGAAAAACATGCAAGCAAACAAGAACATACAAATTATATTCATTGAAGATTTTTAAAGCAATCACTGAGATGAGTTCTACTGGTACAATTATTTCTACCGCTAATTATACTAATTGTTTCTACTTGATGGCAGATTTAGCACACAAAATAATACTCCCGTTTCTGCCAAAAATGGCAACCCAATACGCATTACGACTTTGAACAGCAGGTGTATCTTTTTCCGAAACATTGTTTTATTTTAGTCTATCCAAAGGATGGTGTTCTTTTACACAATCTGCTTTTAGCTTGGTTTTTCCTGTTGCTGTTGCTGTTGTTGTCGTTGTTGTTGATGCAACGACGTAGCTTCTCATCATTCAAAAACATGCGTTCTCGTTATTGATAGTTCAACCCTGAAACTCTCAGAAGAGATTAGCTTGTAACTTCTTCCTATAATATCCATTTATTATCTAGCAAACAGGTGGTTAGAATACTCAGACTTGTCCCATAGAACTTTCCATCTTAATCTAACACCAAATTCTCGTCGTTAATTTACTAGGAAATGTGTAACAGCTAGAGGGGAGAATTACCAAAAAGATTTTAGGAGTTAAAGGATAAGCACGATTGAGAAAAACTGTTTAAAAAGTTCACCTGCAAAACATTTTTCTTGCAGCTCTTAAAACAGCTTTTCGAAGATCTTTTAAAACACAGCAGTACACGATTGGATTGATGGCAGAGTTCATAAAAATTACAGTGGTCGCATATACGTTAAGCTACCTGACCATTCCTGCTTCAGCAAAACAACATCGACAATCAGAAATGGAAAAATTGGCGAATAAAACAATATCAAAAACATGTAAAATATGAAAGTGTTTATGGTGGATCTCTTGAGACGAGTTATGTTTAAGTTACTACCAATATTTGGGCCTTGAACGACTTGGTTCTGCGCTTGAATCTGCCTCTGGTGTCGCTTAACAATTTGATAAATTCTAACGTAAGAGAATGTCGATAAAAGGAGACAGCTGATGATGAAACAGGCAGCAACGAGAAAATATACTTCTCGTTTCCAAAAGTAGATACCAAATTCCACATATATAACAAACCACATTGTCGCTAGCGTGCAGATAACCCTTTTGGAAGTCACCATGGTAGCATATCTCATGTGGTAGTGAAGAGCCGCGTATCGATCCAAACTTATAAGTGTCATCGTTAATAGGGAAACTCCACAGCCGTTGCAGGAGAAAAAGTATACCACATACTTCAGGGTGTCATTTGGTATCAGCCCATGAATGACAAAGAGAGGCTGCGCTATAAGTCCAACAATTACATTTGATGCAGCCAGACCACAAAGCAGAGTTGTTGACGGCGAACGTAAAGAGGGTGTCCTAGAAACAGAAAACATGGCCAACAGATTTCCAACAACATGAAAGTTAAGTTAATTCTGATGATCGTAGGCTTGAAATGGTCATATTCCCGAGAGCCTGAAAACGATCGTGCCATTTCGTGTGTTGGAAAGGTCCCGTTCATTGTTTTGCGGTTTTTGGTCCACACAAGGAACAACTTTAGATGAAGCGGCGGAGTAAGTTTCGGGCTGGAGTAAGTCTCGGTGTTCACCGCAGAGCGGTTTCTTAAAGTTTCGTGCTCATTATGTAACTATTGCTTACAACTGGTACAAAACTCAGATTCTTAAAAAAAGAAAGTTACAGAGACCAACTTGCGGTTTTTCAGTTTTGGACCTTTGAATAACTTTCTGGGGTAGATACAAGTATTCTTTTTTGAAAAGAACTCTATTATCTTTAAAACTTCAGTCAGGGTAAATCTTTTGTTGATGATTTTTACAATATCAATTAAATCAAATTTTTCTGTGCAGATTTTCGAACAGAACTCCCAAAGTCAAACCCTATTGTTTGCCTTTTTGTTGTTGTTTCCTTTTTTCCATAATCAATTAAAACAAAATTGTTTTCCGCCAGAATAATTTCTTTACTTGGACAAATTTTTGTTTGCAGATTTTCAAATAGTACTCCAAAGTCAAACCCTGTTGCTTGGCTTTGATTTGTTGTTGTTGTTGTCTTTTTTTCCCACAATAATTTAAAACAAAATTATTCTCCGCTAAAATGATTTCTCTGCTCGGACAAAGCAGACACATCAGGCAATTATGAGAATTTAATTGCTATCAATCCGATTGGATTGCGACTTTTGTTTAACGAAGCGATGGATCCAAGTGATTGCCAAATAAACACATGTTCAGTACTTTGCGAAAACAAAAAAATTATTTGTCAATCATTTTTCTTTATGTTGGTACCGACATTTAAAGCTTTTGAAGTAAACGCTTGTGATTTTCTACTTTTATTAATATTTGAGTTTCAATTTCGTCTGTGACTCTTTTGAACTGGGTTAATTCTCAAGCCCCAAAAGTGGAGAGGATCGTTTTCTCAGAAAGTAAATGATGAAAATCTATTTTTAAAAAAATTAAAGTCTTAATAAAATGAAAATGCTCGCATAATCTTTTAAAGGCAAGCCACGGCCAAGGCGGATGTGAGATGAATGTCTTCCCTTGCTTGATTTGCATGACAGCTAAAGAAAATTGCAATTGAAAGCCGAGATCTTTGAGCCAGTGCTGTCTCGCTCTTCTTGTCTGGTTCGCCTCTGGCTCTTAAAGAGCTGACGAAGGGGTTCACGTTCCTTTACAACTTTCTCTATTGCGTTTGAAAAAACAAAAATGAGTTTTCTTTCTTCACTGGCGATTTTAGAGTTTCTTATTTATTCTATACGATTTAATTTGCAAAATTTCACTCAACCCCCAGCATGTGTCACATAGTTACTAGGCAACGCGACCGAGTTTTCAAAATTGTTTCGTGGCATGAATACTTCGCTTTCTGATTACCTGGAGTAGGAAGAGGTCCACCAGCCCAAATTTAGGTTCGACTGTTATATTTGTTCGTGTTTATGATAAATTTATTATTGAGGCTCAGTAAGTTTGATGTAGCCGCTGGCAAAACATTTACTTGCAGGTTCATAAATTACGATGAGACAAAATGTCATAACACTTTGATGATTCGTTTAATGGTACGTCGAATTGAATAATCAATATTTTCGTATCCTCCTAAAAGGGTTGTTCTCTACAAACAAAAACGCAAAAAATTTCAGATGAAACTGAAATTGTAAGCAGAATCAGCTATAGATAGAGAACGAAAGAAAACTTTGAAATATCGTTCGCTGAGGAAGCCTTCTGAAATGCAAAACAACGTCTTTAACACTTCCAGAGGCCCTGCATATGATCAAGAAGTGGATAACAAAGAAAACTCGACTATTCCTTCAACTATCGTCATAGTAAACTGTTTTCTTAATTTTCCACTGATGCTGATTTCAATTTTTGGAAACTCCTTGGTGTTAGCAGCTGTCATAAAGACACCTTCGCTTCGTTCACCCTCCATAATTTTGCTGTGTGGTCTCGCTGCTTCAGACCTTGTCGTGGGTTTGATAGTCCAGCCGCTTTTTATCACCAAAGAGCTCAAGCCTTTTCACTTTCTACGGCAGTTGACGAAAATTTTGAGTGTTACATTCTGCGGGATTTCATTCGCTACCATGTCAGCAATAAGTTTGGACAGATTTTTGGCCCTGAGATACCACATGACGTACACCTTACTGAATACAACATCGCGTGCCAAATTTACTCTGATAGCCATTTGGCTTGTTAACTCGCTGTTATTCTCAGGGGTTCACATCTGGTATAAATCTGAACAATTTTATATATCTTATGGATTAGTGGGTGTTTATATAATAATTTCCACTATTGCCTATGTCTGTATTTATCGAATTGCTCGACGTCACCAATACGAGATTCGCACTCAACATCAAACAACGGAAGCTCTGAATACATGTATTCAAATTACGTTAAACGTGCTGGTGTTAACACGCACCGCTGTCAACACTTTCGTATTTTACGCCTGTACAGTTTTTTGTTATTTACCATGGATCATCTATCGGCTTTTTTACAGTGATGTGTATTTTAAAAATGCTCGTAGAGGCTGGGTGTTCGCGGTAACGTTGGTTTATGCAAACTCAGCCATCAATCCGGTATTGTATTGCTGGCGTCTTCGTAAACTTCGACTGGCAGTTTCGAAGTTAAGAAAAATTCAATGATTTATAAGGAAAGGTGAAATATCGACGAGATGACTCATCAAAATTTTGAGGGTACTAAACTCATTTAGGCGTGTTTTTTAATGAATATATTGAGATGTCTGAGCATTTTTAAATAAAAATTGCGCTTTAATTCTCCAGCCTCTAGCTAAAGTGATAGATTAAAAAATTATCCTAGGCTACATATCGAATCCAAGAACCATATGCAGTTCCAAGTGGATGGATAATACAACGCTTTTTTTTTTCGATAAATAGTGAAAGCTTTTTACTTTTAGTAAAGAAAACGTGGATGAGATCACAGCAAAGATTGATATCTCAAAGTAGTTCTTATTCAGAGCAGTATTTTTAATGCGTATAGGATTTCTCTTTTCAGTGCATAAATTTAACCGATCATGAATGGTTATCACATTACACTTTTGTTCGATAGTTAGCTTGACGCTGACAGCTTTCAATTTTTTTTTTCTCATTTATGCGTTGAAAGCAGAAATTCCCCTATGAAAAATTTGGAGTTATATATTAATTTTTTTTTATATTATGGTAGAATTACAGCTCGTAAAAAAAAAACTAAACAAACAGGAAATTATGCTTTTAGGACCTTAATCGTATTCGTAAGTAGGGCCATTAAATGGGATCGAAAACACATGAAAGGCGTTGAGTTTAAACAGTGCTTATTGAATTGCTTTACAAAGTCAAACACATTCATATTCTCGCTAATGCACCTGCTCTCCGCCACAGCTGATCTGCCCTGGGGTTTGCATTCAGATCTCTATCATTTAAGAAGGATTTTAATTTTTCTTTTAGAATTCAATAGACTTCACTGCATGCAGTAACGGTTATAATTTCCAAACGCCGGCGAAATATTATCTAAGTCAAAAATAAATTGATGTGTCTAACGAACAATTGTCTAAGTCATAGAACATTCTATAGAACAGTCTAGAGCCCGTAGTCATCCAACACAGCGTGTGTTGAAATGAACCCGCTAACGTTCTATTTCTTATATAATTACTCAAATTTAGAAACCGTGTTAATATTCTTAATTTAGTTCTTTAGAAAATTTCTAGATCCTTCGACTTTATGTATATAAGAGCGATAGTTTGATTAAAAAAAAACAAAAAAAAACAGAGAATTGTGAAGAAGCTTAGTGCTGTAAATTAAGTCAACAAGCCAACTACGTGGAATTAAATCAGTTTGCTGCAGTTAGAGACGATCCTGAGTTTTGTCTAGGAACAATCCTGCTCTACATTGACACTTGTAACAGTGTGCATGTTGCGTTTGAAACCTTTATCTCTTGAACACACAAAAAAAGAGATCCCAAATGAAGCATCCGAATTAGGGTAAAAATTATCGGAATTGTGCAACCGACTTTTGCCTGATTACTTTTCACTGACAGTAAGACAGTGATTATTACGTCAACATTACTCCCTAATCGATGCACTTAGGTTCATCCTAGGGCGATTCTCTCAAACGTGCTTTGTGAGCTCGGGAGAAGTTGTTGGAGCGGGTGGAAGTAATAAGGGCAGGAATAGGAATGTGTCAGGTTATTAGACAAAATCAAATCTTTCACAAAAGCTTCCTGGCGAAGGGTGCCTCCCTCTCCTTTGTTCTTACAGAGTACTGGAGAGAACAAAAAGAGATAGGTCCGAAATACGTGTATATTGTACAGCCAGTGGTTGTCGTTTTGATTTTCGTTTTTAGCTTTTTACTCTGATTTCGACTCCCACTCAATTTCGGTGAGATTTCACTCATTGGCATCAATAACTGTTTGGAGACTAACCTACGTCGTAGATACTTGTACAAACTCATGTAGAGAATTTTTTAGCTTCTAGCTTTATTAAAAGTGTATTTAAGCCTCTGAAAAAGATCACAGCAAATCGCTACACAAAACACACGAATAGTTAATATATGAAATGTAGTTTAAAACTATATTTGTGGAACAATCTATACTAACCAAAATATTATTGAATATATCTACATTAAATGTACGATTTTTGCTCATTTCGTACTGCTATGATGACCGGAAATAGATTGCCTCGCAAGCAACCAGCTGAAGTAAAACGGGATAGTACGTCATCTTGTCCTCGCCAAGCATCGCCTTAACCCTTTCCTTCACCACTTCATTCTTTTCAAGAGAAACACTGATGACATAGTAGTAAACAGCGGTCAGAAGATCGGTGCCTAGTTCGTTTTCCAAGTACGCGCGTAAGGCCTCCATGCGACAATAAATCGAATCACTGGAAGAAACACTGTCCAGATGCAATGTTTCGCCGCCATGCTTGAACTTCCATCGTGACATAGAGAATGAAACATCGCTTTCAGTTTTAGAGGTCACTGCCTTAGGCATTACGTGATCTACAGTTTCAAAATTTCGATCGTTCGAGTCAGTTTGCTCTTTTGTAGCTGAACTCAAACGTCTTCCACTTTTTGAAATTTTGCTGTGGTTCTTTCCTTTTTCCACGTCAGTTAAGTCCTTGTCATTTCTGTTTGTATTATCACGGGGCAGTCGTTCATCGATATCCGGGATTTCAAACACGGAAGGTTTCCTCTTTTTGCAAACTGTATACGTACTTTTTCTCTGTTCGTCTTTCGGATCAAATATACCTTTTGTTTCCTTGGTGATGGGTTGATCTTCGATGTTTCCGCACAGAATTTGTCTCAAAGCCCCGGATGAAGCACGACGCTTTGCTTTAATTTGGGGATTCAAAATAGAGCCTCTCTACAAAGAAAATAAAGAAAATGAAATTTTTCATATCAACCATTTACACCCTAACATCAGTATGCATATTCTCCATACTGTTCTCTATACATGGCATGAGGTTTTGACAAGGAGAATTTGTTTAAAAATCAAGAGTTTCTTTATTTGGTGATCATCTCCTTTATTCTCATGAAGTTAATGTGGGATTCAGGACTGATAGTGTAAGGAGAAATTAGATGCTAGTCACTCTTAGAGACCGAAGGGTTAGCTAAGGGCTAAAGACTAAAGTTAATAATAGACTTAACGCACTCAAAGACCATTTTCTCGATAGATACCAGAAAAGTTGTTTTAATAATTAAAACTTATTGCTCTGTATTAACTGAGTTAACTAATAGACTAATATAAGTGAATTTTGTGTATTAAAATTCACATTATTGCTGGGATGCAACAATAAAACTGAATAGCTGAAGTTTTGTGATCGATTTTCGACCAACTGCAAAAACAATGCCACCTACATTTTCTTTATCCTCTTCGTCAGTCTCGGGATTCGTCATGAGTCTCCGATGCCTTTGCTCGAATGGCCTGCGGTTTCTCTCTTGAGAAGTTACAATGGACTGATTTCTCTTTTTTCTATGCATGTCCTCGTCGCTATTCCGCGGACCCATTTTCGTCGCGGACTCGATTTTCCTCTCCTGAGTCACGGAAGTAAGCCTTTTTTTACAGTAAACTGCGTTACTCGACCCTCTTTCCTTAACACGCCGCGGTTTCGTCGCAATGCAGCGGTCTTTTCCTCGTTCGGTGACTGTTGTTGATTCACTGACAGAAAATACATCGTCCGCCTGAACAGAATGGTTTGCAAATTGTGCTCCACTTGAATGAGTCCGAACCTTTGAAATATTGGCCGTAGAGTGTGAATGTGCAGATATTTGTTCGGAGTGCCGTCTTTGAAGGGCATGTGTTAGTTTAATCAAGTTGTGCTTTCTTGTGTCGACAGGGGGTCTAGCTCGAAAATTTTCCCGCGCCTTAAGTGTGTTTACATTGACGCTTAAAGGCTGATGCATTTTTGACGCTTTGTAATTTGTCTCTGGAAGTTCCTTCTTCTTTGGCGCCTTGACACGGGCCGGATCATCATCTTGCGAATCAGGTGTCCTAGAAAGTCTTTGTTGCGCCGAATAGATCTGTTGAGGATGTTTTAAGGCCTGACTATGTTTCATCTGAATTTCTTCGCCTTGATGTGAAGCATTAGATTCCTCTGTCACGTTCACCATAGGGCATTTTTTCTCTTTTTTTCCTGGGCTTACAATCTGAGAGGGATCGTGTGTTGATCTAGAAGTAATTTCGGAGATGTCCGAGGCAACGCTGTCAGTTCTGTCCCTCTCACACTGAAGGAACCTCTTCACGTAAGGCTGCATAGCAGGGACATGAAGCAACTGCTTCGCAGAGGGCCTGTCGTCAGGGTTCTTTTGAAGAAGAACAGAAACCAAGTCCTGTAAAAGTGGCCCATAATGTCTGCAAGAGAATCACCTCTGTCCTTAACTAATAACTCTACATTTGTAAAAGATCCATCCTTTTACAAGTAAATCTGTTTTTTAGAATTTTTACATGAAAAGGAAATTGGCGATGTCTCTCTCTGATTACTTTTAAGAGTTAATTGGTATCAGATTTCGCTAAGATTATTTGCCTAAACATAAGAATACTCGAAAAGATTATCCATATCGTATTTTGCAGGCCTTCCTTAGCTTAGTTATACAGATAACGATCATATTAGGTTAGTCCATGATAATATAAAGCTTTGTTTTAGCTGTTACTCTACATACATATAAAAAGCTCTCTCAGGGGTGATTTTTTTTTTACGGCTTACAGATAAAGGTTTGGCGTTTCACGGCTAACGATTAAACACATTGAGACCCTCGTAAATTTCATGTTTATTTTTGTCTTTCTGTCAACATCTGACATAAACATCAGCCTAAATTTTATATGTGTATATATATATATATATATATATATATATATATATATATTGCTGACCACAAAAAATGCCCCCAGGCCTAGAACATATGAAATAATTATTTTAGGCTACTTACCTTGGAATGGGTGGGTATTGTCCTTGCAAAATCTTGATGACAAGCGCAGAGAAGTTGTTTGCATTGAACGCGTGTTTGAGCGTAACCAGTTCATACAATACACAGCCCAAAGACCACATGTCGCTCTTATGATTATAGCTAAAAGTGTTTTAAGGTCATTACATGGAATTGAATTTGTACACCAGAGACATTTTTAATTGAGTGTCCAAAGTAAGCCGGGATTGCATTGGTGTTGCTTTACTTTGCTTTGTGATTGGTCCATAAACGTCGCACCACCCTCTCGAACCAACAAAAATAAAAACCAATCCTTAATTGGTCGCCCGCGTTTTCCCGCGCTCTAGGCAGTTTATTGGTTTTTCTTCGACTTCTGTGGCCTCTAAAAGGCATTTTCTTCTCCTCGGATTGGCCGTTCTGATTGCTTTTGTTTTGATTTTACGACACTCAATCGAAAAGCACTCAATCACTGTCAAGTTTGTAAAATTATTTTGAACCAAAATATAAGCGAGGTCACGCAAGGTTTATCATCAATGAAACAGTTATACGTGTGATTTCTGCTTTAACTTATGACGAAGGATACGGTTTCTTTTGACAGATTTCTGGTGACAGGTAATACGGTGTCCCAACTGTGGTTTGCGCATGATCCAAAGTGCTGTTCAACATCCGGGCAATGCCGAAATCACCCAACTTAATGACGTCATCTTTACCAAGGAAGATATTCTGCGTCTTAAGATCTGAAACGTGAATTTTTAATAGAATATTTAAGAAATCTCGTATCAATTTGTGGACTATGAAAATATATTTACGCTAGTATGATGTACATACCTCTGTGAAGAATATTTTGTCCATGAATATACTTGAGGGCGAGGCACAGCTGTGTAAACCATTCTAGAATTTGCTGTAGAGGTTTAAGGAAACATTATTAATTCTGAGAAGCATGGGAATTTCAAAAAGAGCATGAGTGCCTTTGTTAATGATCGGACGTATACTTATCTATGAGACACTATGGGATACTCGTCTCACGTCATTCGAATAACCGCTCCGTCGTCAGGAACAAGTTATTATGCAAATTCTATTTTACAATAGGAGTTTTTTCCGGAAAATTAAAGTCATCGTTGCAGCTATAAAAAACAAAAAATTCAAACATTCAAATATTACCTCATATTATACTAAATGCCCAGCCAAACACACGCAACACGTCAACGCAAAATCTTGCAACATTGTTGCGCAACAACGTTTTGCACACGTTTGGTCACCGTGCAGCAACGTATTGCAAGATGTTGGATAGTGCTGGGTCAAGTTTGAAATTGGTCAAATTTTTGTTGCAACATTTTTGGATGTTGCGAGATGTTGCACGCGTTTGGCCAGCTCCTTCTGCATAACATCTGACTACATGATCTACCTATGCTGCAAGATGTTGCATTGCAATTTTGCGTGCGTTTGACCACGCCTTAAAACAAAGCCGCAGTCTCAACGGCAATGTATTGTTTCCGGCATTGTTTTCTTTCTCCAAGAACTGTATGCATAATTTCAAAGGTGGGGTTGTGCAGAAATCTTGCTCAGGAAGGAAAACTGTCGCAAGCAAAACAAAGTCGATTTTTCTCAAGTTATAAAAATGCCTTCTTCGCTGATCTGATTTCATTGCATGCCTTGATGCATTGTATCTTCTGAAAACATATAACTCCTTTGACTAAGTTTAAGTAAGCCTTTATGCGAAATGTAAATCCAAGTTTGCGGGTATTTAAAAAAGTGGAAGTTTTCTTAAACTGTTTACATTCCTAAGACTTACTATTTCTGGGAAATGCGTTCCATTCCTATCTCTGATTCTAGTGTAGAGATCTCCTGAAATTTAAGACAACAGCTTTGCTTTGAAAGGAGTTCAATTCACTCAGTATCAAGCATCAATTGACCGCACCATTTAAAACACAAAGTATAAGCCAAGGTTTTCTCTCGTACCTTTTTCTGCAAATTCCATTGCGATACACAATTTTCCTGAAGCTACAAAGGCTTCCTTGTAACGCACGATGTTCTTATGCTTAAGCTTGGACAAAATCTTCGCCTCGTTCAAAGCAAGATGGCGATCCTGCTCCGACATTTCAGAGACGCCCAATTCTTTCAGCGCATACTTTCTTTTGCTCACGATTGATTCCACCAGCCATGCTTGACCAAATGTTCCTGAACCAATTTTTTTAATTTTACTGTAACGTTCCATGTTAAAACTCTTGTAAAACTGCTGAACTCGACTGACTACGCTCCTTCAGAAGAACAGCAGAGTAACTCCGACACCAACTCGATAATGTAAATCTCACTGGGGCGAAACACCTTCGAATATGTTGTTTGAAAACAAACAAAAGCATGTCTCACTTTCGTTCCATCGAGAGAGCGCAATATTTTTCATTTTTTTCAACATGTATTCGGGTTTGCTGTACTTAAAGTATTGTTTCCCGGTGTTAGATTTTCTATTGCACCTTTGTATCTATTTTGCGCAATTTTTTACCTGAACCATCTCAGTTCTATGTGCAAATGAAATTCCCACTTTTAACACTGAACAATATTGTTCTAAACAACGAAGGAATTCTTTGCCAGCACTAGTTGATAAAATACAGGAAGTGAAGGGACCCGTGATTTCAAATCAGCCAATGGCCATCGAATCTGCTATAGCAGAGCATAAAGAACAGTTGAAGTCAGACAAAGGTACCTAATTCGAAGATAATTACACAAAACACTGGACAAATTGAGTTAATCCCTTTTATTATTTGTATTTTCTTTTACCGACTCCTTTTATTTAACCAGAAAAATCATGGTAGACTTAAATAGATACTAAAGCAAAGAAAGAAAAAATTAAATAAATTTTATTTCTTTTGTTTTTTTGTTTTGTTTTGTTTCCTTTTTCCGCTAACGGGGCATTTAGGTCAATTCTTATTAGAGAGATCAGTTTACTAACGCAAGATTTTTGTGCAAACTAAATCTCATGATTATCTGTGTTTTTTGTGTTCATTGAAAAAACCTTTTGCATTAACATCTTTGTGATGATCGTCAGAATGGCTATCGTCTTTTTAATGTTCATCGTCGTCATCATCATTGTCATCATCATCATCATCATCACTGTCATCAATACCATTGTCATCATCGTCGTCGTCGTCATTAGCATCATCGTCATATCTGACACGATTATCATCTACACCATCGGGTACTTTCTCGCCCTTGGGCTCCTCATATAACACCCTTATACAATGGGGCTGATTTTGTAAATCCATAAACTGCCAACCGAAGTGATTCCCACCCGGTAAGAGTACATTTATGCTTTTGTAATACGCGAATTTGTATTTTGGGCCATGATCTTGCCAGTCAGACCAGATCTTATCAAGGAAAGCATGGTGAGACCAGAACTCAGGGGCGCTTGCAGATTCATCCTCCGACATTGTGCCACCAACTGCATTGTGCAGATCATTGTGCATATATCTCCTCACCCCAGATTCAAATGCGCGAAATTTTCTCCACGAGAGTTTCTTTAAATCCTTAACGTACTCCTCACTTGGCAAATAATATCTGTGGTCGAATCGTCTGGAGAGACACTTAGAAAATAACCACTCCGGTAGAGACCATTTTCCAGCTTGGAAAGGTCCATTTCGGACACAACTTGTGCGAGATTTACCCTCACCGTCACCGCCCAGGCCGTGAGGTCCTGGATTCCAGATATCCCGTATGTCTGTGGCACGCCATAAGCGATTGCGCGACACAGCTCGGGCCCAGTTCCAATACGGCACAGTCACGCGACAATCAACATGACGCAGAAGATTCTCAAAGATGAATAAGTACCACCGATGCCATGGGAAGAAAAATGGTCTTTGGTGAATGATATCGAAGAATTTTGGATGGAGTCTTGTAACTAGATCATAGGTCTTTTTGTAGGGGTCCTGTGTAGAGACTACTTTAAGGACCTTCACGTAGCGGCGCCGCTCTTCGAGGGGCATTTCCATAAAGTCCTTTCGTATTCTGTGGCAATCGGTAAATGTTCCGTTTATACAACGGCAGCGCCGATCACACTCATCATAGGAGAAGCCTTCTATTGAGCAGCTACGGTTAAGTCCTGGAAAAGGAAGCTGCAATGTTTCCAAAATGATTGTGGCAATCATAATGTGGTAACCGTCATTCAAGGCATAATCTCGCTTCCAGAGCTCACGCTGTCCTAATCCCACGTGGGCGGGAAACGAGAGTATCACCCGCAAGGGACTAAGGTAAAATTGAGCTCGGCAAGTGAGATTGCTTAAGACAAGGATATTTAGAGCATTCCAGAATGACTGTTTTAAGATCATAACCTAAATTTTCTAAATAATGATGAGCACACCTAACCGAAAAACAAAAAAATTACAAAGGACCAACGAGAGCTTAAAAGAAAAACTTGATCAACCTTTCTCTGACCAGGTTTAAATTGAAGAAACCATTGACATGCGTTCTGTTAGAGTGACTTTGTACGTCGGCATGACTGGCTGTAGGCTAAATTGGAGTTCCCTTACCCACCACGCGCTTCAGAATAAAGACAAGCGATCCGATATCTAGTCAAGAAATTTCTTGATTGTTTTGGTATTCTAAATTTTGTTCTGATTTCTTACAAAATGTTTCCTCAAGTCTAGTTCCTTGCTGCTGGTGTGCTCAATCCCGATACGCGCATTGCCGTTTAGAGATCTGAAATTTTAGCTTATTGTTACGTAGGGTTCACCGATATGGCCGACTCTCCACTTATAAACGCCTCGTCACTTACTTACCTTTGCCTTTGAAAGACTTAGCTAGTCTGGGAAGATCTCGAAACGAGTTAACCTGAAAAATAGGCCTTTTAAAGGGTTTACCAATCACCATATTTGGCATGTCGATCGTCACGTGTTTGCCAACTGTTAATAGAAAAATATCTACGCCGTCATTCTGAAGTTCTTTGGCGAGAGAAGTGGTCTGCTTTGTATCGTTCGAGGCAATGCTTTCTGTAATAATAAATAAGATTCGACGAACTGAATTCGTTGCATTTTTAGCGGGCGAATATATCTTTGATTTGACGTAGTCGAGGAGAGTATTTAAGGAGGATCTATTTCCCGCTTGAAACCTGTTGGTAAAAAGAGATAAATAGATAAATGAATAAATGAATTAATGATTAGCAAAACAGAGAGGATTAAAGGTAATCAAAATCCTAAGATAAAAGAGACTCTTAATGAAATCAATAATAATAGCATAAATTTATCCGTGCTGGTTCTATACACAAACCAAACTGCACCTTACAATTTTTTACTGAAATGACACATAGAGAAGGCTGGAAAATTACAATTCCTGATATTGACCTTTCTTGGGGTACAATCTTACCTAACCGATGATATTCCCTCAAGGGTGCATTCAACGTTCATGAATTTGTACCAGCTGAACTCCATGCGAGGAGTGGAGGACTGAGTAACCATTGCGACTCTAGTTCCTGAAGGGGATATACTGAACTCTTGCACCAGGTCCCCCACGAACTCCTTGACTAAGTTGAAATTTTTAGGTCCTACGACGGAGTTACTTGGTATAACCACAGTGAGGTGTATTCGAGGAGGCATATGAGAGCCTAAAAATCAAAGGGAATCGGAATAAAAGGAAAAGGGAAAGTTTGTCAGTCATAACAAAGTCATTAATCGTCGCCTTTTGCGCATTTTAAATGCAGATTTTATTTTAGTGAGAAGGAATCATCACTTATAGTATCTAACCTTTATCTCGCTTGGCCAACTGAAAAATGCTCCCGGAAAAAGCTCCTGTTAAGGCTTCCAATGATGCAACCGTCATTTCTAAAGAAGTCAAAAAGAAGTAACAAGAACAGTTAGCTCTGAATAAATCAATAACAATGGAGGAGAATACGCTGCCTTTGCCATGACATCTGCGAATGGTTAGACATCCAAGACTTATCGAATTAGGGCGACAAACCGAAGCCTCCTCAGTCTCTTTAATGGCTGTCAGGGACGTTAAAAAAAATCTTTGCACTTCAAGAGTAGGGGATATAGCTACCGGTGTTGTGATCTGGCCATGTTTCCAAAAAATTCCTAGATTGGGAGCACCTACAAAGTTTTCTCTCAAGAATTGTGAATTGCTTAATACAGTCTCGCCCAATTTTCCAAAAAGTGTTGTAAGCGCATTAGAACATGTCAATATGGAGAATACGCTTTATGAACTCATCATTTTCATTATCATTATATAGTATTCCATAGCATTGCAAGAGCAAAGGACTTAACGACAAGAAATATAACGAATTCCTAACAGATCACTGCCTTAATTCGAGCATGACAAAATTAATTACTTCATTTCAATTAAAACTCATATTTACCTGCCCTCTCTTCGTACAAAGGTTTTCCTCTCAAGCCCATCAGAAATGACGTTATGAAAATTAATACAGACAGACATCGTCCATTACGGTGCGAATGCATCGTTTGTTTAGTCCCAATCTCTCTTGCAAAATACCATCCACCTCCTTGAATCAGGTACATAGTTCATCTTTTGAATCTTCATTGCCAAACTTTACTGACGGTTATTTCGCTCTTTTTATTTACACTATTTTTAAACAAAAGAAGCAGACTAGTAATTTAATAGATATAATTTACCATCAATTATCAACATCCTTCGTTTACATTCTCGATTGGGTTTGTGTACACAAAACATTCCTTTAGATCTATGTGTTGCTCGAAGGCACTTTCATACCGACATTCAAATAGTTTTTCTTTTCTCAGTTTACTATAATTTTCATTAAGTTAAGTGTTTCAAGTTCTAATGAGAAATTACCCAAGACTTGAAAGTGCTTTGAACTCTCATTGGCTGACATAAGAACAAAGTTAAAACAATATAGTTGTTATATTTTCAAGGCACGCAGGAGTACAGAATTCTTCGTCTCACTTCGCTCTCTCAACACTAGCGGCCTTGGATTTTCATCAAGAAAGTTTGAAGTCAGATGAAGTCATACTAACCCATAAAAATCGCAATGCTTCGTAGCTTTTTGATACTTTGAACACTCATATTTCTCTGTAGTCATCTAGAAACAAGCTCAGTAACCTCGAACTCCTAAATTCGCCGGTTCAGCAATCTCTTAGTTTACGGCCACAGTGGACTTTTCTGCAAGCGATTTAACTCTAAAAAGTTGATTGAAGTTTAAAACGCGAAACAAACTACTATGAAATTGGAAGTTAAGTTTTCTTAAAGAGTGGCCCTGAAATTTCAACACAAGGGCCCTCGGTTTAAGTCACAAAAGCAGAGTTAATTAGTTGTTATATCATCGAAGAGTTGTCACTATTTATATACACAGGGTTTTTAGCAATCCCACTCAAAACAAACAGATGCTTGGAATCATTTTGCATCTGTAAAAGAAGTACTGTAGAACTTCGGTTATAAAAACTTTTCATACTCTAATTTATCCTCAATTCGAATTTTTTCAGTCATCGCCATCAGCTAACCAACTTAAATCTTGAGTTTCGTCCGAAGTCTTCGTTTCCATTGACAACTAGAGCTTTCCCTATGAGGGTGGGGGTGGGGATAAGTTTATTCAGGGGTTTTTATATGAGAATAGTGCTAAGATAGGGAACGTAATTGAGCAGCTGAAGAGGACAGGGGTCAGGGAAAACATATGACTAGGGAGCCCTTAAAAAAACGATTACAGACACACTATAAAATTCTGGGGGTGGGGGGTGGGGGTGGGGTGGGGATAGACTTATTCAGACACACTTAAAAATCTGTGGACAGGTAGGCGATAATAAACATTTTGATATGTTAAATGGATTCATTTTTTAATTACGTTCTCTCGTGTCGCTTTAATTTTTTGTGTGTAACCTCTCCAGGATATCGTAGTTTTAGAAATTTAAAAGTACGACTAGGTCCAGGAAGGTGCTCTTTAGAGGAAAGAGCTGTCTTGAGGTCCAGTTGAGGAATAAACATGATGTTTAGACTTAAATATTTTAGTTTTCAAAACTATTAAGACGATGAATAGACCAAGTTAAGATAAGGTGTTAGATTCTCACCTACCCATGATGCTAGGAATGTGTCCGTAAATTAGTTTGGAAAATACATAACTTGTGAAACAATTAGCGTACAGCTATTAAAGGAACGGGTCATTGAACGCTGAAGTAAAATCTATTTCCAAAATGGTTCGGCTGCTTGAAAGAGCAAGAAAAATCCGCTTTCGTTGATACGTTTCATATTTTTACTGAATTGAAACCTAGCTAAATATACATATATAAGAAAAGAAATGAAAGTCGTACTAAGCTTCCTCGTGATGGCAAGTTTACATTTTCAAATTTTAACTTAACCAGTTTATTTAGATTTCTCCAGTCATCAAATGGAAATCATTTGATAAACAGTTTAAATATTTCAAAAGCTTCTGAAAATAGTGTTGGGAGAGAAATTTAAAGGAAGTTAATAGCAATTTCTTACTTAACTTGAAACAAGAAGTGATGAACTGGTGATGCTCTAGCTTAGAATAAATAAGGCAAAAGACTTAAACGCGAGTATATTTTATACCAGGTATTTCCCAATGTTTTGTGGGGCGGCACCTGTTTATTCAGTAAAACAATTCAAAGACTATAAACATGAAGATTTAGTCATATGTAAACTACTGCGGACAATTCAGATATGCAATTCGTTCAATAATTCGTCCCTTTTGTCTTTTAAGAACCTTTTAATTGAACAAAATATGTATGTAAAAAAACGAAATATAAACATTTTGTACCCAAATCGAACTTTACAAGTTTTTGTAAATAGTTTTGACAATTCTTTTATATATCGAAGGCTACAGAAAAATATTCGAACATTTCCTGAAAACAAAGAAGAAAAGTAGCAAGATTCCTGCACAATTCTACTAAATAAGTAAAAATAGGAATACGAAAGTTTTCTATTTGCTGCCACGTTCTTAATTTAATTTTCCCGTTGTCACTTATCAGAACAGTATTTCTGATTTATTTTTTTTATCATTGTTTATAATCAATTCCTTGCATTTCTGTGACATTCAACGGAGATCCTGCCAAAAATGTCTTAAGCCATACTATAAAAATACTTTAATCCAGGTGGAACAGGAAATATCCCCATACCCGAAGTCAATTTCTTAACATTTCTTTCCTTTTCCTTGAAATATTTGCTTTAAATTACTTGAAAACAGGAAAGTCACTGAAGATGTTTGACTTTACCTGTGACACGGTGTTCATAATCCCAGCACGACTTCATTAAGTTTAACAGGGATCTATTTAGAAATGAACTCTATTTTGAGAGGGAAAAAGAGCACAAAGTTTACTTACCAAATGTCGCATCCTCTGACTGTTTCTAAAATATAAAAGTCTACCACAGAATGATAAGCTGCACTCATGCGCGAAAGTTCCTTTCCTTCCAAGAATGCATATATAGGCATAATGCCTCTTACTTTTGGAATCATAATGCTTTTACAGTGTGGAAAAATTGACAGGTTTGTCGATAGACCCCGCTGAAGTCACAGCGTGCAATTCACTGTGATCCTTTGGTCAGTGGGCTCTGCAAAGCAGACCGTGAGGGAAACGGAACGAGACTAGGTACCAGAATGAAGAAATACAACGCTCGTACCCGTACCTCACACGGCCAAGCGGTTGTAAGTTGCAGTTACACGGTAGGGTTTGGGTACGAGATTATACTTAAAAATTATTCCACTTGCGCTGGTTGGATACGAGATATGGATAGCCAATGAAGCCCGTGGAGTCTCTCTAAATTTCTTTAAAAACTCTTCCATCAGAAGACAACATTTCAACCGACAGGGTCCTCGGTCTCTTCAACGTAAAGCAATTTCAAATTCTGCAAGGGGCCCCAGGAAAATTAAAGTCGCTCATTTTTAGGCTGCTTCTCATAAAAGAACGTAATCGCATTTTGTTCTTCTTCGGAAACACTCACAGTGCCCCTCTCCACCTAGGAGTATAAATGGATTTCGGTGAATCGTCAAAGAAGCCTAACAAAATACTGGGAGGGGGGGGGGTTAACTTTGCGATGGACCAGCATCCCACTTAGGGAGGAGTAGTAATGCTCCTGGTCGCTACGCGTTATGGAGACCAGACAATCTCCGTCTCATGTAGAAAATTTACCTACCTTTACTCACATCTGAACATGCGGGTAGATTTAATCCCCGTGAGGCTCTTTGTTAAAATCGAAAAAGAAATAAATAGAAGGAAAAGTCTTTCTCGACACGTTTATTAATTTTTCCTTTTCAAATGAGTATTGTTTTTACCTGGTATTTACAGTCTTCTCACTTCTAATTATTTTAACGTTTAACTAAAATTGGTTGAATGAGTGACTAAGACAGAATTTCTCCTTACAATATCAACAGGATATCAAGGAAAAAAGCAATGAGACTATAAAAGATATATCAATTAAGAGGTTATAATTGATCCAATACCAAATTCTCCAAACTTACTTCATGATAATTGTATCGCAGACAGTGTGGAGACTTACCAATGAGATCTTGAGAGTTAAAAGGTTAACATTGTAACCTTGCTTTTTTTATTTCTCTAACTTTCTCTGTACTTTTAAACTATTATTTGCAATATTTTATAAGACCTTAACGTCCAATGCTTGAAGAAATCGTTTTTTCTTCATTTAAGAGATTTAAGCGGGATGCCTGAGGCGATATCATCAGATTTCCGATTCCTCATCGAAGGGCCTTGTCGCCCTTTTAAACTATTTCCTCGGGAACAGTGGGTTGTAAATGACTGTTGTTGGTTGGAGCGCAGAGATGAGGCCTTGAAGACCCTTCGAGCTCCTTGTCTAAAGTTGTGGTGCATTATCAAGAACAGCCAAGGGGAAATGGCGCTGTTCGCGTGACAAGACCAGAAGGACATTAACAGCACCAAAGGATGGAGAGAGAAATATGTTTCTCTTTGAAAATACGACAAGAAATGCATTAGATGCGCAGGAATCCAGCAGATGGCAAATACAACAACAACAATAATCAACATTCGGACCACTTTTCTCTTCGATTGCTCCAAGACGCGCGCATTGGACAGAGTATGCTGCCCCGGGATTTTTCTATGCCAGAGTCTTTTCCCGATCAAGGTGTAGGCTACAGCAATTCCAGTGAGAGGTAGAGAGTAAAGTAAAAAGAAAACGATGAAGAAATAGGCTTGAGAGGCGATCTCGTTATCCAAAGGTTCCCAGCTGATGATGCACAAAGGTACAGTTTTTACCGCAACAACCCTGAATTGAAACAAGTACGGTGACATGAAGACACATGAAGAAATCCAAATTCCCAGAGACGCCCATTTGGTACTTCGCAATAAGAGCGGACGGCGTCTGAGCGCATACAGAACGGCGTAAAAACGATCCAATGAAATCAACAGTAAAGCGATGATCGAGGCGGCTATCGAGAGCGCGTACGAAAAGTGCGTCAGCTTACATGTGACGTTGCCAAGGCTACCGGACAGCCAATGATATTGAAGAAAAACGTACAAAACAGAATACGGCATGGCAAACAACGTCACCAATAAGTTTGCCACACACATGTTGACAAGGAGCATGTTTGTAAGATGTCGCATCGAGGGTAACTTGTACACGAGATAAATGACGATAATGTTACCTAGCAACGCCGCTGGAAAGATGATACTGTAGGCGACAGTCATCGTTGCTTTGGTAGTTGTGTCTGTTGTTGATAAAGACACAATGTCTTGTACTTGAGGAAGTGTAACATTAGTATTGTTTATTGTTTGATCCATCTGCTAAACAAAACATAAAAGTTATCACTTTGACTCAATTTATTTTCCCTAGATATCGAAGGTACTTGCAGCTTGATTAAACAATAGCAAATCAAGTTCTAATGCGCCCTTTAAAACCGTCTGCGCGTACCATGGACAAGTCAATATTTTTCGCCCAGGGAGGGGGCTGGGTGGTGGACGATTTATTAGAGGATCACATGATTTTCAGGGGGGAGAGGATAGGGATCGTTTTTTGCCAATAGAGCATAATGAGGGAGGTATAGAAAATTGACTTCCTTTTAACTGCATATGAGGGAGAGGAAAGATTATTAGAATATTAGTGAGCCTATGGGGGGATCAGGTAAAATTTTTATTGTTAGACGACCAAGATCCTCCCCCTCCCCCTGGGGGATAAATAATGACTTGTCTTAAATAATTTTTTTTTTTTAATCAACTGAGTTGATAATGTAAATTGGCCACCATAAAGAGTTTCAAAGCTGACGTTTCGAGCTTTGCGTCAGAGCGTCAGAGCGAATGACAAAGGGCTAGCGCTCGAAAGGTCAGCTTTGAAATTCTTCAAGGAGGCTAATTTCCATTACCAACTCAGTTGATAAAATCGTAATTATCTTGCTACACTCCCTCACCGACGCAGCACGAAAGTTTCTCTAGAAACTTACACCCATAATATTTACATAGTTGCTTATCGTTTGATTTACCGATCAGGTGAGGATTATTTCCCAAAAAACCACGGAGCTGTTCTCATATTTGTTTTTGCTTCATGACATTCCTGACTTTCAAAACGAAGGACGTTCTTTCTCGAGACCATAGGAGTTAAATTAAATTCCATGTGGGCGTATAGAGACACTCAGACCGTCAGATTAAGATCCCCGAGGCAAAATTTGGTTAGGGAAATTATACAAGGGGCGTAGTGTTTCACTAAGAATATAAATTGTGAACCTAAATGACGGAAGAATCAGGAGAAAAGAGTTTTTTATTTGTTTTTTGAGAGCTAGTGACTTCCTTAAAGACGTCCATTGAATTGGTGCAGCAGAATGGGTGACTCTTTAAATCGTCATTTAAGTTCTTTTATATAGAATTTGATGAAAAGTTCTTTGACCTTAAAGCGAGTAAAATTTAAGGGAATGTTCTCTTAATCAAGATATTGGCAGGGTTCAGACACGTAAAGAAGATTTTCCAATAGTTATAATCCTCGTGGCATAAAAATGCATGGTAACGAGAAAGATTCGTCCGCATGAAGAAAGTGAACGTTAGGAGGGAATTAGGGTTTTTCAACAAAACGTCAGAAGGGATGAAAGTTCCTGACTATCTCCTCATCGAAATCTAGAAGGAAGACTGATACTTATTTGTTATAAATTGCTAAAGTATGGTAAGAGGGGTGGGGTGGCTGAGGGTCAAATGAACCTATCTAGCTAAAGTACCTCTATGTCTATGAAAAAGAGTTGAAGGAACTGCTTTTCACTAAGTTACTTTTTTTGTAAGAGCAGGAATAGGGATATGATGACCGGGATTTGATGCAAGCTTGTAGCGGTCGACTGTAGAAGCTCAAAGTTAAGAGTGAATGAATGATTCGAATCCGGTGTTTTACAGCTTGTAAAATCAAAATGACGTCAAGGGCTTCAAACAAAAGCCGGTTACCAGCGATCTTACGCCGCATATAAGACCTCTTACCGCCGTCTGTTTAGCCTGCGCAGGATCTCGTACACAGCCGCCTATTACATAATCGGCAGCCGCTTATGGAAAAAGTCCTTGAATCCTTTACGTGCGTGTGGACGACATGATGTATTCTTTTTGAAAAACTGAATTCAGAACGAAAACAAAACCTCGTCTGACGACCTTTCACGTGCAAATAAGTTTCCTAGTAATTAAACCAACAATTATTCACCGTGTTATGCCTTGAAATTTGAGGTCCTCGCTTCGAATTATATGGGCAGTGCATGTAATGCGTAACCTCATGGAAACTTTGAAAAATGGTTCAGTAAAAATAGCCTACGTAAATAAACGATTTTTCATCTATTCATGTTAAATTCAGAGAGCATCGCATCGGTTTCCTGGTAATTGATTCATGCATTTCTGGAATCTAGTAACAAGCGCCGGCTACTGATCTACGTTATTCATTACTGTTTAGTTTTGCAAATAGAGCGTCCCTGTTTCGGCGCTAGCTCTGTGGTTCGCGTTCAAGTTCCAATATTCTCCCGGATTGCTGTTGATTATTGATAGACCCAGTTAAGATGCCCAGAACATATTGTTACTCTGAGCAACGCGTTCACTCTTCGACTGGCTTTGATTAAGTTCAATATAATAAAAAAAAACATCACAAGCAAGGAATAAGAAAATATATACCTTAAGGACGATTTTCCGAGATGATTTTTAACCGAGAGTGACTCGATGGAGTAATCTTCGGCTCTCGAAGCTGTTTCAACCTGTCCTCAACCTTGAATTTACAAAGGTAATGCTTTTGTAAAGACAGAAGGATTATTTCAATTGATGACTGCAGTTTACAATTGACTATTCTATCTCACTGATTAAAAGCCCTTTTACCCTGATTCTTAGTTTAAAAATGAGAATTCATTCTCTTTTAGTCAGCTTAGAATGTATAGCCTAAGGCCAAAGATAATGAATAAAAAATGAAAACAAATTTTTCAGAGTGCATACCTTTTGCAAGCAAAACGCCGAACCACTTGTCACTACAAGAAAGCAAAACCCCTCACACACGAAAAAAAATGCATGAATATAAAGTAATAACAAAATAAAAGGAAAATGATTTGCATTTTGAATAATTTCTTGACACTCTATAAGACTCTTTGTCTAGAGAAAAAGCTAAAAAGCCTTCGGTCTTATTAATATCAATATTTTTCGCTCTAAACGTAGTAGGAAGTTAATAGTGCACAATTGATATGCACGAGCAACGTCGTTAATGATCGCCAATGACAAATATTTTGCGTATTGGTGAAGGCTGGTAGAGATAAATGGTGGTCAATTAGCTACTCTGTGGGCGAAAGGAGGGTTTATTTACATATCAGAAGAGGTATGGTGGCGGAACTAAATGTATAAGATGTTGCTTGTTATGAGACTTGGAAATTGGTGAAAGGTGTCTTTGTGTATCCGTGCACTTTTTTTTCGTTGTGCAAGCAGCAAACTGACATAGATGCCTTTTGCGTGCCAATGTAGGCTGATGGAGACAAATGATCTTTCAATTACTATCTTTTGTGGGCGTGCCTCATTCGTTTGATGAGGAAACGAAGTATGTTGGTGGCGCCAAAAAGCTCACTGCAATAATATCAACATTGTGTGGGTAACAATCGTGGGAAAATGTTTTTATCGGCTTCTATTGGTGAAAAGAAAAGGATTCTATGATTCTGTTTTTTTTCCCTTCTGAAACGCTACATATAAGGAATTAAGAAGAATTGAGAAAAAATAGTTTAGGTTCACCTTTCGTTTTTTGTTATTGCTTAGGTTCACCTTTCGTTTTTTGTTATTGCTTAGGTTCACCTTTCGTTTTTTTTGATTGCTAGTTTTGTGTCCTATAGAATTATAGTATTGAAAATCTACACTTTCTTTCTACCACTTTTTTGTCGAGATCATTCTTCGCCTCCATTTGTGTGAGAGACAAACAAAGGCTCTCTTGAATTTATCTTGAACAATTTTAGTGACCTTACAATTCTAAATAAATTATGTAATTGTCGCAAAGTTGATTTTCGCAGGCAAATGAAAGTGAGAGAGCTTTAAAGGCGCAAAGCTGAGCAGAACTAATGAAACGTTTACTTTACCCTCCTCACCTGACTTATTCCTTCAGCCTAACGCTCCCTGTCTTGTTACACAATTTCACAATTATTCGAATGCTCTGATAATCAGGTTACTACTTTCCTATAGTGCCTTCCCAAATGAGATGATTTTCAATCTCTCCCAGTACTTTTGAAGTCTCAAGTAGGGGAAAATCATAAAAACGAGTTGCGGCTGCGAGATTCTAAACTGCATAAAAAATTTAATATGTCCCACATACTGTGGAAAGGGAGCAGTTAGATTGGTTGAGACGTCCTTTTCTGTGGTTTCTTATCTTGAAATATTCAAAATATTTAAAAAAGTGCCATTTCGACTCGCTATTATAATTGCTATATGAACCTTTTAAGGCTAACCTTGAAAACTTTGAGGTTGCAAATTAAATTTCGTGAGAGTAATGGGATTTAAGATTTAGGTCAGATATATTTTTTGTCAATGACGAGAGTACTGAATTCAGTTTAAAACTTTTTCAGTAAAGAATTAAAATTTCTGAGTCATTAAAATTCATAAATATATGTTATGCTTGCGGGAGTTACAATCCTGTGGAAAACTTTAAATTCTCTCATTTGCCTCGATAGGACAGAAATTCGGTAACTTAGGTTTGTGTGGGTTTTGTATCATAGACGGTGTATAATGCGTGGGTCATCTATCAAAAATATTGAAAATATCTCAAACCCAGTGGCCGAATGCTGCGGGAATATGTGTTATGTATCTTTCTGTTAGGTTTGCTTCCATACCAGATGTCACTGGTCACTAACTACATTTTCAAATTGATGGCCGTCAATTTAAGAGAGTCGTTGTCGAGAAAATCGGGCGCAAAAAACCAAAAAACTAAACTTCTTTAGGGTATGACTATCTTTTTCAAAATTGATTTTAACTTTCGCTTTCTGCAAAATGCCTTGAATTTAAATCAGTATTGCGCGCAAAAAAATAGTGTTCATCGTGTGAGAAAAAAAATACAAATAACTTTAATCATGTTAATAAGAAGACAAACTGTTGACCCTAATGGAGTTTCAGAGCTCTGTGGTGGTGGTCTACGCAATTTTTCATTTTTAACTTCACTTGAAAAATATTCTTAATTGCAAAACAAAGTGATCACAACATTCGGTGCTCTTGAAATGTGGTTTAGAATTCTCTTTGATATAAATACTTTATTGATATCTCTATAACTAACAGAATATCGAAGGATATAAGTATTTAAAATCTCTTCGAGAAGATCTCATTTGACGAAGAAACTCACATTCAGGCGCGGCTATGTGATTTCATATGGTTGTTTCAAAATCGAGACTTCTTCCTCTATAACATTCAGTGAAGTACACTAATGTAGTTTTGGATCCTTTTGTTGCACTCAGAAAAACATATATTATTTAGCTATCTATTAGTGCATTCCTCACTAATGGTTATTTGCTGTTCATGATAAGATGATTAAAATTGATAAGGTTGGGTAACCTGCAATTGTGCACAAAAATATTTTATGGTAATCTTAAAGGGACGAAGAGGTGGTAAGCACAAAAAGATGAGATTTTTATGACAAAAAGGACAATATTCTCAAGTATCGTGGAATCATACTGACTCTTCAAGACATTTTCGGTTAGATTATTTGATTTTATACACTGAGTTGATAATAAAAAGACTTCCTGAAGCTGAAGTTTCTAGCGGTGGCCGTTCGTCAGAGGTAAGGTTTGAGTCACTGAGAAATTTGAGTTCATTGGCTAAGTGATTTAGAGTAGGTTTTCTCTGCTCAAACCTCAACACTGTTTCAAGGAAAGTCCACAGATAATTTTTTTAACCATATAAACTGAATAAATGACTTAATTCTTAATTATCTATAATCTTCCTGTTCATTTATCTATTTATTTATCGCTTAATTGCTAAATGGCAAGTTTATTGCTATCAATATTGTTATCACCTTTGGTGTAATTAAATCGAGACGGCGCTTTCATCGAACGAGCGGGCCGATATGACAAGGCAATATGTAAATTCACGTGAGATCGAGCATGCAATAGCTATTCAAAAAACAGATGCTTCCTCTGTTTCAAGTGGGAAATTAGAAGAGCTAACAAATTAGACATTTAATAAAGGTCATGAGATTTTTCTCTACGAAAAATTAAAAAAAAAAAAAAAACATATCACCGCACGGAGATTTCAGAGAAATTTTTGATCAAGCGTCTTTGTAAACCAGAGCAATTGGTTTGCGATTTTTGTTCGTCGTAAGATAAAATATACGAAATTTTTCTTCCGAATGAAAATGAATTAAGTATAATTTAGTATAGGTAAGAAAATACACAAACCATAAATATATGTTTCGTAAAAAACGGCAAATAATAATGACTTAACAAATGTCCTGAGATTTAGCCACCTTTTTTCATGTTTTCTTTATTTACCATTCGGTTTAAAAGCGAATATTCTACAAAACAACTAGAAAATTAAATGTTCACCATTGAAAAAGAAAAGATGAAAATAAATTTCTTAATCTAAGGATGATTCATTTGAACTAGCTGCAATGATATACCTTTCATGGGCACTAAAAGCTACAAAATAGGAACTTTAGCCCACATGTTGAGAAGTTTTTTAAATCTAATAAAAATTTCTTTTAGTCTACCTTTTTGATGATGGGTCAATTTTCACTGAAAACGCTATCTTTCATTCAAAGGCTTTCCATATTTAGCTGTAGTTAGATACTTCTCTTAAGCATGCATGAAACAAGTTACACTTGAGACAGAAGTAAACTTTCCTCATCGAAAAAAAAAAATTATACTACTACTACTTCTCATACACTTCCACGAAGAGAAAGTTTAGAAGTCCAAAGGCGTCTGATTACCATTTGGAGTCAAATCTTAACTTATGTGTAATAAATATAGAAATAGATGGATACTGTAAAATGGAAAACAGATTCAGAGTTAAAAAACAACAACAACAGAAAAAACACACACATGGAAAACAAAATCAGGATGGAAAGAGAAAAAGTTGTTTCTCTTTTTATCAATCGGGTTGAGTCCTTTTTTTTAATGTTTGATAAAGAGATAAGTATTAGGAGCTTATTGAAATATTGTGGCCGGTCCTTACCACAATTTTCTTCGCCTTAAGTCCTTACGTCAACCTTTCCAAAAATAATTGTCTTACCTCTGAAACGGCGAATTGTTTATATTTTTTGCCTTGAAGGTTACCACCGCTGGCTCACTATCAGCTGTCTTCCGACAGCTTTTAAATGCTCGAAATATCTGTTTTAATCGCTTTCTACTGACTCTGAACTCTGCTGAGCTCGGCAAATGGTGGGCGAAATTAACACAAAGCTCATTCATTAAACTGTCTTGCAACGGATCCGTAATTACGTCTGCACGCGGGGAAATTATATTACGTAAAATTAATTTGCCTTTTATCGCGTTTTTTTGCTTAGAATTAAGATTTGCAAGAGTTCCCACCGCCGTAAATTGCCTTTCATATGTAATAAAAGATGCTTAAAACGATAGCTATCTGAAACATGAGCTTTCCTTGAAGAACCGACAGGGAAAATATGTCAGACGTATGGCGGCATAGAGATAAATAACCAAACGATACGCGCTATGATTGGTTCTTGGAAGGTCGTAAACCACGATATCACTGCCGCATATTTGTTCGAGACTTCCTAGATAATTTAAAATAGCATAAAGTGGCAGGCAAAACCGGAAAGGTTGGTCTATTTTATCGGCTACACATGAGAGTTTTAAAATCAGACGGTTTAATATTTGTAATCAATACAGACAATTAACATTGACGATACTTGCATCTCCGCCATTCAGGGTCCGACCTCCAACTCTATGGATTGATCGACACATAACTCTTCCCTACGTTATCTACATTTGTAAATAAAATTATTCGCCGCGTAAACTATTTACCACTGAGGTGGAAATTGAGATGGTAGAACTAAATATTTCGTCTATTCCGATTGTTAATCTTAAAAGTTATGAATAATCCGCAGGATAAAGTTTGAAAATTTAACCCTACGGGTTTAATAACTTTTTCCATGAGCGGCTGTCGATGGTGTGATTGGCGATTGTGTCCGGAAAGGGGCCGTAAGGCGAAACTTAAACAAGAGCGCCTGCTTGATAGCAAAAGGAACGGTGGTAAGAGTCTAAGAGTCGGCGATAAACAAATTTAGAGAGTCAAAAGATAATGGGGGACCACCGCTGAGTATAAGTAATGTAAATATAAATATAATATACATTTTTCGAAGACAACAAAATTGCACGAGCCCGTAGGGCTAGTGCCATTTGCGGTCTTTGAAAAATTTACAAGTGCTTATTACAACAAATTGCAAGAGAAATCATGTTATTACTTCTTAATAATGTACATGAAAAAACATCACATGAAGTCAAAACAGACAAAATTTTGAAAGCGTGCGCACGCGCTATTTGTAATTTGCACGCGTGGTACAACTTTGCCCCAGTGTTACATTCAACCAATCAGGAACGCGTAATTTTTTTCTTGCATATTATCATGCAACCAATAATATACTCGAAAGTTTCCTTACCATATAAACAATCACCGAGTCAAAATGACATTCACATCTAATTGAATATCTCAACAAATTGTTGGTGGCTTTCGCGTCATGGTAAGAAAGTCAACTCCATAGTAACATTTCTTCTTAAAATTGATTGAAAGCATTTTGAATTTCAGATTCGAGCGAGTCAGTAAAGTCTATTAATTTGTGATTGATCAAGCAGTTTCATTGTCTTAAGACTACATGTGTATTAATCCTCTCAAAATATCTGCCATCTCAGCTCAATCCGTTAGCAAACGGCGCAGGCGTCTTTGTGAGGCGAGTTAGCGATACAAGCTTGTAAGATCGTTTATCCAACCGGCCATGTTTGATTTAGAGTTAGAGGGGACGGTGGGAGAGAGAACGTGACCCTACCCCTCCCCTCTCTCTGCCTTGATCGTTGTTCATCCCCCTTAGTAATCATTTCTTTTTCTGCCCGGCATCCTGCGACTGTAAAAAGTAAAAGATGACAGCGAAGAATTTCACCAAAAAAATACTGAGCACTCGCTCGCCAAAATCACGCCTGCTCTGCTGGCTACTCTACCCTATAAAGTGGCATCAATTGTGCTCCAAGCGAAACTCAAATTATGATCCTGGTGTAGAAATTCCAGTGAAAATAGGGTTACTGCAGGTCACTGAAAAGATGGACAGCCTTTGATTTAGGTTCTGGCGAGGGAATCTTCAAGGAGCCGTATCACATCACTAACCAATTCATCTCGCGTATTCTTGGTGACCTTGAAAGAAATCATTTGTGCAAACGATTTGAACACACAACAGAGAAAGTTTTAATTTTTTGTTTCACCATGTTCTGATCAACAACTCTTCCCTCCAGCTTGTCAATTAGGATTGAGATTATGCAGCAATGCATTTATATCGAAAAAAGGGCAAGTAGATGTTTTTTTAGTTTATTCCCATCACATTTTTGCAGTAATTAAGTAGTGTTAATTACTGTCGTAAGAGAGCTGCCAGCCTGTTACAAGTCAATTAAGTCTGGCAGTGACATGTTAAAATATCATTACAAACGTTTTGACAATGCAGAGCTGTTCTCAGGATGCTGGATTTTCCAGGACTTATACAATACAATATATCCAAGCTTAACCTGTCATGAGCATTTCATTACGGTAACAAATCTAAGTGCAAATGTCACACAAAATTTTGTTTTTTTTCAATCAGGCCCTTTGTGTTGTAAGAGTTGAACATTTTCTCAACTTCTACCTGGTGAATAGCAATTTATCAGTTGTATAGCATTATCTGCCCTTTAAAGAACTAGTTTCAAAATCTTATAGAGTAACACCTCTCTTCTGCTTTCTTAGCCTCAAGAGTGTCACCCCAATAAATCATTGTTTACTGTGTGTCATTCAAGAAATTTCTGGCTCTGTTGAAAGTTTAAAAAACATCTAACTATATTTATTCCAATAATACATTAGAGCACATATGGTACTTAAAATTAAAGAAACCTTTTGGTAAACCTCACCTCAATCAATGTCACATCTTGCCTGTTCTTCAACTCCTCCACAAATGGGATAGGTCGCTGTTTTGTTATGGGTACAGTGGCCAGTATTGTAGCTTGTGGAGATAAAAACAGTTCACGGACTGCACTGATAAAGCTCTGACTGAAAAGTTCCATTTTTCCTATTTCATCTACTATAACCACTGTCTTGCCATGTGGAGTAATCTGCAGATATGAAGTGAGGTATGCATGATCAATATTTCCAGTTTTTGAAATGTTTTTGATCTTTTAAGAACCAACACAGTTTATAACAACAGCCTAGGAAGACACCTTTCATGGTGATGATTACCTTAGTGGAATTTTCAGTGCATGTTTTGATGGTTGGAAGTGCAAGCTGCTCAAATGACTTGACATCCACTACATAATTGCCAACTGAAGGTGATGCTCGTGCCCTTGCAGACTGAACATCGCTATGAAAAGATTATTATTCATGCATGTAAATATTACAAAAGTACAATAAAATATGATCAAAGAGAAATATTTACATTCATAAAGAATTGACCAATCACCATCAACTGGCTTCCTGCCTGAAATGGGGGGTGGGGGTGGAGTATCTCACTAATGTTATTGTTCAAGTGTCATGATGCAGCCTTCAGATACCCTGACCCTGATCCTGACAGGGATAAAATCCCACCATTTTTCCTACCCTGTTAAATAAAAATAGATGTACTGTAAATTGAGGTATATTAACTTTTACAGAGCCACATCTAGCATATTCAGACACAGTGAAAGAAAAATATCACCTATATTATTTTGTTATCACCACACATTAGGGTAAGGACTTTTCAATGAAAGCCACAGAATGGTGAACTTTTATACCACAAAACCATTTGTGGCCCCTCTCCCACCTCCCCACTGAAATGTCCATGTTGCGGTATTTTGAGTGGGAGACTGAGTAAATTGTCAAACCTAAAACTAGTATTGTATTGTAGCTGAAAGAGGTGAATCAGATGTTGAGCATAATTCCCCTCCTCTCAGCATTTTCAGCCATTGACTGACATATCAGGGCTAAAGAATCATTTATCAATATCACAGTCCTTTTATAATGAGCTGGGAAAATCCACTTCCCTACATTTCAAATAAAAAAAGACTAGTCTGGCAATTTTCAGTACCAGTAAATCCTATAAATTACTCAATTACATTTTTAGTGTACAAACATGCACCTGACATACCTCTTTGTTCTGGCTAAAGGTCCACATTGCCCATTCAGAGTCACAACATCAAACCCCACCCTACTTCCTGTCTGACTGTTGCGGACCTCCTGTGTATAAAATCCTTGGGCCTGGATGGCTTTTCCTTGAAGTACCTCGTAAACTTTTTTACACATAGTCGTCTTGCCAACCCCTAGCCACATGTATCAAAGTGGAACGCAATGAGGGCACAGGTTGAGGGTCAAGGCCAGACATGGATGGGGATAAGGGAGGGCTGGTGATGCAGGGTGAACCTCAGTAAATCATAAGGTGATATCACTTTTGAATTAGATTAATAATGGTAATTGGACTGATTTGAGTGATTTCAAAATTGATTGAGAGCGCAATGCAAGTTTAATTTGAGATCACATGTATGATTTCAGACCAAAATTGCATGATATGAATTTCAATTACCACATTGTTAAATTTATTTTTGAAATCTCAAAATTCAGTTGCTCAATACAGGATTTTTCAGTGCATAGATATAGTTCACTGATTCAGAACTGAGCTAGTTGGTAAAAAGTTGAAAAAGTTGTCTTTCATTTCTCTCTAATTAATATTATTGGTTTCTTGAAATAAGCCTTGAAATCTGATTGGTTGTGGTGTTGTAGTGAAGGTTCCTCAGTGACTATAATCTTTGCCTTAACACCATATGGAGTATTTTGATATATATGGGGAAAATACTTATCAATGACAACTAGACAAATTGGTGTCCAATAACATTAAAATTGTGAAAAAATTGATATAATGTTTAACCACTTAACTCCCACGAGTGATCAAGACGGAATTTCTCTTTACAATATCAATACAATATCAAGCAGACAAATTATGAGAATAAAGAAAAAATATCAATTATGGGATTATAAGTTGATCCAATACCCAATTCTCCAAACTAACATCACAAGAACTGTATGGCAGAAAGTAAGGAGAATTACAGATGAGATCTCGGAAGTTAAAGGGTTAATTGTTTTGTTATGAGAACATTGACACATGCAGATTCTAGTCATTCTAGATGTTCACCTCAAAATTTACTTCAATAATTACCATTGGGTAGTTACTTGCACCCTAACATCATTTTATATGTTCTCCACACTGTTGTTTACTAATTTCCTAAGGTGCAGAGAAGGAAAATTTGTTTAGCACTCGAGAACTTCTTTAGTCGGTGATCATTTTCTTTATTCTCGTAACCTTGCTGTTTAATTCAGGAGTGATGTTGTAAGAGTATATCAGATGCCTGTCCCTAGCCCCCTAGGGGTCAAAGAATTAATAAATTAAGGGGAACCCCTCTCGAAGGACGTTTGGAGACTATGGCGAGGGACGGTGTTAAATTCAAGGATAAATTTCCGCCGAAGTAAGAAAAATTTCTGTTCAAAGATGGTTTTTAGTGAATTTTATGGACAAAGCAAAAAATACATCATAGCTGTAATTTAAATCGTTACCTGGAGAGCCTGTCAGAAGAACATGGCTTTTCCCTCTGGACGCCATCTTGGAAAGGTGACCGCGCCAAAACTTTCGCCAGGTTACTAAGCTTGATTGAAAAAAATAGTCGGAAGGGAGGGTTGCCATGTACATGACAGACTTGTTTGATATTATGATTGTGAATATTCGTTGAAATTTAGCGGATTTGGCGAGGGAAGCGCCCGATGACTGATAGACTTATCGAAAATGGGTAATTCGCTGTCTCCACATTTAGAGAGTGCACAAAAAACTGGAGTCTGTTCTCTTTGTGGCAAGGGACTGTCAGAGGTAAAACTCGATCGGTTTAAGTTCTTGGAAAGATAATCCAATAAGTCTCATGCTTTTTTTTATCGTTTTACGCTTAGTATGGTTCATAGATTGTTTTTATTTGAAAATGTATAATCCATTTTTTGAGATCGACCAGTATCGTTGCGGTAAATGTCTTGGATCGATGACAATATTGACAGAAGGTGAAGCTCACGTCTGAGATCGATGGAGCGTTCGTTTCAATACCAGATGCCATTTTTTTTTCCATTTGCAATTTTCAAATCCTTTATTACAAAGTTTTATCAATGCTGAAACAAAAATCACATTACAGTTCCTGTGATTGCGGAGGCTTCCACTGGGGGATTTTTAAGTTTAATAAAGGTTTCTATAACCCTTTTAACTCCTAAAGGTAATTAACATGTTAATTCTCCTTACAGTATCCATACATTATCTGGCAAAAAGGTAATGAGAATATGCAAACTTATTTGGTAGTTGTTTTCTTGATCGAACACCAAATTCTTGTTATTTATATAAAAAGAAATGTGTGGCAGATGTAAGGAAGAATTAAATAACAGACCTTGAGATTAGAGGGTTAACTGTGCTAAGGTTTTTTCATAACAGCTGTCATGTTTTAATTATTCATTCCTCAGTAAACTTTGTTTCATGTCATCTGCACGCAGTACTGGCAAAAGTTCAGATCTTGCTAGCACTGCATTCAATGTGTATGTTGCAAGTTGCATGTATTATATTGCATGCCTACAGATCATGGACAACAGCTACATGTAAATGCTTTTTGTGACTTTGTTTCAAACAGATTCCTCCTCAGTTGCTAAGGTTAGGGAGTTCCTTACGAACATTGGACCTCTCTGAGAACAAATTAAAGGTTTTGCCTGCAGCATTTGGCAGTTTTACTCCCTTGAAGAGTCTTACATTGTCATCAAACAATATTGGTAAACTATAGCTTTACGTCTTGTTTATATGTAGCCTGGAAGTAGGCCTCACTATGTAATAGTTATTATTAGTACTGCAGCACAAGCGTATCTTCCCTTGTCACGGAGGTCAACTCTTTATACCCTAACATCAGTATACATATTCTCCATACTGTTCCCTATACATTTCCTTAAAAGCTGACAAGGAGAATTTGTGTAACAATCAACAGCTTCTTTAGCTGCTGATATCTTTCTTTACTCTCATGACCTTGCTTCATGATTCAGGTGTGATATTGTAAGGAGAGGCTTCGAGATGTTGAACCAAGCAAGCTGGTGATAGGTCTGCAAGGAATCTGGCCCTCATTATCAATGCATAACCACTTGCAGACCTCTCTCTGGCAGGTGTTGATCAATGCCTCAAACTTATTTTGTAACACCCTGGTACTAAAACACTAGTAACGAGGGCCAGTGGACATAAGCTAGTTTATATACTGTAGAAGCCAAAGAGAAAATACCTGGCTTACCCAATTTGACTTTTACATCCCATTAAGTAGAACTGAAAGCAGCTTTTTAATGCCAACAGTCAGGCAGGAGTGTAAGAAAGTATGGGAGAGATTTACGCTTTGGTGTTGATGTGAGATTTTTTCTCTCAGAGGCCAGCAAGTCCAAAGTTGACCAAACTTTTCTGAAGTTCCTGCAAAAATTTTCAAAGATGTTTCATTTCTGTTCAGAAGATGTCCTGTAGAGTCAACAAAAATGGGCCTGAAATGCTCATCCTTTCACTATGGAAGGTTTTGGCCAAATGTGGAGTTTCTCTAGAGATGGCCAAAATTTTCATAACATGTTATTAATATTCCCTAAGACTTTCTGAACATACTTCAGAGGTGTCCTGAAGACACATTTGGAGATCCATTCTAACGAGAATTCTTTTCTTCTGTCTCTTAGGGGTTTTACCAGAGGAACTCTCTCAGCTGAAGAAGCTAGAAGTATTAATTATCAACAAAAACCATCTGAAGGTCCTCCCTGTAGGACTTTTCACAAGCCTGAGCCACCTTAAAACCCTTTCACTAGCTTCCAATCAGCTTACAGCATTCCCAGAGGGCCTTGGTACCTCAAAGCATTTGGATGTAGTTGATTTGTCCAATAACAAAATCCGCAGTCTTCCAGAGTCTGTGGGAGATTTACAAATGGTAGAACTTAACATGAATAAAAACCAAGTTGCATTACTTCCTGCCAGTCTTGCAAGATGTCCTCGACTCAAAGTTCTTAGATTGGAAGAAAATTGTTTGGCTTTAGATGCTGTTAATCCAGAACTTCTGAAGGAATCACAGATTTCTTTGCTTGCAGTGGATGGTAATTTGTTTGAAACAAAACAGTTGCGAGAGGCTGAAGGCTATGACCAGGTATGTCATATAAAAGTGATGTTGCAAGAATCACATATGCTTGAGGAGTGCAGTAAAACCCTTTAATTCCCATAAGTGATTCACATGTAAGTTCTTCCTGCAACATCCATACATTATCCTGCAAACAGTAAACGAGAGTAGTCAAACTCATCAGGTAAAAGTTGTTATCTCAATCCAACACCAAATTCTTTATGTTTATAAGATAAAGAAGCTTGGTCTCCAAGTCTCCTAAGTATATGATCAAAAAGTGTTGCTTCTGTCCTGGTTTGAGATTAGTTACAGTTTGTAACTGTACTTGGAGCATTTTCACACAGTTATCCATAATTATGGTCATCATTAATTTTATGTGAGGTAGATATCAATGGAAAGACCCAAGGAAAAAACTAATACCCCTCCATTGCTTGGTGATTTTGAAATTGCCCAAAATTGCTTAATTTCTACTGGTGGCTTTTTTCCATTACAAAATCATGTACAGACTATCTTTTTGGGGTTTGCACCTCATTATTTATAGATATGCAAGAACATGTTTATCTTCCTTGAGGAGATCTGTATAATTCTTTATGTGCATTAGGAACATACAATAACAAGTTTTGATTCTCTTAAGAATGAAACCACCACAGCATTCACTGAAAAATCAAGATCTTTTTGCCCATGAGCCTGGCATGTTCTAGGCACTCAGTTTGTGAGGATGACTAAAAGTGGAGTAAGCATGGGAAGAAATATGGAAGGGCAATTAGGAGGGCAGTGACCCCCCCCCCCTAATTTTTTTCTCACCTGCTTTTTCTGAGAGTGTATAACAGGCTACCTTGAGCCACTAAAATAATTGTGATTTAAGTCTGTCAAAATCTTTGCTCGATAGTGATGATGATAACCATGATGTTGAGCCTTTTTTTTTTTCCTTTAGTACATGGCCCGATTTACTGCAACTAAAAAGAAGTTCACCTGATGCCGAGCTGAATACTTGTCTTAGTGCTCACAAAGACCTGTGTGTAGTAAATTAGATCACTGTGACAGTTGCTTGTATTTATGGGCATGATGTAGACAAGAGTGAGGAAGGGGGATCTGCGACTCCCCTCTCTATAATTAAAGGATGTGTAATTGCTTTCGATAACCTTACTGTCATTATGGCACTAATGTACAGAACCTCTTCCTAGAGATGCCAAGCTGCTTGCAACAATGAGCTATGAAAATGTTGAAAGCCGTCCTTCAAAGGGAATCCTGATTAAGGGCTCATGCTCAAATTCCCAGCTTTAGCATGTTTTTATGGTAACCAATTCATGTTATCAACTCGTTTGATAAAACCAAAGTGACTTTTAACTGTAAAGTGGTCATCAAAACAGGATTTTTATTTTGCCAAGTGTACTAAAATTGAAGTAAAATTGTAGGGTTGATGGAAAGAGATTAACACTTGTATCATGTAACACTTTATTAACAAGGAATTAAAACTCACTCTTGGTTGCTTGGATTGTTGCTTAAATATTGCAGTTTGTTGGATACTGAAGAATTTGAACCAGGGACATCTATATTGTAAATGATTTGTTACCCAAAGCATTTAAGGTGCCCCATGATGTTGCAGAAATTCTTCAGATAAGAATACTGCATAAAAACATAGCTCAAAGTTTGTTCTGCAGTTGTTAGTTTTCATAACGGTAATCCATCTTCAAAACTTTTACATCTCCTAAGCTCTTAACTCCTAGAAGTGATCATTATGTAAGTTCTCTCTATAACACCTGCCAAACAGGTAATGACAAAAATCAAACTTATCAGGTGGAACTTTTTGTCCTGGCCTACCAGTAACACCAAATTCATACAACTAATTCATAAGGAAATGTGTAGCAACAAAAGGAGAGAGACTTGGCAGTTAACCCTATAACTCCCAGATCAAATTTGTAATTCTCCTTACTGTCAACCATGCAATTCTTATAATGTTAGTTCAGAGAATGTAGTATTGGATCAACTAGTGGTGGCCATCCAAGGGAAGAAAAGGGTGGTCTTGGGGTTCAAGACAAAGAAAATCAGCCAGGGTAATGAGGTTAGCCAACATTGTTTTAATATCAGCTGTTGAGGTTAACTAACATTGTTTTAATATCACACTGCCTTGATGAGTTACCTCCACAGTGATCTGGATCACATTAAACATGAAATATTACACCTTATAAATAAACAGCTACATGTATGTGGTGTTTTCAAACCGTTCTACAACTACAAAAATATATACCTGTAGCATATTTCATAACTTAAAACATTCAAACTTTTAAAGACAAGCACAATAAATACAGATGCTGTGAGAGAATATTACACCAATTTTAAATATATCATGATGTATTATTATAACTTAATAATTGTGGTTAAACTTGATAATAAATGCTAATTTCTCTTTGCATAACGAGCAAAGACATCTCTTGGGAGTACAAATTCAATTTCAAGAATTTGATACCAAGACACTTTTTGTAATAACTTATTTTTGGCTTTCGTATCTTCCCTCAACCACTTGGTCAGGGCTATCCACTTTGGGAACTAAATCATAAAAAGCTGGCTTATGGAGAGAGTGCAATAAATCAGCAAAAAAAATTAGCAAAAGCAGTAGATATTAATTGCGCCATATAATCATTAAAATTACGGTGACAATTTAGATTTAAAAATTATAGCGTTTTACCAAACTTTACAGTCAAAAACCATTTAAGATAACACATACTAGGAGTTTAAAACTTGAGATATTCTTTAGTCAAATGTAATTTGTTCTAAAATTCTAGAAATTCATTACGATGTTTTGTTATCCCAGAAAAATAAAATTTCAAGGAGACTGACACCAACTAAGTTCGTTTGCGTTACATATAAGAGTAAATCAAAGCAATCCCAGCAGTACTCGCAAGCAGAACGTTTCATTTACGTTCAACAAGTTCCTATAAATTGCCAACTTAAATAACGTGATTTTGACCAATTTCGAATTAATACATTGAAGATGCGCAGCAAATAACTCGCCATTTTTATGATATAGGGGCAATGCAAACTTTTCTCCAAACTCAACAACAAACGCTGAAAGCACCAAAACACAAACAATTCTTTGGGAAAGATTGACTTCTTGTTCCTGTTTTGACACTTTATTTCTTTCTTTTCCCTTGGCTTGCATTTTCATGTTCTTCTCAAATTCGTGAGCGTGGTCCTGTCAAGAACACGTGGCTTGTTTGTAATTTCATAGACAGTCTGTCTCGACTTGATCACCCGAGGCCTCTCCGTTTACATTCTCAGCACTTCCCCAGAATACCGACCCAGGCTTTCGCGACGTATTGTGCGCTAACAAGGCTTCGTACACCGGATTTGAAAAGTCCACTTTGCCCTTACGAAATTCCACTTTGGGCAGATTATTCTCGCGGAACACCTCAGAACCCAAACTCGTCTCGGAGCGGTAAACAGATTCATAAACAGGATTGGAAAAGGTTGTGCCCTAACAATAAAATAAAATTTTAAAAAACGATGCAAATTGTCAAAATAACAATACTAAAAGAAACACAAAGAACATCGCTGAGAAAACGTACATGAGGCAATTCCATTTCGCTGGTATAACCTTAGCGTCACGCCACCCTTTGCCACGTTGCGTGACAGACGCAACGCAAGATTCATCAACTTATAAAGACGATACAAACCTAAACTTGCACGACAACATTCTTGCAGCTGCAAAGTAGCTACGAATATAGTCTCTCTTTCCGGTTACTCAAAGGGCAATATAGAAACATGCTTTTTCTATTCTAAGATTTTCCTGCAAAAGAAACCTCGAACATTTGCAATAAAAACATAATGCAAAAAAACGGTTTAACAAGGGTCGAACTCGGCTCACAATCGACTCAAGATAAACCAACACTCGAAATAGTTTCTTCTACTATGATATCAAATTCAAACTATATCTGTATTAGCCTGTAGAGCAGGTAAAATTTTGCCGAGCGAGTGCTCAATATTTTCTTGATGAAAATCATTGCTACCATCTTTGATTTTTACCCCAGCGAAATTCTGGGTAGAGAAAGAAATTTATTTTAAAGGGGTGATCGACGGTCAAAGGAAGGAGAAGGAAGGGGACGGGGCAATTTGTACTCGTCTATCTCCACTCTCTCTCCCACTGTCCATTCTAAATCCTCCTAATAAGTTTAATAAGACCCCTGCACTGCAGGCTACATCTGTTTATCAACTTACTTTTTCTGATCCGTCGTCAACATCGGGATTTGGGTTACTCTCCTCATAATCAAGCATCTCTTCGTACAGGAATGATGGATTCCCGACTTGAATTGCCATGCCGCTGTATTCAGTCTTCTTTGCGCTTCAAAAGTAAAAGAAGATCCTTAAAAGTTGTACGGACAGCAGCCAGCCTCAGGGATTCTCAAAAAGAGGGTTGATTCAGTTAAATATATGTCCTTTCACTAATGGCTTTCGGCTGTCTCGACATTGTTTACAAAAATAAATTTTCAGATAAAAAGGGTCGGCTAAATTGAAGATAGCTTTTGTTAAAACAACGGCTAAACTTTGTTTAAATAACTGGCCCTTAGTGTTTTATCATTCAATTGAAATTAAAGCTGCGTAGTTCTTTCATGCCCTGCCGTTTATTATGCTGTGCATTATGTGAGGTCAGTAAAGTGATCAGCATCTAAACTCTCCTTACAATGTCACCCCTTAATCACACATTAAGGTCAGGGGAATAAAGGAAATGATCACCAATTAAAGAAACTCGTGATTGTTAAATAAATTTTCCTTATGAGCACCCATGGAAACGCGTAGAAAAACAGTATGATATGCATACTAATGTTCCGGTGTGAAAGGTTGAGTTTGGAACAAAACAATAGTGTGCGACTTTTCAATTTAAAGCCACGGAGCTGAGGTCGACGTGCTTTATTTTACAACTCTAAATTCAAACTTACGCGCCACGGCGAAGGTAGAGGAAAACAATAAGGAAAGCAATGAGCACCAAACAGGCCATCACTACCGGGACAATTATCTGTGCTGGTGCTGTAAAGAACGAATGAAAGAAGGAAAAAGTCAACACGTAGCCGCAACAAACGTTTACCAACACAAAGAGCGGGTAATCTTTTAAGGAAAATGTTATATCGTTTATGCTGTCTGGGTTTTGTATAATTTTCATGACCAGTCAAAATACGTAATTAAAACCTCGTGCACTGTGAATATTTTTGCTTTTTGCGATATGTGAACCTTAAATTTGTTAATCCGATTTTTATGCGTGTAACGTGCACAGGACCCCCACCCCCACCCCCACTCTTTACCTTCCTCGTTTAAGAAAAAAAGGAAGGGAAGGTTTAGCTAAAGGCCTTTCTAGCCGGAGCTTATCCCGGTTTCTTTCCCCAACCCCCTCTGCATGGGACGCTAATGACCCGGCCAGGTGTGAAACCCAGACCTCTCAACCCGAAGTCTATCGCACAGACCTTTAACCGTTTATAAACTAATAAAACCAAGGTTTCTATGAGTTTTAGAAAGATAACAAACCATAACAAAGTTCATTTTTCGTGACATAATTTAGATACCAAGAAAAAAGTCTCCTCCTTTGAAAAACAAACTAACAACTCACCGCCGTGGTCAACTCTCCCCAGTACTTGCGGTTTCCCGCAAGACTTCGCCAAGCTTCCATTGGCACATCTAAAACGGCAAAATCAAAGAAATTCTAAAAATGATATAATAGATTGTATATTGTAGTACCAAATCACTGCGAGAACACCATACCTTTCGCTTCATTAAAATTACTAGTTTCATTTCAAGCAGATCAGTTCAAAACAAACTTTGCTTCATGTCTAAACAATTGATATCAGTGCATCTTACCGGCACAATGCTTCGTTGGTATCATTCTTGACAACACACTCTAGATCACCGCATAATTCTCTAGGACGATTATCTTCAAAACATGGGTCTAAAGCACAAGTTTTGTTTCCGACGTAACGATATCCTTTTCGACATCTGCAGAACACAGAACAAACCAGGCGTTAAAGTTAGGTAATTTACTTAACTCTTGTAACTTAATAAGAAGTTTGGAAAACAGACCCCATTTGGAAAGCCACTCGGTACTGTTTCGATGAGGCACTATCTATCATGTCATACAATCTGGTACTAATTATCAAGTTCAGGAAAAATATTAAACTGTTTGCAACCACTAAAATTAAAGCTTTTGAAAGTATTTCCATAAGGTGCTATCTATCTGTCTCAGAACGATGGTTCTAACTGTTAAGCTTGTGGATGAACCTCCAATAAGCTATTTTTTGAATTCGTACCGGTATGCGGCAATGTAATATCCTCGAGGTATTAATTAGAAAAGGGGCAGTACCATGTTTGGACAAGGAACTGTTCTTACCTGCAAGCAAAATGCCCATCTTCTACAATACATGTTCCTCCGTGACTACAGCTAAACAGAGCACACGTGACCTCACATAATTCACCCATTGTTCGTGGTAGGCAACTGGAAAGAGAGAAAAAAAACTCAACAATCATACGGTTTAACGTGACAAATCCACCTTGTAACGCTGCTGCTCCCTCACTAAGCTGTAAAGTTTGTAACAAAACCCAGAATACTTGGAAAACAATAATTAGAACTGCTTTTGCACAAACGTTATCCCAGGATACTACGAAAGAGTATACAACAGTAAACAGAAGAATACAGCTATAAACAGAAGTTTATACATCAATAGCAGCCTATATCTCCTCTATCTACGCCTCAGAGTTAACACTCTGCCAGAAAAATCTGTTGAAAGAAAAGCACCCAGGGGAAGTTTAGAGTTCTAGGACCTAATCAAAAAGAGCTATGAAAATCCCGTTGTTTTCCTTCAAACGTCTGCTCACATGCATTGGGCAGCGAAATCGATATCTACGATTCGCGGTTGATTCAACAGAAATATAACACTTTTCGCGGGAAAACGCCGTTGTAAAAATTAAACCTACTAGGTGAAGGGTTGATTCAAGGAATCAGAGGACATAGAGGCTCGCGCTGAAGAGCTCCTGGCTATAATGTAACAAGCAAAAGTAACGCAATACTAATGCACGTATGTATGTATCAGTTGAACAGCACGTCAAGGACAACGTCTTTTCTCTAGATAAGGAAATAGAAATGAAAATATTTTAAAAACACACAACGTACTTGCATTTCGGTTTTCCTTCTTCAATGACACAAATCCCTCCATTCAGACACTTCAATGTACATAACTGTGGGGTGGGTGTGAAGCTTATCTCACAGCGTGTTCCAGTCCAACCTTTTGGACAACTGGAGAAGAGAAGATAAACAAACAAACAGACAGAATATAAACAATAAAAATACAACAAAGTAAATATTGAGTAGAGAAAAAAAATTCCGACCAAATTTTTCACAAAAGTCGCTAATCTGTCGATCTGTCTCCCACGGTCTTTTTAGCAAGCTGTGACGTTATTAATTCTTAGTGTTTGTAACCTCGAGTTAAGACAGATAAACGTTTCCATAAAATGCTGTGTAACATAACACAAAATGTCCTTCCTAATTTTTCCCCGAGAGAAATTAACGAGAGGGCCGTTTTGGCGAGAAAAATTGTGGTAGCCGCGTTGAAAGTCGTCATTACGATGGGTTTTTTCCTAGCGACTAAAATGCTATATCTGGCTACCTCTAGTGTGATTTAGGTCGCCAAATTGAGTTTTGAGAAGCATAGAGAAAGAGAAAGTTGAGCAGCTGTAGATGAAACTCACCGACAAGTGGCATTATTCCTCACATTAACACAAGTTCCTTTTCCACACAGTCCAAGCCAACACACTGGGGGAGGACGGGGCGGTTTAATTCCTGCAAAAAGAAGTAAAAAAAGCCTACTTAAGTGGAAAGGAGAAAGAAGAAGCAGAGGAACAGAGATAAGGAGTAAAAGCAGAAAGGATAATGCATATGAGACCTTAAGGAGTTCAAACGGCTACACCGAGGGAAACATGGATTAAACGATGAAATTCCATATTCATGAAGAATTTCTAGAATGACTGGATGTGTTTACCGATTCTTGCGGCGTCAGATCTCAATTTCAGCATAAAGAGATAACGAGGTACTACTTGAGGTAGTTAAAACTGATCGCTAATAAGGGTACTCAACTGGCAATCACGTTGTCGGACAAATCGAACAAAGGTGAGAAAAATGTATATAAGAAAACAACAACAGACGCATACCTGTCTGACAGTCACCAGATTTTCCTGGGTCTCCTGTGGGGCACACACAGACAGGCTTCTGACGACTGGACAGGCAAAGGTGAGAGCACTTGTTCTTTCCGACAGCACAGTTGTTGACAAAGTCTGAGGATAAAAAAAAAATATTTAGCAATTTGGGCTATGGTAACTAATTTGGCTTTGATTTTACAACACTAAACCTAAAGCACTCTAATACTTCAAAAAACTAAATTTAAACTTCGCATTGCATTAACTTTACGGGAAAAGTTCCGAAGCAATTCCGACTAAAAAAGAGAACATTCTTAAAACCGCACGACCCTATACGATTCAACCGAAAGCTTTTGTTTTCAGTTTGTTCACCTCTCTTATCAGCCAATGCGATGTCAATTGCACAACAACGTGTACTTAACGACACAAAGAGTATACATCAAATAGTCAACTGAGAACCTAAGCAGCGAAATTTTGCTAACCTCTTGGTACATGTTGTTGCTGTTGCTGCAACACAACCAACCCAACTGGACGCTTGAGTCCATGCACCAAAACCGTCGGCGGACCTTGGCCAAACTTGTTCAACTTGTACAGTTTACCAGCTTGCACTGTGACGTAAACAAAATTCTCGTGCAACGCAATCGTCACGGGTATATCATTGCTTGGAAACTCTCTTACAAGTTTCCTGTGAAGTCCGTCTACGCTAACAGATTCAACACGTCTTGTTTTAGAGTCACACAAGTAGAGTCGTTTCGCTGGAACGTCAAGGGCCAATCCGACCGGCCACTGGATTTTGTCCCGTACAAGAATTGTGCGATTCCCTCCTTCCATGAGCGCTGTGTAAATGGCCGGCTGGTAACCCAATTCGGACCAATACATTCGCCTGCAGTTCAAAAATAACGCTTGAATTATTTGCGACATACAGATAGCGCGATTTGGACCCGCCCCTAAAACACAAGGTACAGAGCTCTAGTTTCAGAGACTGGGCCCGAAAGTAGTTGAGTTTAGATTGAGTGTAGTCATGCATGTCGCTTTTGAGGGAGTGTTTTTCCTTACAAAAGGTGTGCGAGAATGAAAACGGTTGTGTTTATAGTAAGAAAACCTGTGATTGTGATTGCGGGATACTATACTTCTTTTGCCACGGAGGAATTCCCGAAACTAGTGAGGAATTCCCGAAACTGTTACTGGTAACTTTGACCAGTTTCTCTAATAAGCTTTGATTACTATATTATTTCAGACATAGCACTATGTGTCTCCGGGTTATGGCTAACTTTCCCCTTCACAAGTTCGCCCTCTTCCACCTTGCGAGTTCACCCACTAGCGAGCTAATAATTTTGACTGGTAACTTCAAATTATTTCGAACTGCTCCAGAAAATGGATCATTAAAATTTGCATGTGTCTCCGGTTTATGGTGAATTCGCTCTATTACAAGTTCGCCTCCACCGTTATCAGCTCGCCCCAAAATATTTTGTCTCGTTTCCCTTCTATAGAAAGTCATGATATGTTTGCGGCCAACATGGAATTTTCATAGCGAAACCATAACAAAGTTCGATTAACATGCAAATTACCAGCCGTGTTAAGAAAGTACCATTAATACTAACCCGGCAGGCGGATCAAGAACAAGGGCGTGTGGCATGTTCATACGTCCTGAGAACAAAGTGTATCTATAGTAACCATCCTTTGATGCCACTTCAATGACGCGTTTTTTTGCGTCAGTCCAATAGATATTCCCACTTAACCAGTCCACGGCTAAACCTTCCGCTCTTCCCACTGGAACGTAAAGATCCTGTATTTCCTGCTTTGTTTTTCGAGGGACAGCGCGAGCCGTACGACGATTTAATTCTTCCCCGCCTTGAAAAAAAGCCGAAGGAATAATTTTAAAAAAGGCCCCCAAAATAATGAGTAGTATTGCTTGAGCGAAAAGAACAGCTCCCGTTGTTCGAATTTTACATCTCTTCATTTTGCTCAAATTTCAAGCATTTTAGAATGTAGGGCAAGTGGAATTAGGGTTTGCATGTGGAAAAACGGACGTTTTCATCGAGAGACAACCTAATTTTCTACGCTTCATAGAATATTCTTTACTTAAGGATGGGGCTCCGCTAGTACAATTTGGAAGCACGAGCTCCGCTATAAAACCCTCTTCCGAGGACAATAAGCTTCATCAGGACCAACTGCAAACCGAAGCGGAAAGGGAGTTAAAGGTCATTTATTACAGGTAGCCTTGGAAAGATGTATCACCTGGTACTTTAGCCCGTTTGATGGTGCCTTTCCTCAAGTCGGTCCAATATACCAGCTGTTCCTTCCACCACACAGCTATAGCCCCTACGGAACCCTGGCTGAAAGCTATTGTTCCGTAAGGACCCCTGTTATTGTCGTCCAGCCCCATGTGCCGGATATCTCCACCAGATGGGAAAAGAAGAGATGGAGGTTTCCCTGCAATTTTAGGAAAAGATTGTACCGCATAATCTAACATTACAAGAAAGAGACCAGGGAGGCGCATTATGCGATCCTATTTGATAAGAGAAGTGATCATATTACGTAACAATTCCACCCGGTAATCTTCTGTACCGCGACAAGACACTGGTTTAGGACACTCAGCCTCCCTATTAAAAATACTCTCATCCACACCCCTTGGGAACGCTAAATAATCATTTCCGAAACATTTACGATCGCACTGCACAAACACTTTCCCCGAAATTCAGTTTAAGTTTCTTCGAGTTCGGAAAAATTTAAAACTCGTATCCATAGCGTGTACAACCTCATATTTATTTCCAAATTTCTTGCAATTATCGACTGAATGTTAGGTTGCAAACTTCAGATATTAACTAAATGAATGAACCAACTCACCTGTAGCCTTGCATTCTTTTCCGTCCACACCATCACTGACGTAGCCCTGATTACACTGACACTTGTAGCTTCCTCGCGTGTTCATACACTGCTGGCTGCACGCACCGAATGTCTGACACTCGTCAATGTCCACACACTTCCGTAAGTCCACGGACAGTTCAAAACCATGCCAGCAGAAACACACCACCCCTCCGTCAAGCAAGGTACAATTCTGCTCGCAGCCACCGTTGGTGTCCCCACAAGATTTGTGTCTTCCACCTGGAGATGAAGGAGGCCAATGTGAGCTGAGTGCCATGAAGGCAATAGGTGTCTCAGAAAGTTAGTTTCCTACGAGGGAACAAGACTATATGGAAAATGCTCGGTGCTGAGCATTTTTCGTATAGTTATCTCAAAAAGGGCTAACATAGGCCAGTAAGTCACCGCGTTTAAAACCCGCGTTTTTGAAAAGCTCAGAACAAAATGAATCACGGGAAAACCTGTGATTAAATAGGCTTAGTAATAAAAAAATCTCGAGTTTCTGGTTTCCCTACTTTTTGTTTCCTTTACTTGACTTTTATGAAGGCAAATTTTGCATGACAACGGTTATTTCTTTTGCTTTTCTTTGAAATTATGCGCATAAAATTGATCCTCTTGCGCACGCCCGATATTTGACCGCTGTGACAAGCTTACCACAATATTTCTCATCCGACGCATCACCGCAGTCATCTTTACTATCACAAACAAACCCATTAGGAATACACTTCCGGTTAGCGCATTTGAACTGGGTGGCGTTACAACCAATCGCGACTGCAGAGCAAGACCGTTCATCAGACCCGTCACGACAATGAGTCACACCGTCACAGACTTGCCATTTGGGAATGCAGACGTTGTTTTCGCAGCGAAACTGCGTGTGCAGGCAGCTGTGAGCACCTGTAAGGGAACGCAGAGAAATGAACCTTAACATATCGTGAAAACAATAATGGCAGTAATAACAGCAATGGCAATGACAATGGCTATAATTATAGTGATGGTAATGGTAATGGAGGGCTCGGAATTAACGCCCGCAACCTCACGAAATGCGAGTGATCTAGATAAATTGCGAGTGAGAAAAATATCCACCAGTAAACGTTTGTTAGTTAAAATCGTCCAAGTCTCCCAAACATGCAATAAATGTTGGTGGCTTTCAGGACAACGAAAACATCTAACACCTTTCTTATAAAACTTTTCAGCTCATTAATAGCCTATGCGAAAATTAATTCAAATCTTTATATCAGATGTGGTCTTTGACATTTCAAAGGGAAAGAATTTGCCAGTGATGGAAAAATGTTACCAGCAAAACTTTGCAAGTGGACTTAAAAGTTAACTTCGAGCCTAGAATGGCAGTGGCAATGGTATAAGGTGATGATGATGGCAATGGCAATGGCAATGGCAATGATTATAGTCATGGCAATGGTTATAGCAAAGAAAATGAATAGTGATGGCGACTGCATCAGCAATGGTAGTGACACAGGTAATGGCGACAACAGTGCTAAGGGTAAAATCGATGATAATAGTATTGGTCATAGCAATGTAAGGGAACGTGGATAAATGAATCTTCACATATAATAACAATAATGACAGTAATAACAGCAATGACAATGACAATGGCAATAATTTTAGTGATGGCAATGGTAATAGCAATGGTTATTGCAATGGAAATGGCAATGGCAATGGTAAGGATGATGGAAGTGGCAATGGCAATGATCATAGCCATGGCAATAGTTACAGCAATGGCAATAGTAATGGTGATGGCGATGGCGCTGGCGCTGGCGATGGCGAAGGCGAAGGCGATGGCGATGGTAATGGTGTTGGCAATGATTACAGTCATGGCAATGGTTATAGCAATGGAAATGACCGGTAATAGCGACTGCATTAGCAATGGCAATGGTAAGAGGGATTTTAAGAAACGACGATAGCAACGCCGTGGACAACGTCGGTTACCCACGAATCTCGAATCTCGCGATACTCTTAACAAGTTATAGAGTTTGTTTTTCACTTTCAAAACTGAATATGGGACTGAAAATGGAACACAGCGTTAAATTAGAAATATAAATTTTAAAAAAATAGCCGTCGTCATTCACGTTCTCCATTCAACACAAAGTTTGGTAATTTCAGGTTGATGTTTTGCAGAGGACGCGCAGAAATCAATAAAGATTTACAACGCACGTGCAAAGCCATTGCTCTGCTCGTTGAACCTTTTTTTTTTTAGCGACGTCGTGGTTTTCTTAAACTCCCTGATGACAGGGGTAATGACTTTCAACGATGGTAAGGGTAATAGCGATGGTAATGGTATTCGCAATAGCACTGGAAACAGAGATGTCAATGATTATGGTGATCACAGTGATAATAGCAATGGCAATGGTATTAGCAAAGGCAATGGCTAGGGTTATGGTGATGGCACTGGTAATAATAGCTGCAAAAAAAAAACTGGCTGTGGCAAAGGAAATGGCGATGGCAGTGGCAAAAGAAATGACAATGATAAAAGCCGTGGAAATGGCAGTAGCAGTGGTAGTGGTAATGGCGGCAGCAATAACAATGGCCAATACCGGAGCATATTTTTGCACAACATGGAAGTTATTGTTCAAATAAACAAAGGAAAATTGTCTACGAACAACACTTACGACAGAGCTGTTCTGCCTCATCACTTCCATCTCCACAATCGTCGTCACCGTCACAAACCCACGTCTTGTGCACGCATACCAAATTACCACAAGTAAACGTCTGCGCAGGGCAATGTCGACCACCTGGGTAACGTGCTGGGCAACCTGTGCAAGAAATATAGGGAATATCCTTAGGTTCAAAATTTCAATTTTTGTTCACTTATGGCGATTTCCGAAAAATGCGTTTTAGGAAATGAAGTCTTCAAAGCGTAGCCAATTGAAAGCTATGAAGGCTATTTCACCGAGTAATGGTCTCTACAATTAAAACGAGGCCAAGTTCGATGTGCTGTGTTCGCGAGAATACACTTAACTCTAGCAGAGGTCTCTCTACCCCGGAGTATAAATGGATAAAAACTGAATGGTCAGGTAAAACTGAATACAAACTAATCATGATCCGGCAGCTACAACACGCACTCTTATAAATAGACTTCACGTTACCCTGTTCATCTGATGCATCATCGCAGTCTCTCTGACCATCACACTTCCAATCTTTCATTATACAATCACCATTGCTACAGGGCACTTGGTCGCCTCTGCACGATCTTCGAGAACAGTCACGCTCGTCTGACGCATCGCTACAGTCATCCTCGCCATCACAGACCCATTCAATGTTGATACAACGCCCGGAGTTACACCTGAATCAAAAGAAAAAACGGACTCGTTGCGTAACGTGACAGAGGAACAACATCAAATGAACCCAGCAAAGATGTGTTGAGTACCTTCGGTTAACGGTTACCTGAACTCAGTGTTTGAACAAGTACGCGTGGGACATTTGTCTTCATCAGCTCCGTCGTTGCAGTCATTTTCACCATCACATCTCCAATCATAGGGAATACAGTGTTTATTGCGGCACTGGAACGAGCCAGCCTCGCACAGGTGTCCTAAATAACACGCAGTATAATACAAAAACTTAGTTCCTTATAAAAGAGTCAGAAATTGATGGGAGTAACGAAAAAAAACAGTTTATCCACCAGCACATGTTGTTTTACATGGACTCAGCTTTCACTGGGCTGGGGGAGAAATAAATTTGAACCAAGGGGGGTGAGCAGCAGTCAAGATAAAAGGTCTGAAGAGGTGGCGGGGGAAAACACAGAATAAGATCCTTAAATCAAGAGTTCAAGACTGATGCAAGCAATTAAAAAAGAAAAACTTAGAACAAACCTCAACGGACCTGTTAGGTAATAGGTACTAGGATAAAAAAGTTTAGTAGTCACCGATGTCCTAAAAAGCACATGATATGATACAGACAACGGGATTCTATTGAAGAGTTCAAGATTTACGCAGGTAAATGAACCTATAATTTCATGGACCCCTAGGTTAATAAGTATTGAGAGAGGGGAGCTTATAAACTGGAAATCTGTAAATACGAGAAATATGTACCTTCGCAAACATCTACGGATTCGTCCGAACCATCGCTGCAATCGGCATCTCCGTCACAAGTCCACAGCTTTGGGATACATTTGCGTGAGTTGTTACACTGGAAGCGTGACAGAGGGTCACAGGTATGATTGCGGCAAATCTCTCGAGACTCATCACTTTCGTCTCCACAATCATTATCGCCATCACAGAGCCACTGGCGGCTAATACAGCGACCGCCGGGACAGGTGTAGCGGTCGCCAGAGCAAGTGGTCGATTTGCAGTGCGCCTCGTCGGAATGATCACCGCAGTCATTGCGGTTGTCACACACTTGAGTTAAGAATACGCATTTGTTATTTGCACATCTAAATTGGAAAGGGAAGCACTGTCGTACTGCGCATGACTCTTCATCGGCACCGTTCCGGCAATCTTTGTGACCGTCGCAGATGGCAATGACCGAAACGCACGTCGAGTTATCACATTGAAACATCCCTAAGACAAACATGGAGAAAGCTCAAGACCAGACAACAAGTACATTTATGTAGAAAACAGTGATCGACAGAAACATGAGTGCAAGCCAAGATCGTTAGTCTCCCTCCCAACTCCCCTTTCCTCCAAATTCTGATGCTGTCGGTTTACGAATTAAGTTGACAGTCACTTTCAGAACAACAGTTGTCAAAGAGGAAAAGGGAACAATGACTTCGTCTGAAGGAGCGGAACGTAATCAATACCACCGCTGTACACAACAATCTAACAGTCACCTGGTAAATAGTGTGGGCAAATAGGAGGAATGATATGTTAATGTACTCCACCTTCCTCCCCTTCCCCCCACCCCACCCCACCCCCAACCCCCCTTGATCGAAGTACAAATCTTAGTGTTACCTGGTGAACAATGTCTTGGTGGGCAGGAGGGGGGCTCATCAGAGCCATCACCACAATCATCATCTCCATCACACCGCCATAAGCGTGGAATGCACATGTTGTTTGCACAAACGAAGTCACTGTTGGTGCAGTTGTCCAAACATGTTTTACCATCATTGGCTAAATGATAGTTATCCGGACACACACAGCTGTAGCTCCCTCCTGGCTTCAACAGACACAGGCCAGAGCAGGAGGCGTTCATACAAGGATTGGGAAGAGGAGGCTGACGTATGGGATGAACTACCTAGAACAGGAGGACACATCAATATCTAGTTCTGAAGTCATTTATGCACATTCAAAATGAAAAAAAAAAAGTTTGTTTATGCTCGCATCCGGGTCGTTATTAACAAACTTTTCTTTTATTCTCTCAACATCCCAAGAGGGTTATTACGCCGGAATACCGAAGTGAAGAAAGTGCGGTCATTTTCTTAAAAAAAAAAAAAAAAAAAGCAATGAAACGGAGCAAAATTATTGTGTACTCCTTTCCAACGCATTTGACAAAACTCGATCGTTATCTAAATCCGTCTTGTATTAGGAAGACTGTAAAGGCACACACGAAACGTAAGTTTACACTTAGATCAAATATGCATAAACAACTACGCTTACTTGTAAACCCATGAGCCTGTGAGTTGAATTCAACAGAACAGTATGCTGCAATCCCGTCAGCCTATGAGCACGATGAATGGCCATCGTCATCCAATCAGTCCAGTACACAAAATCCTCAAACACACTAATAGAGAACGGATGCGGGGCGTACAAATGAGACAGCTGTACACGATTTCCTCCGTCTCGATCGCAAGACTCGACCACGTCCAACTTGGCATCTACCCAGAATAATCTTTTAGTAATGAAACAGAGGGTCAATCCGTTGGGCCAACCTATGGATTTACTGGTGACGAGCCATCGACAGCCAGAGCCATCCATTCCACATTTTCCGATATGCGGTTTGTTTCCCCAGTCGCTGTAAAACAAGTGGCCTGTTGAAGTGAAAGTAGAGAAGGCACTAGGTTACCTTTCTTATAGGAATCGAGGATCGTTGAAGCCACGGTAATAAATTATCGCACTGTTAATTAAGTAAGGAAATACCTTCCAGTTAAGGAGATCATCGCGAAATAGGTGATAAACTTTCTTAATGAGGGAAACGAGTGCGGCACAGGTCGAAACGAACCATTTCGTATTTAAAAACTGAATAAAAAAAAATCCCTCGAGGAAAGTAACACATTCACCCCAATGCTGACTTCTCCGTATATTATCACGTCTGAATCACACATTAAGATCATGATAATAGGGCAAAGATTACAAACTAGGGAAGCTCCTGCGTGTTAAACAATTTTTCCTTGTCAGTACATCAGGAAACGCAGAGAGAGCAGTATACAGAATACTGTACTGATACTAGGGTGCAAAGGGAGGAGGGAAAAATCTCGTATCTTTGAGCAATCTTTATTAAGAACATACCATCACTTGGATCAACCACGACTCCTCTGGGCTCCTGCAGCCCCTGTGATACGAGTGTTTTCATGTTACGTCCCTCCAGAGTTGCCACGAATATCTTGTCCTGGATTCGATCCGCGAGGTACACATTTCTCCCTACCCAGTCTACGGCTAATCCTTCCACGTTGGACAACCCAGCTGCTAGGACAACTTCTGCACTGGTGCCGTTAAAAAACGCACGTTTGAGACGCGGCGGAGCGCGACCTTCCGTCCAATAAATACGCTGTTCCAACCAATCAAAATCGACCGCGACTGCGTTTTGAACTTTGCGTAAAATTTCGCCTTCCCAAGAACCATCGACGGCAAGTTTGCGAATCTCATGACGCAGTAAAAACGCCAGGTAGGGTTTAAGCGCGATATCGTCGCGTTTACATGTTCTTAAACCGTGCAGTGAGTACCCACGGGCGCAAGCACACTTGTAGTGGCCTTTAAGATTAATGCAGTAGTGATTACACTGGTTAAGTTCGTATTTGTTACACTCATTGATATCTTCGCAAGACGAGCCATCTGATTGAAGCTTGAAACCAGGTCTGCAATTACAAGTGTACCCAGTGGATGTACCGTTACAGATCTGCGAGCATCGGTTCAGCTCCGGCCGACGACACGCGCCTATTTTACACCTCCATTCGTCTGCTCCATTCTTGCAATCCTCGTGACCATCGCAGACTTTATCCCTCAAAATACAGGTACCTTCACCGCAGTTAAACGATCCAGCGGGACACGAAGGTGCTCCGGTCGTTCGGCAGAGCTTCGGGTCTTCGTCAGAGCCATCCGAGCAGTCACGATCCCCATCACAAATGTAACTACTAGAGACGCAATATCCACTCTTACAGGTGAACTGTTTCTCATTGCATGTATGATTTTGGCAGTTTTCTTCGTCTGAATTGTCGCCACAGTCATTCTCGCCATCGCATAACCAGGCTTTCTGCACACAAAGACCGTTTTTACATCTGTGGGGGAGACAAAGAAGTTAAAACCCCACTTAAAAGGTTTATGCCTAATCCTTGACCAAGCTGTAAGCTCTAGTTCTCGCTTCTTGATGCTAGATTTCCCTATCAATCGTTTACCACAACGTGGTTTAATATCAACATAACACACTCTCTCTGATAAGTTTCCTTTCTAACATCAATATGCATACTCTCCAAACTGTTCTCTATACATTTTTTAATGTGCTAGCAAGGAGAATTTTTTTAACAATCAAGAGGTTCTTCAGTTAATTATCATTTCCTTAATTCTCATGACCTTAATGTTTGATTCAGGGGTGATATTAAAAGGAGAAATTAGATGCTGGTCAGTCTCAGGGATTAAAGGGTTAGGGATAATATATCAACATTGAATGAAAGTTGCTGGTCAGTAACTTTTAGCGCATAGAGGAGTTTAGAGTTGCTCAGGGGTCGCAAAATTCTCGTTAATTTCAAGGAAATCTTCAGACAGTAGTTCCCACGCGTAGGCAGATCAGGGACAGATCTATCAGTTCTGATGGTGGGTGCAAACTTTGATTAAGAAAGAAAGCCTAACTAGGCTAAGACTGAAATATTTCAAGACAAGTAACCTTTTCATACTTCATATTGAGTAATAACATGCAAGAAATTTGGTTTCAGACTAGTTGTAAAAAACCAAACCCACACGTATGATAGCGTATGATGGGGTGGAAATAGAGGGGTGGGGGGTGGGGTTGATGGATGGCCAAGAATAAAGAATAAAGAAGATTGACCTTGAAAAAACATAACGAATCCTTTTTTTTTTTTTTTGGTTAAGATAGTGATACACCTGCTATATACAATTTCTACACTGTAGTTCATAGAAAGAGCTGTTACCTGAACTGAGTTGGCTTACATGTCCTAAGCGCGCAGCCTTCTCTAGGATGTTCATCAGACGCATCGCCGCAGTCGTTATCGCCATCACAAACGTACGACATCATCACACATCTTGAAGTGTTCTCACACTTGAACTCGGTCGGGTCACAAGTGCGGTCATTACAGTGCAAGTCATCAGCAGATTCATCCGAGCCGTCTTCACAGTCATCGTCTCCATCGCACACAAACTTCATGGTGATACAACGGCCTGGAAACGAGTACTGCCCATCAATTGGCGGATTCATTTTGTTTTACGTTTTCTCACTTTCTAAGGTTAAGGGCTAAGTATTTAAAACCAAGCAGCCTGGACACAGTTGTTCAAGGAGCGAATAACGCTATCTTGTCGGGGATTGGGGCACACCTTACGTAGTTATTGTAATCTTTCATCACGGAAATATGTGAAATGACAGGAAGTATACGCCCAACAAGTTGTCAATCCGAAACGTCAGTATCTTAGATAGCCTTCGATTGTGATCGTGCGAAGGCCTCATAAAACTTTAGTTTCCATTAAAACACATACAACCAAACTTTGAGGCATCTCTCGTATACTGTCTCCAGCGGCCGGAGAATTTGAAGAAAATCCAATGGATAAATCGTTATCTAGCGTTAATGTGTTGACCAAACGTATAATTGTATCCACCGGATAGAGATTTATGTGGTGGATAAAACAAAAACAGGGCTTAGAGCCACCACAAGTATCGATTCTACTCCTCCAACGCACAATTTGGTCGATCTTCTGGTACCCATTTATGGACTTAAACCGATACCCATCAATACTCATGGGTGGAAGAAAACACCGCATGACCCGGCTGGCCTGGCCTCGAACGCGGCGATGCTAAACACTAGGCCAACGTGTTTGAAAAACTAAATAAAACTGTGCGTTGGACAGAAGTGAACGCCTTTACAAGAGGAAAACGTAAATCTCCATATCAAAGGACTTACCATTACGGCATGTAAACTGCTGACTAAGACAAGTCTGGTTGTTCTTTTCACAGAGTCCCTCATCGCTTCCATCACCGCAGTCATCCTCTCCATCGCATTGCCACCGTTTGGAGATACAGTGACCAGACGTGCATCGAAAACTGCTCGCTCCACAGGTTTTGTTGTTACAGACCTCTTCACTCTCATCCCAGTGATTCTCACAATCGTAGTCCTTGTCACACAACCAAGACGAGTCTATACACACATCGGTGTTGCCACATTTGGCCTTTCCCGGTGGACATGTAACAGGAGGGCAGTCGGTTTCATCCGAGAAATCTCCACAATCGTTGTCACCGTCACATTTCCAATCAAAGTTTATGCAGTGCCCATTTGCACATGTGAACCTATGCGTGGCGCACTCCTTTTTGGGGCAGTTTTTCTCGTCGCTGCCGTCTGTACAATCCCGGTCAAAATCGCATTTCCAAGTCGAAAGAACACACTGTCCACTTTCACACCTGAATTCATTTGATCTGCACTGTCTCTGAACTAAAGAAATTCAAAGTTACATCATTGGTACCAAAGTGGAACGAGATACTGAAGGTTTTAAGGACAAGCTCGCTTGCCCACTCAATCGTTCCGTCTTCTATTCATTCTTAATTTCGCTCCTTCGAGTCATCCCTTCATGGGCGGTTTTGTACTAGAGGACCTATCCGCACACTCGTGCCGTGCGCCTAGTGTAAGGTTAGGATGAATAACAAGATGAACTAGGAGAGACAAACTATGCGAACTAATACGCGCGCGATGGAAAAAGGAATAGGCGCAAGTGTTTTTGGTGGTAAATTGACTGTGCATCTACCCCTCTCTTAACCCAACATTAACCCTATCCTGTTAGCAATTGATTTTTTTTGTTAGGGGAGGGGTAGGTGCACAGTTGCTGTGACACTGACAAACAATCATACCGCACAATGCAGAAAGCTCATCGGAGCCATCACCACAGTCGTCTTTCTTGTTGCAGACCATTGAGTCAAGCAAACACTTCCCGTTTGAACAAGCAAACTGTCTCCCTCTACAAAAGACTGAACTGTTAACACACTGGAACCCTTCTTTCAGTATAAGTCCTTCAGGGCACGTACAAACACGAAGTCTATCTTGAACGGTGCAGAAATGCGAGCAGCCTCCACCATTTAAACACGGGTTGACAGTGCCTTTAGAGCAAATCAATAGCAAAGAGTTACAACCACTTACAAAACTGTCGAGAGCCACTACGACTTTCAAAAGTGGCCTTTCTCTCTCCTAATTAGGTTCAAATTGTACAGTTTGACAAAATCCAATAAAGAAGACCTACCATGAGGGTGAACAAGTCACCATTTAACTAAAGAGGTCACAATGGCTTGACCTTGCTACTATTAACAATGACGTGATTCCCGCGTGACCTAAGCGCCATTGAAAATTATGAGACAATAGCGTAACCTGGCCTCTCTTAACACTGACGTGATATAGGCGTCACCAAGTCAAAAATAAAGATAACAGTAACAATAAGCTGGTAAGTATTAATATGACGTGACACTGGCATGACTTGATGATACCTAAAACAACTAGGTGAAATGATGTGACTTGTCCAAAATTGCCAATGGCGCGATACAAGCGTTACACAGCCACAATTTAAAGCGAGAAGTCATTATGTTGGAGCGCAACAATTGGCAACTATTCACCGAGATAGAGGTGGCCAGTGGCGGATATTTACCAAGTCGCGAAGTGGCGAGATAAGTTTCTGTCTCATGCCACCGTCATTGAGGTGAACAGTTATTTCTGTCGACACTAAAACAGTGATACGATATTTCACAAAAAAAACCATTTTATTCCTGCAACGCTCACGATATCTTCGGACGCAAATCGCGGGCGAGTTGCTAGGAGGTGAATGTAGAGGTATTCGGAATTTAGGTAGCCAATCAGAGTGCGCCTCAACTGTATCCTCTGTTTTAGTACATACTAATATTGTATATTACAGTGACATATGCAAGATTCACGAGGTTTCTTTATTTAGCAACACGTCGCATGACTAAGGTGGTAAAACAAATCAAGACTATAATCCAAACACTCACAATTCTGCCGCTCTTCAGCGAACAATAGCATCCCCGTCGGTGAAAAATTCAAATCTGCTATAACAGAAGGCTCTCCGGCGGTGTATTTGTCTGCGCGCTTCACAGATTTCATTTCGTCAACCCAATACAAGAATTCTCTCAGGATACCCAAGAACAAGGCGTTTGGAGATAGTGAAAATTCCCGACGACGACTCGTTCCGTTCAAAAACACACTGTTCACACTGCAAATGAAGAGACAATGAATGCGGCAGCAGTTCAGACTAAAAACGGCAGGGGGAAATAAATCATACTCTGAAAGCACTTTTCAACTGAGCGCCAAACGTAAAGCATAATTGCGTTGGTTTCATTTAAAAATTCCACGGAGGTTGATTAAAAGACAAAACAAAGCAAAAAAGATGAACCAAAACAAAAGAAACAAAAACTAGCAATTGAAAGCTTCAAAGATAAGCTGCCTAGCCTTCAATTGAAGTACTTTTAGAAGAAGTTTATTATTCCCCTCAAGTCTACAAGTATACTGTCCGACTGATCTGTAAAAAATCGGGTTGATGAGTGAATGTTAAGTACTTATTGACTGAATAAGGTCGGACGGGAAATAATTGGGCTCTCGGTCATGACGCACGGATTTCGCGACGCTTGCGTAAAGTCCGGCCCGACTTTATTCAGTCCGCAAGCATTTTATCATTTGACCTTCGTTCCTTCTTTTCTTTCTTTCTTCTTTCAGCTCGCATGTCACAAGGCCGTGTGGTTTCTGCGGCCCGTTCAAGCCGTTGCGTGCGGCCCTCCTACGGGAATAATGCTTTGCGATAAAGCGCGCACGGGGGCGCACGGATCATGTGATACCATACGAGCTGAAATTAACCACTTTTCCCGTTTTGTAACACAAATTTACTTACACAGAGTACATGTCAACCCAGTAGAGTCTTTCTTGTGAATAATCAAATGTCATTGAATATCTTGGTTTCGTGGTAGAGTTGACAAGAGTTTGCACATTGCTACCATCCGTGCTCGCAGTTTTTATTTCTGAATGCGCACTCCACACAAGGAGCCTAAGAGAGAATGAAAAAACAAACAAACAAACAAGTTATTTTTGTGTATTTTTAGGTTCCCTATTGTTTTTGTTGGCACAAAGGGATTCATCTGACAAATTCGAAATTTGCTTGTTCATTAAAAAATTGATAAGAGCGCCTTTCCTTTATTGTGTGGTTTGATTGTCCGGATGAGGTAGTCCCGAAATGGACTGGACTCTTGTCGGCAGTAGTGACTAACGTTTCGAAAATCAGAACGAAATTCAACATCAGAGTCACACGAAGACTTGTTTGTTAGTCAAGTGGTGCAAAATCCTGGCTCGTGAAAAGTGACTGGTCCGAGTTTTGCCGTCATGTCAATTTATCTAAGACTCAATAAGCGCTAGTCATTTGCAATTGGGTAGTTTCGTTCGGTTGATAAAGTTAAGTCATTTTGTTCGACTGTTTGCTTCGTTGATGTCGTGAACATTCATTGGTATTGTGCCAGAAATTGTTGACATCTGTCAATACGAATCTACTTCATGCTAGTAAACCCGCTTTCCAAAGTCAGTCGTAAAAAATAGTTCGTTCTTTGGGCTTAACTCCAACCCTAAATCAATAGCGGTGTAAGCGAGTCGCTACCTTTCTACAAGGTATGTGATGACATCAGCGTTTCTCGTTGATCGTAAAGGTACAAAGTTTTGAGGCTTATGCCAGTCTATCCCGTGAAGGAACCTAGTGTCCAAGTATTTCGCACGAGGTTCATTGCAGTTAACCTGAAAAATCATTTAGCAGACTTCTTAATTTGCGGAGACCACTCACATCATACCTTTGACAGGGCAGGACCATTAACGGATATGATGACACACCAGCGTTGGTAACAACGATCTGTCGATTTGAGGAATTAACATGCATTTTTACGATACGTTTCGTAGTGTCCTCTGTCCAATAAAGCACTTTAGTAATCCAGTCAAATGTAAGAGCCTTTGTGATAACGTCTAAATGGATTATAAAAAAAAAAAAGAAAAGAAACAAAAAAAAACAAAGTCATTACAAGTCAATAAGTGGGTCAGAGTTTCCATTAAGTTTATGTTCATCGTTAGTAGTAGTTGTTGTCACTTTTCTTTTATTGTTAACGTTCATGTTTTGATTTGGGTTTTGGACGGTTTACATGTTTGGTAATTTCGGTTTGTTGGTCTTAAATTTACTTAGTTTCCCCCTACTTTTATGGTATTGATATAACGGTAATCAAGTGCCACGAATCTTTGAAAGGTGGTTTGAAAACTTTCATATCATGCCACTAGCAGAGGACTGCTTCTACTTACAAACGACACATTAGCTACAGGAAACAGAAATCATAACAATAGAAATTTTCTCACTCCTTCAATGCACCTTTTTTTTTTTTTTTTTTTTTTTTCGGATAATTTTCAGTAAAGGCTTGGCTAAATCTATTTATAATAAAATTCGGATATAACGCGCGCTCTCATTGGTTGAAAGAGCGTGCTCTATGAGAGTATAGAGCATAGAACTGAAAAGCTGTCACGCCATCTGCCAAATTGTACCATGTTCGACCTTTTCCGGGACTTCTTTTTTAGCTTTTTCCCGATAATTGAAAGTGAAATTTCAACAACAATAACAGAAAACCAAAGAAAGGTTTCATACCAGGCGCCGTTATTTACGTTATTAAAACGTGGGCAGATACGAAAAATCCTCAAAGGAAAAACAAAATAGACATTCCGAGTTTTAAAGATTTTCACGCTTTTTGATGAAAAATATAACCAAACTGGCATAATTGTTAAAATTCCCGGTTTTTCACTTATCATGCCGATCTCCGGTCATCACAGTAAATCTATATATTATTCAGTAAACCATACCCAAACCTGCCGCTGTCATCAAATCTTGTGGTCTTGTCATGTGAAAAAACACAGTGTAAGAATTAAAAACTCAATTAGAGCCGATTTTATCGATTATTTGAACCATTCTAACAGGGATTAATCGATGATCATAGTATAATTTGTTTTGAAAATTGTATCATGGGGAATTTAACAACTGAGTTGAAAACGTAAATTGGCCACCGTGAAGTTTCAAAGCTGACATTTCGAGCGTTAGCCCTTAAACTCTTTACGGTAGCCAATTTACGTTATCAACTCAGTTGATAATACTAAATTATCCTATTATACTCTCCCACCGACCTGACAACCCAGTTTCTTTAGAAAGTTACCCCCTTATTTATAGTCTATCATAAGGCTGAAATGGGTGAGGCGACTGTTTAGAACTTTCCAACCACCCTCTTTGCTAGTTATATACTAAACTAGTGTTAGAGCGTGAAGATGTGCTAACACTCATTGAGTCCACATGCTGTTGACCTTTGGGCTGAACACCTGTAGTAATTATTTTCGTTCTAATTTGAAGATACACAATCGAATAGTTATCTAAATTACCTACTTTGTAACAACTCTATAATGATCACATACCCTTTAAAATAACCTTCATACCAGTGCCATTCAGAAACACCTTTTTGATATCGTTCCCGTCGGCATCAGCAAAGTAAATAAGCTTTGAATCGTAGTCATAGTCGAAAGCGACGATATTGATTCGTCTTCTCCATATTGTGGAGTAACTTGGCGGCCTGCTCAGACGACTAGTAGCTCTGAACTTAAATCTCCTTTTCGAAGTGATAATAAGGAGGCTTGTGTCATTTAAGCAGGATTTGCCATCGGGTGCCGTACGGCCTGACACACATATACATCTGAAAAACAAAGAGAGAAGATATTCGCATAAGCCCTTGCCACAATTATTTGCCGTTCGCTGCAAACAATCCATTGCGTTGGCAGGAAATGAGGGATTCGATGACGTTCACAAGGGGACTCCAGATCAGATCGAGGTCTCTCTTCAAAACCGATTGTTCAGGCTTGCAAAAAGACTTGTTACCGACACTGGCAAAAGCCAGACAATACCGCAGTTGTGAAAAGTTGTAGGAATGAACAGATAAATAAATAAATGAATGACGCGTCAGTTTGTAAGAGTATAAAGCAGGATCAACTCACCTTCTCCGGGACGAAGACACGGCTAAGCACAGCTCTGCACAGCCACCATTATTCGTGCATGGGCCTCCAGGTGGCTGCCGCTGAGGTGAGAACACGCGCACGTCTCTCAAACCATCCACCTGCGATCTTATGACCGTAACGTCTGTTCCATTATACTTATTTGCTCTTAGGATCGACTTACGCTTCCAGGTCGTCCAGTATACAAACTGGTGATGTACGGTTATGGCATATGGCTGATCCATGGCAGAGCCAATGACAGAAACAACATTACCTTGAGGATGTAAAAATTTCACCAAAAGATGGTGAATGATAAATTGCTTCCCCACGTTATATGGTTTTGTGCCAGGGGTGAAAAACCGGCGAGCCAGAAAAGAAAAAAAACAGTCGGAGTAACAAAGAGAATCATTAACGAACGAAAAGGCTCACATCACCTCCGCGAATCAAACACGGGCCACGGCACCGAGAGGAGAATGCTGTAATCACTACGCTCTCCGTGTTCGCATATGGATAACCAATTCTGTGCCCCTGCATAGACCAAGGTGTGTCTCAATTTTAAGGATCCACGAATTGTATTTACAGACACAAACAAATTAAAAATTTCTTACAAGAAGCCTCCACTGGTTTAAAGTTATGAAGATGTCTTGTCTTATTAAGATTAGTTAGAAAATATAGGAAACAAGAAGAAAAATATCTGAAAACCGGAAGCTCAGCTGCTATGTTTTGCCGTCTGAAATCATACGTTTACCGCTCATGTAGGTCCCACGAACAGAATGTAGATAATCGCAACGCGTCATACGACTCAACATGGCGGTTACGCTATAAAATTTTAACTTACAAAATCAATTTTGATAATTTGTTAGATTGCAAGGAGTACGAAAAGTTGGCTTTTTATAGAGTGCAGCTTAGAAGCGAACAACCAAGAAATAAACCCATGTTCCTAGACTTGATCCTAGGACCTCTGAATTTCAAAATCCGGCGGCAAAACCCACTTATCTTCTCCACTTCCTAAACCACAAATGGAAAAAAAAACAGTAGGTTCTTACCACCATCAAGATCCATTCGCCACATAGCGTCGAGGGAATCCTGCACGTAGTACACCTTATCTTCCTCGTAGTCTATAGAAATTCCCGCACCTTCTTCACCCGCGTGTAATGGATAAATCTGGTGATCCGAACCGTCCATTGCGGACCTGTGTATCCTCGGACGGTGTGTGTTCAAGTCATAGTCTGTCCAGAATAGCAGCCCCTTGGCTGGGTACACAGCAATCGCCTTAGGTCTATTGGTGTAGTCAGAAGAGATAACCACTGTTCTGTATGTACCATCCAGTCTGCTGACCTTGTGGAACAAGAAGAAAAACTGATTTATCATTTATCTAATCTTTTTCCACTCGAAGGAAAGAAATTCAGGGCAGGTTGAATCGTCTGAAGTTTGACATGATGCTCAAGGGCATAAAACACCAATTCTGACTCAATTTGGACCGACTTAATTCAGACTCAATTTGGAATCAGTTTGGGCTATCAGAACTGGCTGCACGAACTGGCTACACGAACTTTCCTGTTCAGGAAAAAAAAAAGGGGGGGCTGGGGGCGGTCCGAGGAGTTACAGAAGCTATTCGGGTTTAATTGGTAGTTAGTTTCGTCGCTCCCGCACGGACTATTCGCGAGATGAGCAGGAGTTTTAGAAGAATGAATATTGTAGACAAGAATGCAATAAATACAACGAAAACAGCGCGACTAACGAAATTTGGGTTCCCTCTTCATTGTGCACAAACGAGAACCGTTTCTTTCAGGTTGTTATGACGCAATAAGCGTTCTCTTTTTGCACTGTCTACTTAATCACATAGAACCTTTCCGTTTTGTTTTGTTTTGTTTTCCGGTGGCTTTTGCAGTTCTTGGCACCATTTCTGCAACAATCTAAAAACTATCATCACCAAAAACATTTAATGAATGCTTTCTGCGAAGGGAAAAGCAAACCAGGAGTCAAGAAACTAAACAACGAACAGACAAGCTAAAAAATTTGTTGTTTTGAAGATTTTCTTATGTCATTCTACTCTACTACATTTAGTCAAAGCACAATTGACCTCTCAGAGCCAAACCAAAGTGTTCTCAGTTTCCGTCTTTTCTAAGCTGATAACGCCAGTTTCATGTGTGACAGTTTATTAATTAGGATTGATAGACAACACTCAATCGTCTGGTACCTCGATGACGTTGGAGCCAGAATCTGTCCAAAACATGTTTCCAGCCACCCAGTCAACCGCAAGGCCTTGTGGTCTTCGAATCCCGGTGTTAATAATGTCCTTTTTTAATGTCCCAACACGCGATATTTGACCAATTGTATTCGTGCGATCGTCCGCATAAAAAATCATACTGGAGTTGGCATGAAAGTCTATCGCGAAGCAGTTCCGCACGACACCTAGCGGCTGCATGACTTCTGTTTCACTCTTTGGGTCCAGAGGAGCACCTTGGATCTCTGCGAAAGTTTGACAGTATCCATATTAGGTACTTTGAATGATGCAGGAGAATAGTGTACGGAGAGGAGAAATGATTAAAAGATAGATAATTGCAGCCAAACAGGTAAAATGATGACAGACATAGCTGATAAAGGCCGTCAGACTTACATAAAGACGCAAAGACTAGCCAACACACAGAGCAACTGACAGGCAGGCAGGCTGGCATACTGACAGACAAACAGACAGACAAATAGATAGAGAGAGAGAGACGGACAAGAAGCCCATCCGACAGCCAGGAAGGAAGGCAGACAAGTAGGAAAGTAGACAGATAGACAAACTTGCCAACATAACGGCCAACACACAGTTTACATTACACTGACGTAAGATAGGCACACGGAAAGAGAAAGCGTCAAAATGGTTAGTTTCAAGAGCAAATTTCACCTGGTGGCCGATCACTGTCTTTTGATAAAAAAAAACTCTACAAGGTAAATCACAGAACAATATCCAAACAGCAACAGACATTGTGCTAACCTGTTAATGTTGCGTAAATTAAGAAGGTGTTCACACTTTCGCAGGTTTTTCCATCAGTGGCTAACGCATATCCCACTGCGCATGCGCAAGAAACTTCCATTGATCCCATTGGTAGACACAGCTGGGTACAATTACCATTGCTCACAGAACAACCACTTGTACCTGAAATAATGGTATAAACCGATCGCTTAACAACTCAGATGATGGCAGTACTATTGGCATTGACATACACATAATTTGAACAATGGGGGTTTAGGCCACTAGATTGATTCGGTTTGCAGTTGCTTAAATTCAGTGCTGACAAATCTACAGTGCCAACAGTAACCTGAAATAACTGGTTTTATTTAACTTTTCTCTGTGACTTATCTAAAAACATCCCGCCACCCGCTAAACCAACTGAACTACAAATGATAAAGGGGGTAAGTTTCTAAAAAAACTGTGGTGCTGCGTCTGTGGAGATAATTTTGGTATTATCAACTGACTTTATAATGTAAATTGGCTACCGTTGAGGGTTTCAAAGCTGACGTCTCGAGCGTTAGCCCTTCTTCAGAGCGGATGGAAACAAACTGGGGACGAGACAGAGTTATTGGCTCCTTTGTCCCGTAAAGAAAAGTGCTCACAACTGTATGAGATTATTCAACACGTTCTTTTGAATAAACAATTTCTTTTTATCCAAACAGCACCTGGTTGGTTTTCTTTGGCGAATACGCGCACACCATACAGATTCTCCGTATCCTTCTTCAACACAGTCTTTCGTCTTCTACTCTTAGAACCTCGATAGATGCTTTCTGTCTGCCAGTCGGTCCAGAAAATCTTATCCTTGTAAATAACTAATCCAAATGGATGCGGTAAGTTCGCATAGTGTACTTTGATTAATGCTCCATCGAACGACATGGACCCAATGTTGTCTTGTCCAGCATCACACCAATATAATCGATTGGAGCTAAAATCTATAGCTAATCCATTAGGGTATTTGAGACCAGAACTCTTCAAAGAGGTTCTGTTTGAGCCATCCATGAGAGCACGCTCTATCCTGGGGTCGTTTTTGTCCCAGTCGGTCCAGAAGAGCAGACTTCATGGTAAAAAAAAAACAAAACCAAGCAAACAAAAGAAATAAATACATAAACAAAACTGAACAATACGGCAACAATGAAGGTGGTTGAAAAAGGTTGCGTTGTTTTGAAGCAGCAATGTTTTCATGGATTCATGTTGCCACAACTTTTCGTTTAAATCCTTGACAATAACATTAAACAAATAACTGAACACCGAAAAACTAACTTCTCTTGGAAACGCCCTTGTTTTCAGCTCTGTGTGTTGTTAATTTAAAATAAAGAGTTTTATTGATCGTCAGTTTTTTATTATTAATATTAATCATAACCATTACAATTTCCTCAAATGTGATTGGTGCATCAGCTGCTTTATATATCACTAATCACTCTGTACAGTTGTAATCGGACAGTGTAATCGGACATTTCGCTGTTATCGAACACCTGTAATCGGACAGTTGAAGCAGCCTATTATACTAGGTCCACTCAACTAAATCCACTAATCACAGAATTGATCACAATAACCATTTACCAAGAAAAAAAACTGGGAAATTTCCAAATGTTTTTGCTTCAGACATTGTCCCTACCAGAGATGTTTGTCCTATATGTTTCTTTTTTTCGGAAATTGTAATGGTTATGATTAATTGGTAACAGGACTTCGTGTCGTCCAATTCTGTCTGTAATCATACGAGTGATTGACAAATCGGACTCCCGCTTTGCGGTCGTCCAATTTTGTAAACCACTCGTATGATTACAGACCGAATTGGACTCCACTCGGTCCTATCACCATCATTAATTAAAAGGGAAGGAACTTAGCTCTACAGTAATTTGTGTTAACAGGGGGCACAAGTTTGCTTTTCATTTCATGGTAGAAAAAATACGATACATTACTGCGACAAACTTTGTGGTGCTGTCTCTGGAGAAAATAACCTAAGCATCACAAAAAGATCTAAGATCAGCAAGTGATATTAGCAGTCGTTGCAGCGGAAAGTGATAGGGCGCTTACTATAAGAGAAAACACTTTTCTACAAGTGACACCTACCCCATCGAAGGATGCACCACAATCGCCCTGGGTTTACTCAGACCCACGGTGAGCAGAATCTTTTGGTAACTACCATCCTGTCGTCCCACTCCAATAATTTTCTTTCCTTGATCAGTCCAGTAGATATTTTTTGCTGTCCAGTCATATGCTATGCCTTCTATTTGGCCAAAACCTAAAAAAAAGAGAGAGAGAGAAAAAAAAGAAAAACAATTCGTTCCACACAGAAAGAGAATGTAAAGTCTCCTCCAAAGTTGGAAGGCCAAATCAACTCCGAGCTTCATTCTGGCGTCCACCCCATAAGACAATATTGGTATAACACCACTGCTTTCGGGGTGGTCTGCTCTTCCATCTTATTCACCCCACCCCCTCCTCTGCTTGAAAACGAGGGTTAGAGTGAAGCGTGAGATAAGAAAATGATTTTTATTTTCGTAATACAACTCATTTTCACAACAAAGGTCCAATATTTAGCCTTGTTTCAAAGTGTTTATAGAACTCGAAAAAAACCTACCAATATTCTTGTGCGGTGACAAGACGATTTCAGAACTCAAAAACTTCCGAAAAAAAGTGTTTCAGTGTTTCACATCGGTGCAGTGTGGAAGGGCATGGCTGCAGTCGTTACCGTGAAATATTGGCTTAGGAATTGTCGGTGGAGATTGGCGAACAAAGTATTGCTTATTCTCTCTATCAGTGACCCACTCTTGTTTTCACAAATTGTTAAGTCTAACATTTGAAGTGTACTCCTACATAATTGCAAATTTTCAAATTTTCCTCACTCTGCACTCATACCACTCACCATCGATAATTGTTTCCCGGCCTGAGCCATTCACAAACACCCTGGATATAGAATCTGTAGAGATGTCGCTCCAGAACACATACTGCTCTTCTACGCTGAAATCAACTCCGACAGCCGTCCTTAACTGTCTCACAGGTAACATCTGATCCTTGGTGATACTTGGGTTCAAGGATATTCCACTGATTCTGTTCTTCTTGGCATACAACAGGAACGCTTCCTCTGTGGAAAAAAGTAATTTTCTAGTGAGTGTCGAAAGTAATCTGACACTTTCAGGAGCTTATCATATGTCAATAGAACGCTTCTCAACCAGTGAGATGGAAAAATAAAACCAATCAATTAACCGTTGCCATAACTTAGGTTTAGGCTAAACGAAACTCAATCAAAAGTGTGCTAAAATAACTTTTATCTAACATTGCATACCTTGCGAGATATAAGTGTTTTAGGAAATCGTTTGATTTCCAGACTATTACTGTATTGAGTATTAAAACCGCATTAAACTGTCCAATAAAAACAAAAATGAAAAGAGCTTTCAAGATGGGTAACTACCGGGTTCCAATGCACAGTTGAATAACTTAAGACGAGCAGAAGCAATCTTACCAAGGCATGTGACATTGTCGTCCTGTAGTACCCTACCCACAGGACAATGACAACTGTATCCCGACGGTTTCAGCAGACACAGGTGAGAACAAGTGCTGTTCAAACAATAATTTACACCTGAAACAGAAAATTCACTCCTTCTCAATGATTTCCGTTTAAGTTAAAGAAGGAGGAATTATGATAAAGATAGATTTTAATTAAAATAGTCAAACCTGTATTTAGCGGTTAACCACGGTAAATGGCGGGATGACCGCTTAAAACATGTTGACCGCTGAAAGCTGGTTGCACAAATAAGGGGTGTTATGAAAAACGATACAAACACCACTTCGTGCCATGATTGACAACTCAATGTACACAATCTCGCTCAAAATTCTACTTACTTTGATTTTGGGAAAGAAATTAAAGATAACTTCAAAGATTATTCCTAGTTTCATTTGAGTGGTCCCGCTCTAGGTGACCGTTCAATACAACCTTTGGGATCTAGTAAAGGGTGACTGCGACCGCTTAATGGAGGTGAAAATTACTGCGATTAAGGGGAAAAATTCGACCGCTTAATACAAGGTGACCGCTCACTACGGTGCTGCTTAATACAAGTTCGACAGTACATAGTTCCAAAATATGATTGTTTAATAAAGAAATTATGTAATTTAACGGCTACTTCAAAACAGCCTTGTGACCACTGTGCATTGGTCGCCAAATCTGTGACTTACACCAAACTTAATCGCCAGGTGAACGTAGCTTGGATCGCTGATTTAGAGGGAGATTTGTGCAGTACAAAAAAATACATCTAATAAAATTTTTGTTATAATGAAATCATTTACCTTGTGGTTGTTGAAGAGGATGGACTACGTGCAAGTCCATTGGTCGAAACCCAGCAGTGTGAACTAACGTAACGTTACCCTCATGGAACTTTTTTGTCTGTTTGACCTGTCTATCACTCCAGTCAGACCAGTATAACGTGTCCTCAAACAAGGTAATGGAGAACGGATGGCGAATCTTTCCTGCATCTCGAAGCACTGTGTAACGTTGAGAACCGTTGTAGTTACAGAAGGCAATGTAATCCAGCCTTGCATCGATCCAGTAGAGTCGCCTGCGGAGAAAAATGCAGAGTAGAAGCACGCCTTTGGGTGGTTAAGTACGAAGTGCGACAATTCTGTTGGCTCAATTTCGCCGCTCTATCGAGTGCAGTCTCATTAACACAGCGGTCAGGGTTTGCGCATCCACGGACGCTGCAGTGGCAGAGTGGAGGCTTAAAATCGTGCCTTTAGGCTGTAAGAGCTTAGTTACCTCAGGAGTTAAAACAGCTAAAAGTAAGTTATTTACAGTGTGTCAACATTTCTGATAATTTCAAAACAATATGGCAAATTATCAAAACGCCCGTATTATAATAAACGTTGTGTTCAAAAGGTCTCAATTTTTTTTCTTTTCTAACCCTTGTTTCTTTTTACAGAGTTCTCATGATGACGTCCTAGTTCCCCTTTCCCCCCCCCCCCCACTCCGCAAATTTGTGTGACACCAGTTTTATTTCTTATTGTTTCCCCAATGGCCTAACACTGAACTAACAGCGAGCTCGTTGCAAAACGAGGCCATAGCTAACGGTGACAAATTTCCATCATACTGCCAAGAAAAGAAACGCCCCATGCATCCAGTAAAGTGAAAGAGATTTTAACGCGAGGGCCGTCGAACAAACCTGTTGGCAACGTCTAGTGTGATGCCATTCGGCCACTCAATGGATGTATTAACGAGTACTTGTCGAGAACTACCATCCATGTCGGCTCTCTCGATCCTGGACTTCGTAGCACCCCAGTCAGACCAGAAAAGAAGCCTGAATGTAAAGAAGAAAATAAAAATTAGTTTGAGTACGGCATAAACTAAGAGGCATCTTAAGTAGCATATATTGCTTATCGCCAGTGCTTTAGATTTAGCTGTATCCTCAAACAAGACGGAGAAATTTGATGTAAAATATCAAAATAAACTGCGAACTAATTGGTCAGACGTCTCGAATACAAATTGGAGTTGCCTACCCGTCTCTCGGATCAACTGCAATTCCACGAGGGGATTTGAGGTCATCAGAAATCAACGCCATACGCCATTCGCCTTCCAAATCAGAGACTTCGATTTGATGGGTGTGCATGTCAGTCCAGTACAAATGGCGTCCAATCCAGTCCACCGCAAGCCCTGAAACAAGAAGATCAAGATCACATCAACCATGAAGTACACCAATAAGGATCAAGCCAGGATTCTATATCTCCATAAAAGGCAATATTGCAAAGGAAATTCCCCTCTGGTTTTGTACTACACTGTGTGACGGAAGTCTTGGCACGCTCGACTACTTTTGGAATTTTTTTCTATAACTTTTGTCGTTGGTGGTGTTGACAAAATGGTTACCACCAGGGTGGGGGAGGAGACGGGGACTTTAAAGAAACTTATTAGAAATCAACGATAAGATAACTGTTTATTATGTCAAATGGAGGGTTGTCGACCACTTACTGAGGGTAGGCGTACCAATGCCTTCTGTCACCGATTATAGATCACTTCCGTTTCCGTAGATTCCAGAAATATCGAGAAAAAGCCAAATTCTGCCCACCTGGACAACACACAATTTTTCGCGCTGAACTTAAACATTCGAACAACTCGCGAGGTACATGGCACATGTCAGTTGACATGGTAATGCTAAGGGCTCATGGGAGAATCTTTCTTCCCAAAGAAAAATGTTACCAAGCAAAGGAAATAATCCTCTCGGTAGGACTGCAATCTTAGTAATTGCAGAAAACCTGCAGTACTAACGGCAACTGGGCACAAAGCAACACGCAACGAAGCAACACGCTAGGAGCGAGGCAGATTTTTAGAGGGTTCCTCTTTCTTGGAGATAAACTTCTACCTGCGAGGACAATTTATTTGCTTGATTTTCATCTGCAGGTCCAATGAGATTTATCTCAGCACAAGTTGTTGGGTAATGTTACCATCAACATAATCGTTGCAAAATATTAGTTCTGCTAAAGGTATTAACTTGGTAATTATTCACCTTCCGTCATCGACAGTCCTGTTGTGATCACATCTTCGCATTCACTGCCATTCAGATAGCATCGTATGATTTTATCTTTAGTGACATCTGAAAAGTACAAACGCTGTTCAGACCAGTCAAAGTCTATACCAATTGCGCTCGACAGACCATCTAGTACTGTGAGGTGGTTGGATCCATGGCGAACGTCGACCTTCATCACCTGACGCCGGGTTGAGAAATAAAGGTATGGTGTGATGTTATCTATGGAGAGAGGACAGACCAAGTCAAAATTATGTGAAATGTTATCAAGACTTAAAATAATAGCGAGGCTAGGAGGGACATTCGGAATGTAGAAAGATATGTATCAAAGGAGAGTCACCCAAGCTTCACTCTTATTCAAAGGCCGAGCTACGACGGACTAAGAAATCACTAGGGTCTGGGTTCTAGCTCTGGCAGAGTCACCACGTTAGGATCTTGGGCAAGACATTTAAGTCTCTCAGCACGCCATGCAAACCTGGAGTACAAATGGCTAATGGCAAACTGTCGCTCTACGATTGGTTCAGATGACTCTTGCTACTTTCTCAACCAATCATATTTGAAACTAATACCGACCGCGATATGTTCACTCGAATTTTCCCGTTCTTCAAACAGTTTGCTTTTTTACTTTAAAATCTCATCACCCGTTTGTTATAGTTTCTTTTAATCTGAATAAGAAGGGAGAGGAGATTATCGTCTATGAACAAGCATCCACTCGAGAATGGACCCATACTGTTAGCCGGTTGCAACTATGAGTAGTAGCAACGAGTCTTTTTTTTTTTTTTTTTTTTTTTTTTTTTTTTTGCAAGGGAAAAAACTAGAAAGCAAATTACAGGAATATAATTGATTCACGTAATCAGTTCTGTCTAGACCTGGACGATTCAAACCAAGTGCGTGTCGCGAACTCAAAAGCGCAAGAAAATGTTCTCGACTAAGTGATGATTTGCGGAAAAAATTACGCTACAAAATGCCACTTGTCTTACCGTTAGCTTTGCATCGTTTCAAATCACTCTCTAGTTTATAGCCTTCAAAACATTTACACCAGAATGATCCTTTGTTATTGACACACCGCTGGCTACATGTGCTGGGGTTGTCGCACTCGTCAACATCAAGACACGTGACACCATCATCGTCTAAGGAATATCCCTCGTGACACGAACACAAGATGCCTGTTGAAAAAAATTGATAAATAATTAAATACATAAAAATTCAGAACCAAACAAACATTTCATTTCCTCGGTGAAACTGGTGTACTTTGGTTGGGTTTAAAAGAACTCTGAGATAAATCAATCCTGGACATGAGAGGACAAAGTTTATCTTCTCATCTTCCTTAACAAATCCCCTCGCCTAAAGACTGCCTTCCTTCCAGGTTTTGACAACCAGACTTAAGAAGACAATCTTCGATATAATTTTTTTTTTTTTTTACCCGACAGAATAGAAACTCTAGTCAGAAAAGTTCTTCTTTTCAGGTCTCCTTCATAAGTTTCCTTTGCTCACGAAGAATGCGAGCCAATTTTCCTGGAAAAGTATCCTTCTTAAGGAAAACGTGCTAGTGTTAGAGCGCTTCATGGTCGAGTGACGCAAAACCAAAACCAAACTGATCACAACAGCCAATCAGATGAAATGAGACCATAACGAACTGCCAATGAGATCTCAGCGAGCAAACAGCCTGAAGCGCGAGAAAAAATGAGGATACAAGTCAGGATTGATTTCCTTTTGATTCTGATTGGTTGAGAAAGTGGCACGAGTTTTCCTGAACCAGTCATAAGGTGAGGTAAAGCGAAGCCAAAGCAATCCGGATTTCTTTCGACATTCAATTGAAAATTGCCCTGATACGCATCAAAATCGACTTCTATCTCTTATCACACCTCTGCTACGAATCAAAATCGATTTTTATTTGTTATCTCTACTCCGATACGAGACAAAATCGATTTTTATCTGTTATCACAGCACGTATAAGCGGCTGCCTATGGTGTGATAGGCGGCTGTGCCTATGCGCACAATAAACAGGCGGCGGTGAGAGGTCTTATGGCCAGCGGTAGACAGTATGTAACCAGCCTTGATTTAAATTCGTGCATTCCTAGATAAACACCTTCTGGGAGATGTTTGCAGACTTGGGAACAGCCTCCATTTTCTTCATGACAACCAGTAAGCACACACCCTACTCCCTCGTCGCTACCATCGGGACAGTCTACTCGCCCATCACAAAACTTGTTCTCTTCCAAACACACGGACGAATTGAAACATTGCCTCTGAAAAGGGCTGCACGTGATTTGAGTCACAGCTGGCGGAAAAACGATAAATGGAAAATTGAAATAAAGCAAGAATTATCCTTACCAATACCGTTGACACTGTTATTATTGCTATAAGAAAAATTATATTGTTATCAGCATCATAATTGATTATTATCACTGCATTCACTAAAAGGACGATAAACCGCTGGCCTGCATCTTTTCTGTGCTGATTTATAGCAGGGAATGACAGGCCCCCATTTAAACCAGTTTAAAGCTTGATTACACCAATTTTGAAATCACTGGTGGTCCCTGTAATCTAATTGGCTCTAATTGGTGCTATTTATTCACGAATCGCACCATTTTTTGCTTTAAACCGCATCTTTTTCTCAGCCAATGAGGAGGCTACACCAAAAAAAAACAAAAAACAACCAATCAGATTTCAAGGCTTGTTTAAGGTAACCAACCAAATTGCAGGAAAATGAAAGACAAAGAGTATCATGTGGCAAATTTTGAAACTTTTGTTTCCCCCTCAAAAAAAAAAGGATGAATGTAATTTCAAACCGGCTCAGCACTGCATCAATAAAATATTTGAACTGAGCAAGTCCGTTATTTGAGCAATTTCAAAATGGATATAATAAAAATGGTAATTGACCTCCTGTCGTGCAATTTGGTCTGAAATCATACTTGTGATTTCAAATCACGCGTACGATTCCAGCCCAAACTGCACTCCACTCAGTTCAATTACCATTATTAACTGGGCCACCCTGTCTAAATATCGAAAATGAATAAAAACATTTTGACTTCAACCACTTCTCGGTGTTCAGATATCGGATGAAACACTCTTCCTCGTGTTTGATATATTACCTAAAGGTACATACTGGAACATGAAATCTATTTTCAAATTAACTCACAGCAGTTACGCTCATCAGTCATATCACCACAATCGTTGTCCCCATCACAGACCCAGTCCCTCGTAACACATCGCTGATTGTCGCAGGTCAACTCGTCCGGAGCACAAGTTGATAATGAGCAGTTTGAGAGTTCATCTGACTCGTCTCCACAATCATCGTCATCATCGCACACATATCGCTTTGGGATACATTGGGAGTTATTGCACAAGAACTTGTCTACACCACAGCCGTTGGGTTCCACGAAGGCTAAAAGGAAACGGACACAGGTTCGATGTCAACTTTCGATGATAATAAACCGCTGCGCACAATCAAGTGCATGCGCGAAATGCAAAGACACAAGAATAAAACCAATTTAGAGAATTTTTCAAGCACTTACGGCATCCTGCCTCATCAGTTCCATCTTGGCAATCTTCAGCTCCGTCGCATCGCCAGCTTCCAGTGACGCACTGGCCATTCAAGCAACGAAATTCACCCTGCGTGCACTGCCGAGGAGGGCAACTCTGTTCATCCGCGTTATCACCGCAGTCGTCGTCACCGTCGCATCGCCAATCGGAGGGCAAACATTCTCCAGACGGGCAGGAAAAGTCCTGCTCCTGACAACTTTGGTTCTCTGCATGACATAAAACGATGAGAGTCATTGAAAGAAATATCGTCTTCAAATATGCTTCTGTTCAACCAGGTTTAACAGAATGAAGACAAGAACCAGAAAATGGAAATAATGAATTTTCCATTGCGTTCCAGTAATCACAAACTTGTATTTTCAAAGTGCCAAAATTCAGTTGGAAGTCGACAAAAATCATTTTAATTAAACTGCTTCTAAGAGGAGACAATTTTCGATCATGTTTTTTTTGTACTGTGTGTAAGATTTGGTGCGATGGGGTTATCAAATGTAGGGCGGACTTGGGTCACTTACCACATTTCAGTTCGTCCGAACCATCAACACAATCATCAAACCCATCACATCTCCAACTGATAGGAACGCATTTACCATCGCTACAGCGGAATTGCACCGCGGTGCAGGCGGACAGTGAACAGTTAGACTCGTCCGAGCGATCTCCGGTTCCACAGTCGTTGTCACCATCGCAATACCAGTTTTCAGGGATGCATTTACCGCTTTTCAAGCAGCGGAATTGATTTTTCTTGCAAGATACACCAGCTAAAATCAAAGAAAGAAAAGAACAAAACAAAGAAACAGAAGTATTTGAGAAGCTCTTCGACAGGGTTCCTGGAGTAACTTTCTTAAAAGTCGCTATCCGGCGACCTAAACCATGAAATTATTGGCACAAATAAAACTTTAGTCGCTAGGAATGTCTGTCTAGCGATTATTTTTTCAAAACATTCACTGCACCTCTCACGGCTGAACACTAAGACTACCAAAGAGAAAGAAGCAAAATGTCTGTATAACAGAAAATGAGGTATTAGCAATATTTTATACAAATGTTTCTCTATTTATTGATAAGACTACTTGACTTGGAGCCCCCACATTACACCAAAACCAAAGGAATCACGCGGCTAACGAAAGGAAAGAAAAATACCTTTGAGAGCCAATGAGAAGTCAAGGTAAAAACAAGCACAGTACCTAAAACGCAGGAAAACGCGAGCGACTATGTCGTGATTGGTTTTAAATTTTGATCTGATTGATCAAGAGAGTTGCGCAAGATAATACTAAGAAAATGGAGGCTATTCCCAAGTCTGCAAGCATCTTCCAGAAGGTGTGTATCTAGGGATCCACGAGTTCTTGGTACCGCGAAAAATCATGACTTCAGCATCAAATCTAGTTGCCGAAGTTTCCTTCTCCTTGTCACACGAGCAAAATGTTCACATAAAAAGTGCCCTGTTTGGCTAGCGTGTGAATAGATGTCACTTCTGCAATTAATCCTATCAAAGCTGAATTTCATAAAACCTTGTGACTTGGCCGCTCTTAAACTTTATTTGAATCAAACTTACGACAATCTGCAAATTGCGACTCATCTGAGTGATCCAGACAGTCAAATTCTCCATCGCATTTCCAGTTTTTGGGAATACAGGCCCCATCGTGACATGCAAATTGATTTGCTGGACAGTGAGGTGTAGGGCTGACAGATTCATTGACTGAATTTCAAAAAGATTAAAAAATAGCGTCAGGCACAAGTTATAAGAACAATTACTCTCACACAAGTCAATTACGAACAAATAAGATAATGTGTCATATCAACTGAGTCCATAATGTAAATGAATCACTGTAAAAAGTTTCTAAAGCTGACATTTGCATTGAATGTTGGCCCATTCCCTTCACAAATTATAAACTCAGTTGATAAGCCAAATTATCTTGTTGTACCACCACCGACGCAGCACCTCAGTTTCCTTAAAAAGTTACCCCCCTTACTCTCCGACAAGTCAATTAGGACCTTGGCCTCCTTAGTAGATGTCAGACGTATCAAATGAAAATAAATCAGTTTAAAATTGGACTATAATGAATAGGGTTCTGGAATCGGACTGATTTAATCACAGTTCGCTGTGTTCTTTTTGATGATGTTTAGCTTGTTTCTGTCTTGCAGTTCCCTGTTTCGACAATGATGGTCACATTAAAAAGTCTCTGTCCAGTTTTCTGAAGATAACGCGTGTATTTAGATCTATTTATTTCGTTTTAGCTTTTGCTTCCAAAAGAATGCATTTTGTTGTCAAATGACAAGAATGCCCCTTCAATTGAAATTTTTCCCAAGATTCAAGGAGAGACCTCTCCTACCAACCTAACATGTTATTTTGAGCTCTACTGAAAGGGAATGCCGCCGGCGCGCGATAAAGCCACTTTATTCCGGTTACTTTCAAACTTTACAACACTCTCAAATCGCCGGCAGATGTGAATGACTTATAACTTTTCCTCACAAGTTAAGTACATCCTCCAGTAAAACAAGAGTAAGAATTAACGCTCTTATCAGTAGGTGAGTGTTATTGTGATTGAACACTGAATTCTCTTCACTAACATACAAAAAAATAGACATAAGCTACAGAGGAGAATCATCATCCAGATAATGGGAACGAAATGGTTTAATCATATGTGTTCGTCTTGCTTGATATCGATTTTTGTTAACTCGTGAATTGCGCGCATGCGCAAGAGCGAGTTATAGATACGATGTGGGGAATGGCATTCGCTCGCTCGATTGGTCGATTCCTGTAAACTTTTTTTAGATTTTAGGCTTTTGAGTGCATTTGATAGTTTTTGGCGAGCAATAAACAGACGAAATGGCGACCTTTGTTGCTAAGAATAGTGGTGGGGTGAAAAAGAAGCCAATGATAATCTTAAAAGAGTTTTTTTTTTTCGTTTTAGTTTTAACAAGCGGCGCCAGCGGCTGGCAGGCATCCAAGGATTCACACTGAAATAACAGAACAACCTTCGTTTTTCATAAAATTGTAATTTACAATCCTTGAACTTGAAAACAATCCGAAGATTCGTTGAAAATATCACTTACTGCGAAGCGCTCGGAGTTTACAGATGTTCAAAAGCTTTTTCTGTCATAGCGTGAGATTGAGGACAAAATTGATCATTACGTTTCGTCGCGTGTGTTTTTCCTGTGTGAAGCAACAGAAGATGCCGGCGACTGACGAAATTACAAGTTAACACGAAAATCAAATAACACCTAAACAAACAATTTTAGCTACCGATTTTCAGTGAATTTTTAAAGAACAATTTTCTTTTAAGTTTCAAGACAATTTGAAGATTCAACATACATACAACGTACTAAACTGCGAAAGTTACACACCACAAAATTGATAAATAGGCCTGAAATGAAATTCTATCTTGTTATTGATTATACGTTGCCTAGCACGTGACTTAAATCTACCCAGGTGGAGATCCAAAATGACGGTGGCAGTCTTGGCTTAGTTATATCACTCAAAACTCGTTCCCGTTTGTCTCATTTGATAAAGAGGGAATCGTTAATGTTTTCATTATGACAGTATTGCCTTGATTTTCTAATATTTACAACGAAAGACAGTAAATTTCACTTTTCACCCACATTTAATCCAACCTTTTCTTTTGAACCAGAAACAAAAATGACAGACGTTTAAAACACATGACATCATCCACCTTGTCAAATGTAATAGCATGATCATTTCAATTGTAATGCCTTCTTATCCCAACGTTACTTTGCTTCTTTGCTACATTAGCGAACACTGAACTACTGCTCGTACTCTAGATATGACAATCAACCACAAAATTCCCTAAACCAGATAACACTAAACATAATCTAAAAAATCATGTGTAAATTCACGAGTTTGCTCACAGAGCACTTTGATTTATTTGTTTGTTTGTTTGTTTGTTTGTTTGTTTGTTTGCTCTCAGCTCCACTTACCAATACATGTCTTGTTACTGCCAAACTCCAACTGCATACCATAAGGACAGGCACATGTGTAACCTCCTGGACGCAACAGACATAAGTGGCTACAACCAGAAGAGCCACTGCTACAGGGACTACTGCCTGTGAAAAGAAAAAAACCAAAACGTATAACACTGATCATAGAATAAAAATTTTAATACGCAAACTGGCCTAAAGTGCACAGTGCAAAGACATGAAGCAAATTAGAGTGAGAAATCCCTAAAGACCATCCATTTTACTAATGTGACATATTAAAAAATTAACCCCTTTTAGTACAGCGCCACTCTAGCATTCCCTGGGCTTCAATAACTTTCTCCAAAAGCGACTGCCGATGATGTAATAGGCGGCTATACCGTAAGGCGAAATTTAAACACGAGAACCTGGTCGCAGGTGCGAGTTCTTATAGGCAGCGGTAATCGCCTTTAATTGAAACCCCTGGATTTACTGTGTTCCCATATGCGTTCAATGGGGAGCTTAAGCTCAAACGTTTTTAAGACGCGGACGGGATCCGAAAGTTAAAAGTTCTCACTCCTGATGCTCAATACACCTTCTTAGTCGGCAACGTTTGGTTTAAAATGCGAAAACGATGGCCTCACTGTCGATACACTGGCTTCAAAGAGCGCCAGAGTTAGTTAAATCCTTTCTCCGGTTGTTGTCTGCGTCTCAAAGTCGTCTCTGCTTAAGTTTCCCAACAGTCCGTAGAAAAGGAGTGTACAAATTCCAAATAGCATATTTCTTCTTACAAAAGTATCCGTTCAAGCTCTTATTTTTTACACAATGAATGAATGAATGAAGAAACTAAAAAGTAATTGATATGAGGTATAGCAGAACCAAATTTACGAATAATCCACGACACACTGTTTCTAGGTTCAATCGGACTTTTTTCTGCTTGCCATAAGGAAAACAAAGAGCGCACCTGGAAATGAAATGAAATTCTTTATCTGCTGTTCTGAAAATGCGCGTTAGGCAGTGTTAAATATTGAGTAACCAAGGGATGGTTCGAAATGAGACGGATCACATCAGATTTAAAGAACAACACAACAGAAACGTTTTTTACAACATGACAGCTCTCTCAGTCTGCCTGCCTTTTAATGCGCATGCACGTAAGACAGCCGCTGGCCAAATACATTACAGGCAGAATTTACATTTCCCACCTGTTTTTCTCTTGGAGTCATAAACTCTAATTTCCATCACACCCTCCAAGCCTGATCTTAATACCGCCTCAGAAGATGGATCAGTGATCTTTGCTCTTAGTAGTTCGTGCCTGGTCCAATCAGTCCAGTAGACGAATCCATTGTGAACGTCAAGACCAAACGGGTGACCTGTGGTCAGAAGTATCATCTTACGGTCAGAGCCATCCAGATTCACACATTCAATGGCGGAGGTCATTTCATCTGACCAGTAGAGTTTCCTTGAGACGTAGTCGATGCTGAGGCCATTTGGCCGGGCCAAACCCCCTCCTTGGACAAAGATTTGACGTCCTGTGCCGTCCATGTTGGCAACTTCTATTCTGGCTGGAGTAATCCAAGCGCTCCAATACATTCGCCTGGTGTTCAAAATCAAGCACCACATCTTAGTAAACATCATATGAGAGAAATAGTTCCCAAAGCCAGTTAAGGACTAAAACCTCTTCATTTTTTGATTGTTTGACCCCTAGTAGTGTTAGTTATGACAATTCTCTTTATAATTTTAATACACGATCACGCACTTAGAGTAGTGTTCTCCCTTATTTGAAACATGATAGGTAAAATAGATTTTCCAACCGGTAAAGCAATCCTTTTACATGTTGAATTTTCAAGAATTCCAAGCAATTTTAAACGGTAATAAGAGGTACTACAGGCGGTAAACGTTACCGGCTACTGCCTGAAAAGGAGAACATTGTGAGAGTATGACCCTTTGATCCCTAAGAGTGACAAGTATCTAATTTCTCCACATAATATCAGCCCTGAATCTTATATCAACGTCATGAGAATAGAGGAAATGATCACCAACTTATGAAGTTCTTGATTGTTAAACAAATTCTCCTTGTCAGCACCTTAGGACATGAGTAGAGAGAACAACATGGAGAACATGGATACTGATAGCAGAGTGTAAAGGTGTAGCGTCCACTCATAGCTACTTGAAACTGTACTTTAATCAGTTGTTCACTTGCTAGTTCGTTTCTAATCTGCACATAACTTGTATTCATTCCATTCACAAATTACGTGAAAGAGAAAGATTCGCTGAAATAACAACAACGCGACTATTACAAAGATGATATTGACCGTATAACCGAAATACTGCATACTTACAAGTTATTGTGCCTTCTAAATAGAAAGGAAAACTTGTCCTAACGAAACGACAGTATAACTCCATAACAAAACATGTGCTTTTCGTGGGAAAGAGCGCCCGCGATATTTTGCGTGCGGTCACCGAAGACCAAACCATATAACGTTTATTTTCTGTCTCTTACAAAAGGGTTAAGAGAGGTAAATAGATCACTCAAGCAGCACATCTTACTAAACATCATTTAAGAGAGCTAGCTCTGGTTGAGTATGACAATTCTCCTTACAATTTCAGTACACTACGATGCACTTAGACCTAACCCTTTACACCATAAAATTAGTATTAATTTTCTCCACACTGATCTCTCTACATGTTCTCTCGTACTGACAAAGAAAACTTGTTGGACAGCCAGGAGGTTCCTAAATTGGTGATCATTCCTTTCATTCTCGTCATCTCTACATCTGATTCAAAGCTGACATTGTAAGGGGGAGTAAGAGGCCATTCACTTTTATGGGTTTAAGGGCTAAACATAAATGAGAAGATCCTCAAGCTAAGAATGTTCTTTAAAAGCAGGGCGTGAAATTGCGCCTGATACAGGCGCCAATGCGACTAAATTTTTCCCTTTGGCGACCAAATCCTGAAAAGTAGTCGCCAAATTGGCCACTAGAATGCTTCATCATAACCATACTTAGAGATATAGAGAATTAGAAAGATTTTCAAAGAGAAATCCGCGGAAAACGTCCTTGTTAAGTTTGTTTAATTTCCAAAACGCACTAAAACGCTGACAGCGTTAAAAAAAAAGAAAAGGGTTTGTTTGTCTTTAAAAATGGCGACCAACTTTTTTTGCATTGGCTACCACTTTGAAAAATTTAGTAGCCAAGTGGCTATCAGAAAAAAAAAATTAATTTCACGCCCTGAAAAGTAATATCAGTGAACAAATTATCAACTAGTCAACATAAAAATGAATAGCAATTGGCTTCCAGATCCTGGAAATAAAAGAATTTAACTTACCCGTCCACAGGATTTACCACGATAGCTGAAGGTCTTGCCACATCTTCATGAAATAACATTTTCTTAAATGACCCGTCTAATTTCGCTACTGCCACCTCACGTTTGTCTGCGTCTGTCCAATACAAATTTCGACCAAGCCAATCCACTGCAATACCATTCACAGATCTCACCGATTTGACCAAAACCTCCACCTTTCTGTCAAAACGACCAACTCTGCTGATGTTGTCCCGTTCATTGTCTGAGAAGTATATCATTTGCTCTTTGACATCATAGTCAATGCCTACAGCATTTCCGAGCCCAGACAGGGGAAGAATTGCATCGCCAGATGAATTCACCTCTTTGGGTATACCAGCAATTTCTGTATTATGGGCGAAGATCAGGAAGGTCTCTATCTTCTTGCACGATTTTCCATCATCCGTTAACTGATATCCCGTTTTACACTTGCATATACAATCTCTGTGTGGAACCGGGGATATGAGACAAAGGTGTTCGCAATTGCACTTTCTATTTTCACATGGATTTGCAGCAGCTGGCTGTCTGGCGCTGTGATACACATGAACATCCATTGGCTGCCCAAGATTCGCCAAGAGAACTGTGCTATGATTACCAAAAAACTTCTCCACTTTCACAACTGCATGCCTTGTCCAGTCTGAGAAGTACAAGTCATTTCGAAACACGGTGATGGCAAATGGATGTACAACTCTTGGATAGCCAAGAACCCTTCTCCTGTTTTCACCGTCATAACTCATGGCTCCAATATAGTCAAGGTGTGCGTCTCCCCAGTAAATTTGACGCGTGGGGTAATCCAAGGTCAGCGCATTGGGCCAATAAACAGCTGTGTTGGCAATAGTCTTGCGATTTGTTCCATCCATTCCAGCCCTCTCTATCATGTGTTTTCCCCAGTCAGTCCAGAACAGGTAGCTAAAAGAGAGAATTTCTATAAAATAAGTTGAAATCCATCTTCATATCATCTTCCAGTCACGTCTTAGGGAGGATTATCTTTCATTGCACTAATGATATTCTCTGTAACTAGTTAACTAGTTTTATCTTAAAACATTATTGACCATGAATGTAACAGCACCTTAGGTCTGATCATTGAAGATTATTAGCTACGATTACAATTCTTTGTTTTTGCGTGTGACGTTTACATAGTTCGTGTTTATTTTGGCCATACTGTACCTCCGCTAAACTTAATCCAGCTTCCTGTCAATTATAGCTGCGTAATTATTCCAGGATGCTAGTACCCTTTAATCATCATAATAATATTAATTAATCATTATTTTCTATTAAATACATTACTAAAACTTGATAAAGGGTACAATAAAGAGAACTGTTCTGGTTGTTCCCGAAGAGAAATGTTAAGAAAAAAAAAAACATAAAAAACGTGCCTACGTACAACTCACCCATCCCTAGGGTCAACCGCAATGCCTCTTGGGCTTGCAAGATCAGTAGTTACAAGCGATAACAGGAAACTCCCGTTCAATCTACAGACAAAGATCCTTTTAGCAGAGCTATCGACAAAGTACAAATTCTTTGCCACCCAATCCACAGCAATCCCATCCGACACAGCTAACCCATCTTTTGCCACAGCTTCTACCTAAAAAAGATAACAAAATGAAGTCTAAGGTTAATGACCTGCACTGAGATCTTTGACAAACTCCTCTCAGTATCTTTTAAAGGTGCTTTTCAGAAAAAAGGATCCTGTTCTCGGACCACACTTAAAGGAGAGGCAGTGATGGAATTCGAAACCCCGAAACATGAACAAAAATCTGTCATTTTAAACGCAATCGCTCATAAAGTATGCAGTTAGGATTGAGGAAAGAGAAAGCAATTAAGCCCTTATTACTAGCGCTGAGGCATGCGCGTTTCTTCGCCCGCGATAAAGTTTGAGACCGAGCTGATGAGAGGTCTGCGAGGGGTCTGGCACTAACAATGAGTGCCAGATCCCCCGCAGACCTTTCGAAGACTGGTCTCAAACTTTCTTGCGGGCTTAGAGACACGCGTGCCGCGGCACTAGAAATGAAAACCTGCTCGCATATGGATATACTGAAAATAAAATAAAAATGAAATCTCAATCCATCGCATGGTCATATTACCTCTCCAAGGTGTCCACCATCTTGATGAAACACAATATTTGCCCTGTAAATGGCATTATCTTTTACATCTGACCAGTAAAGTTTTCCTTCCTCGACGTCAAAATCAATGGCCACTGTTCGGCTTGAGTTTGAGAAAACGTCACCGTAATTTCTTCCATTCAAACTAACTTGGCGAATGCTTTTCCTGTTCGCTAACAATAACCATGCCTCTTCTTCACCTGAAAAAAGAAACAAGCTTTGAAAAATTATACATTATTACCAAAGTCCATCTAATGGCCTGTGGAACAGGCCCCATATAATTAGTTTTAGACAAGGAAAATTTGTTCACCAATCAAAGCCTCTTAAGTTGACGATCGTTTCCTTTTATTCTCATGATCTTCATCACTGACTCAGTAGTATTAGTCCAAGGAGCAATTATATGTCGGTCACCCTGTGGATTTATCGTTCCGTGTAACAGATCAAGTCGCACTGATAGATAGCGTATGGCAGAGAGGATGGCTTTGCATTTTAACAATTAAATGTCTAAAAATTAGAGAGAGAGAACTCACCTTTAGGACGACAGGTTCGTGGTGGTTCATAAACATAACCATCCAGACAGGAGCACTTGTAAGACCCCTCAGTGTTGATGCATTCATGATCACAAATTCCAAGAATAAAACACTCATTGATATCTAAATTTAAAAAGTGCAAAGTAAATTTATCAGTCCACTAGTGCGACATTTTAATACATTAGGGCATAGAACAGTGTTGATGCATTCATGATCGCATATCTCAAGAATTAAACAATCATTGACATCTGAATGTAAACCGAACAATGAATATACCTCTTTATTAACGAATTCGAAGTCTGTACTGTAAACAAGATTCAGTAACTTTCAGTAAGCACCGAGAAAACGAGGTACGTAAGATATATTTATTCTATCTCTGGGTTTAAACAAAGGGATAAGATTTCAATTCAAATAAACTTTTAAAATTAGCGGGCCGTACAGTTATCACTTTGCATTTATCTTAAAAGGCAGTTGATATCATTTATCGTTTGAGCAAATGCAAAATTGCTTGTACTAAGTAATTAATTCTCACCGTTACATGAAATCCCATCAGAATCAAGACTATAACCAGGTCTGCAGAAACACTCTGCTCCACTTCGAGTCTGTTTACAGATTTGGCTGCAATTTTTCAGCTTCAAGCAGTTCTCGCTTACTGCAAACAAAACAGTGCAACTTTACCACCACAAATATTGTCTTTACTGGAGGTTCTTTCTCAATTCTAACGATTAACAGCTATTGTAATAAGTTATGTCAAGCAAAATATCGCGATTTGTCAACGGCAACAAGATTAATTGCTTGCCAAAGCCACTGGCCGAATAATTGATCCGCCAGACACAGCCAACAATTTAAACGAGAAAAACAGGGTTGATATCGCACCACTTCATTTCGAAAACTGAGGCAGAATACCTGGCATGGCGCTTTTAACCTTTTACAACTTAAAATCAGTATGCATATTCTCCTTACTGTTCTCTATACATTTACTAGGGTGCTGACAAGGAGAATTTGTTTAACAATCAAGGGCTTCTTTAGTTGGTGATCATTTCTTGTATTCTCGTGACTTTAATGTGTGATTCAGGGATGATATTGTAAGGAGAAATTAGCTGCTTGTCGCTCTTTGAGTTCAGGGCTGAAAGAAAAGCAGTCATAACAAGCTGAGCCTAAAGCTGATAGAAGAGTAATTTAGACAATTAACTTACGGCAATGTGGTCCTTCATCAGAATTATCACCACAATCATTATTTCCATCACACACTTTAGCTAAGTCCAAACAGTGAGATGTTCCAACACACTGCCATTGATTCGATGAACATGTCACAGGACCTGGCATTAGGGCACAAGATGAAATGATTGGTTTGGTTAAAAATTGTTGACGGGTCTACTGCCATTCGCAAATGATCTTTTGTGATGACTTTCTTCAGCGTTGTGATAATAGAGATGGCTCTTTAGTTGTTTTTTAAAATGGTACAGGGTTCTTAATTTTTTCAGAAACAAATTGCAAGGACTTTTTCAGGACTATGATTGATTTTTCCACGACTCAATTTCACCTTCAACCATCTCATTCCCAAGATTTCAAAATCAATTCTCCTCACGATCTACATGTATTTCTTACAACGTAGATTCTAAAAACTTTATTCCTAGATTTAAGCAGATTTCCAGGACTTTCCAGGACCTTTAGTCTTATCCCAGGACTTTCCAGTCCTGGAAAATGACAAGATAAAATTTCAGGACTCTCTAGGTTTTCCAGGACACGTAAAAACCCTGATGGTACAATTTCCCTATCAGTATTCTCCAATCTTGGAAGTGAGAGCAAAATTTAGCTGCCAGAAGTGGCTGTATGCATACATAATCGTAATAATGACCCATAAAGCAGATATCCTTGGCTCATGATAAAACACTAGTCTTATACAAATACAGAATCAATAGGTGATAATTAAGAATTGATTACCGCAGTTTTGTTCATCAGAATTATCATCACAGTCTTTATCCCCATCACATTTCCAGTTGATATTTATGCATTTTCCATCAGAACATCTGAACTCAGTTGCCTCATCACAGGCATTTTGTGCTACAAATAGAAAATGCAAAGCAAAAAAATTCATGTTCTGTAGAAGATGAAAAAAGGGATTCTCAAACACTTAACATCTCTAATTGATTATACAACAATCACACATTCAGGCCTTAGGAAATCTGCACCAATTGAATTTGCAACCATGAAGACTATAAAGCATGCAAAGATCAAAAGCCAAATTATAGATCACTACAAAAAAAACTCTTTTTGAAGAAGAGATTGGTGTAATAAATTGAGCTTAAACTTTTTGTAGCGCATTTAATCTCAATTATCTTTAGCCATCCATGTTCCATCATTATATATCATTTCCTACTGTATTTTTTTCAATCTCAGTGGGCTTATGTAAGGTTAACCCTTTAACTTCCAACATATCATTGGTTCTTCTCCTTACTGTCCCCTTACAATTCTTATAATGTTCATTTGGAGAATTTGTTATTGGATCAACTAATCAATATTTTCTTTATTCTCGTTACTTGTCTGCTTCGAATTGTATTAATGTTGTAAGGAGAAATTCTGTCTTCATCACTAATTGGGAGTTGTAGGGTTGATGAAGTCTGTACTTGAGTTAAGCAACCCACTCAACATTATCACACTTATCCTTTTTCCACAGCACAAGGAACAAGGGATATTTTCTACTCCCCCCTGGATGGGATGCTAGACCATCACAAAGTTACCCCCCCAACCCCCCCCCCCCCCGTATTTCATTATGCCCTGGGGGTTTATCCACAGCACAACTTGTAAAAATACTCAGGTATACTACACACCAAAATGTGTAATAAGTCTAACAAGATGTATGTACTCCTGAATGAAGAGAGGCAGAGTAAGAGTAAAGCATTTTGCCCATGAACACAACACACTGACCCTAGCAGGTCTTGAACACAGAGCACTCTAACCAGAGTCCAAGGCACTAACCATTATGCCACTCAATGATACTCAAAACATCATTTCTTAAGTGATCAAAACTTTCTGGTGAAGTGAGTCATCCTTGTCAAAAGGCTTCAGTGGCTCAAACCTAGTCTGCATGGTTCAGGCTAATTCCTGAGAGACATAATAACACTTACTGCAATTGACCTCGTCGGTCCAATCCCTGCAATCATCCTGCTCATCACAAACCCAACTTGCATCAATGCATCGGCCATTTCCACACCTGAAGTTTCCAGCTTCACAAGGTGGACCTACAATAAATAGAAATGGCTTAATTTAGGAGATGCAGATAAGAATATACATGTATCATTCACAGTAGCTTAAAAAGCATCCTTGCTACCACAGGAGTCCTGAGAGTACTCTTACTAAAAATATATAGTCCCCCTCAGCACTCTGAAAAAAACATTATTTACACTAAGAAATAACCACATTCAAAGTACAAGAGACGAGGATAAGAATTATGCACTTTAAAAATTACTATAAAACCAAAGTTTCATCAATGATAACAAAACAATCTCCTGACTTCTTAATAGAGGTGAAAATTACAGTAATTAAGGGGAAACAGATGCAGGACTTTAATTTTCGACAACTGACAACTTAAAACAGTGTGACCACTTAATACAGGTTCTGCTGTAATTCTCAAGAAAGACTTTGTTCACTGTGCCTCATGCTTTGGTTTGGCCACCATAACCCTTTACACCCTGACATTAATATGCAAATTCTCTGTAATTTTGACTTTACATTTCCTAAGGTGCTGGTAAGGAGAATTAGTTTAATAATCGAGAGAGTCTTAGGTTGGTGATCATTTCCTTTATTCTCCTGACCTTAATGTGTGATTCAGGGGTGATATTGTAAGGAGAATTTAGATGCTAGTCACTCTTTGGGGTCAAAGGGGTAAAGCTTCCATCACACAAGAAAAAAAGATATGTAGAAATCATTGTTGGATAAAAAAATTTAAAAAAACGTAGTTTCTCCCAACAGGAGGCACAAAAGCCAAGTGGTAGGTGGATACTTTTGACCTTACCTGGTTCACAGTCATGTTCATCTGACATGTCCCCGCAGTCATAATCCCTATCACATCTCCACTCCATAGCAATACACTCCTTTCCATTAGCGCAGCTGAAGTCATGGCTGGCACAGGTATGATTTGCTGTAAGATTGTTCATATATATTAATTTTTGTCTTAAAAAATAGTTTTGTCAGTGCCATGTACACAGCAGTGAATGTTTAGAAAAGCTAATATCCATTTGTTCTAGTACCTCACTTCAGGGGAATAAAAACTGATGAACACTAGGGCACAGAAGCAGATACTCAAAAAGGAGTACCACAACTCTAGTGAACCAGATACAACATGCAGAAACAGTGCTTTCAATATGACCCAGCACCCACCCTAGCTCTGGCTCATATTCAGTTGTAATCACCGGGTATACTTTGGATGCTTTCAAGCAAACTCACAAAGTGAGTCCTAAAACACCTCAAGATCTTCTAGAGTTCTTTCAGTCAACTTTTACTTTTATAAATAAATTTTGATAAAAATGATTAATATTGTCTTATCATACATTCATGCATACATTTCATACATTTCCAGCAGATAAAACAATTAATTAGATGAAACAATTGTTATTACAGAGACAAATATTTAATGATCATCTACAGAAGTAGCACCAAAAACTATGTTTGAAGCCAGTTTATTCTGAATGGAAGTAATGGATAAGAGGAAAATTGTTTTTTAGATTTTTCTCCACTAAGCAGGTGCTTTATCAAGGTAGCCACCTTCTTCAAATCTTATTGAAAGCACTGAGAAAAGAACACCTGCATGGATCTTGTCAGCCACAAGTGACACTGTTTCATCAATTCAGATGTCCAATACAGCTAAAATGTATCACTCATGGTCAAGCCTACCTGACAGGAGCCTCATAATCATTTAATACATAGATTTAGCCAAGCCTAAAAGCAGAGCTCACATTTTTTTTTCTCCCAGCACATCTCAACGCCTTGCCCCGGCCAAGACTAGAACCTGGGTCATCCAACTCGGAGCCCAGTGCACTGACCACTGGACTACTGAACAAAGCCTAGGCATTGGTGTGCCCGTGGTACAGTTGACCACGCATGTTAAAAGTAGCACCTTGTATGGTCGTATGGTCATACAGTTGTACATCCAAATTTTTATGGCTTAATGGGTTACTACTATTTTGTATAATTATGGGGCTGCGCAAGCTCTGCTATAACTGTAATATCTACTTATAGCGATAAAAATCATATCAGTTGTGCAATTTTATGCACTGGCACATGATAATTATGATGAATAACCCACCACAATCCACTTCATCACTGCCATCGTCACACTCTTCCTTGCCGTCACACTGCCAGCGTGTAGGTATGCAGCGCAATTTATCGGCACATTGGAATTGGGAACTGGAACATGTTGTTGCTTCCACTATTGGAACAAATATTATCACATTAACCCTTTAAACCCAAGAGTGACTGGCATCTAATTTCTCCCAACAATATGAATCCTGAATTACACACTCAGGTAATGAGAATACATAAAATGGTCACCAGGGTTGGAACCTTTTGATTGGCAAACAAATTCTCCCTGTCAGCACTTTTGGAAATGTATAAAGAAAAATGTGGAGAATATACATACTGGTCTTAGGGTGTAAAGGGTTGAAAGCTTGTGAATATGTGTAAAATAATCAACAAAAATTTAAAACACTTCACAGATGCTTACAAAGCCAGTTTTGAAAAGCATAACAGATGTAAGTTTCTAAAGAAACTATGGTGCTGCATCAGTGAGGGAAATTACAAGATAATTTGGCTTTATTAACTGAGTTATTAATATAATATACTGTAAATTGGAGACAGTATTGAGATTCTGAAGCTGATGCTTCTTGCATGAATCTCATTTCCTGGCCTGAGTCTCTTGTTGCAAGCAAAGGGCCTTCACTGAGACACTGCATCATTTACCAACCCCACTTAAAAGATCGGCCCAATTTCTTAACAACCACCCTGTCTCTGGTGAAAATTTAAGATTTAAGGTCGCCAAATTGTCACTTTGAAAAAAGTTGTGCTTGGAACACTACCTTAACTTTTCTTGTGAGGCCTGTATATTTCGACAGAAACCAATTCATATACACTCAATCTAGAAATATCAAACTCACAACAATCCTTTTCATCTTCACCATCCTGACAGTCAATATCATCATCACACTGCCATGTTTTAGGGATACACCTGTTATTGCATGCAAACTGCAGTGGTGAACAAGTCCTTCCACCTGGAAAATAACCACATAAAAAAGTTTGAAATGCAGGCACTACTTTGTGTCACCTTACAATAAATACTTGAACACCCAAGATCTAATTGATGATTCTCTCCTCCAGCTATTATACATTTCCTTGTAACTTAATTACAAGAATTTGGTTTTCGATCTAGATAACAACTTATGTGTGATAAGTAAGAGTATTCTTATCACCTGTTTGCTGGATGATGTGTGGATGGCACAGGGAGAAGTTACAAGTAAATCACTTCTGGGGGTTGGATGCTTAACAGACAATTAAGGATGCCAGACAATATTCTAAAATTATGTTCTGTGTGTACATTGATTGGAAGCTATATACCTGATTTTGTTTGGGCACAAAGCTATCTATTTGGTCATATAATAATTATTGCATGATAGCTTTTACACAGATTTCAAAAAATTGCATACATATTTCAAAACATGCACCCACCAACCTGGCAAGAGACAAATCTTTTTTTAAGGTGTGGAGCTATTGTAAAATTCAGAAAAAAAAATTTGAAGACTTTTTGATTTGATGCTGAAGGGTCAGTTGTTAACTCATCAAGAACAATAAAGCTCAGAACACACAAGAGTACCTCAAAACCACAAACTGATTACCACTACCACTTCCAGTTTAGCTTTTCTTAAGCCTGATGAGCTTTTTCATTGCAACACACACATACACTTGAAAAATCCCACAAATATTTATCAGGGTAATCAATAAGTGCCAGTCCGGCTACCTCAAATTCTGCATGAGGTGCCTACATTCTGAAAGATATTGTGTGTAATGGGAAAAAGTCACAGATGGAAGCACAGGGTACTGATTTCTCAATTTGTGTTTTTGTTTATTACTCCATCTCTTGCAAATACTGAGTACCACTAGTTCTTTCCTTCTGAAGGTTGTCACAATGATTCAGGCTGAGATCTATTATCAATATTTAGTTGTGCATGGATAGTATAAACAGAGACCCCAGAAAGCAACTAGAATTGTCAGTCATCTACTCAACACAGCTAGCCATCTATTTCCTGGCTTATCGAGAACCTATTATCAAATTATCCCAATAACACAGTAAAGAAAAAAAGAAAAAAGTTGATTACAAGCAAAAATGTAAACAACTAACCACAGTTTTCTTCATCACTTCCATCAGAGCAGTCCAGATAGTCATCACACTTCCATGACTTATCAATGCAGCTTAATCCATCTTTACAGGGGAACTGTGAAGGATGACAGCCCTTTCCTGAGACAAAATGAAAAAGATATCATGATGTTGAACTGTAAGTTCATTATACACTACACCTGTACAACTGGTAGTGCACTCTGGTGTTAATAAACACAAATAAATTTTTCAAAGACAACAAAATTGCACAAGCCTGTAGGACAAGAACAATTTGTAGTCTTTGAAATATTTGTATGTGCTTATTAACACCAAATTGCAGGAGAAATCATGTTGTTATTTGTTAACAATTTACATGAAAAACGCATTACAGAAAGTCAGGACAGTAAAAATTTTGGCAGTGTGCACATGCTATTTGTAATTTGCACTCTTGTTACAACTTTGTATGAGTGTTACATGAAAAATGCACCATTTTTCAGCCAATCAGACGCACATGATTTTTTAATGTATATCCTTGGGGTAGGTTAAGTCTGCACTTGAGCCATGTGACTCAACCACCTGGATCAACTGCCTATCCTGGTTTCCATAGCATGAAGTATTACCACCCCTCCTGGATGGGATGACAGCTGGGGCATCACAAGGTTACCCCTAGCATTTTATCAGCTTCCTTGACAATCTACCAGTACCCATTTAAACTCCTGGGTGGAGAAGGCATTGTAAAGTAATGTATTTTTGAAAAGAACTGCACATGAACCCAGCCAGGTCTTAAAGAGGAGGACATTGAGGTCTAAAAGTGCTAACAAATTTGATCAAAACCAATATATTTTCACATCCCAGTAATCAAAAAATCCCAATGACCCTCTCCTTGAACCCAGACCTCTCAACCAAGAGATCACCGCATAAAACCTTTAGGACTTCGCATGACTCCTCCTTCAACTAAGTGGAGCTAACAGGTTTCCATTAGTGTCAAGTAAATCTTATGAGAGTCAAAAGGATGCACCCTAATTATGATAAATAAATCTAAAAGGGATCAAGACAAAAAAAAATCCAGTAATAGAACTATACCTTTTGATAAAATGCAAACTTTGAAGTTTTAAGCTAAGTTGGCAATTTTATTTCATGTTGTCATCAATAGCATTGTAATGGGCAAGTCAAAGAAGAACTTGAACAAATGCTTTTATCTTTTACACCCTAACATCAATATACATATTCTCCATACTGTTCTCTATACATTTCCTTAGATACTGACAAGGAGAATTTGTTTATCAATCAAAGCTTCTTCGGTTGGCAATCTAATCATTTCGTAGGTCGACAATTATTTCCTTTACTCGAGTCATCTTAATTAATTACTCAGGAGTATTATTGCTATAGGGGAAAATTAGATGCTAGTCACACTTAGGGTTCCAAGGATTAAATTACCCACACCACTGTCACAAGTCAGGAACAACCTTTTGAATCTTAAAAAACATCACACCTGTTTTCTAAGAGTTCTGGACCCAGCTGTTTGAAGGTTGATCAGTGGTAACCCAAGGTTAAATTTTAATCTGGATTTATTTTTCCTTTTTGGGATAGTTTCGGTGTTCTTTTTAGAGCATCAAATAATCTTATTCTAGACAAAAAGAATTTGACTGAATTTTCTTTTAAAGCTATCAGATCTGAAATCAGATTTCACACTAACCCTTGGTTATCTTAACCTGG